GTATCAAAGCTGCACACAGTGTTGAAATAATCAGGTAAAAATTTGTGTGTTAGAAAAGGAAAGTGAAGTTATTTTGACGGAACATATGTCTTAAAACATGTTTCTTTAACAGTTAAAACCAGAAAGACAAAAAATACATATTGGAATTACACTGTATTTACAAACTATTAAAGACTGAAAGTGAGGCAATATGAACAAGTTTTGATTGATCTTTAGTGCAGACAAAAACATACAAGTCCTTGGCTCAGAAGGCTGAGCCAACTAACTCTTGAACTCACTCTCACAGGAGCTGAACCACCCAATTTGATACTTAAATGGAAATATACAATATTTTGTTAATAAAGTGTATTGCTATATAACAGTAATTGTCCGCACATCCCACTGTTTCAAAATAGGTAAAACCTGTGCAGGTGCTGCAACAAGAGTATAAGAATTATTTAAAAAATTGGCATTGTACAAAAATGAATAACAGAAAAGGGTTTCCCCCCCACACTTACAGTAATTTTAATTTAGGACAGATGTACTAGCTGCAACTTGTGCTCTCTACACACCCTAAGACTCAGTAGTTACCCTAGTAGGAAATATACTAAAAAAGTTTACTTTTCCAAAATTCCATTCCTCATCAAATATGTTCTGCTTTAATCACACTTTTTAACCCTGCTTTAATCTTCAAACACCTTAAACATTAAAAGATAGAAACATACAAATCTGAATGAAGGTCTCTAGAACAAAGAACCACAGAAGAAAATGGTTCTTCTCTTTTGCTCGTAGCAGAACAGAACATGCAATGTTTTAAAGAAACGGTGAAACATGTGCCTACTTATAAAATGCAAGGTATATACACATCAGCACATCTATTTCAATGGACCCCCAAAATAGTCCTCCTCAGTTCAGGAATGCCTGTAAGTGGCCTCTAAGTTTGCATGAAGACAAATACCTTCCTGCGGATCTGAGTACAGCTGAAGAAAACAGGTTGTATTTCAGACACACAAGCCCTTGTTCAGGTCTTCAACAAGCAGGCAGACTTCAAAGTTAAACACAGTTTGGGAATAACCACCATGAGTTTAATTACAATGTATGAGCTGGCCTATCAGACAGAAAACATAAGTGGTACCTGTCCTATTTTGGCTTTACAAATACATTTTTCTAGGAAAATCTCAAGCCACAAACTGCTGGAAGCTGAAAGTGTATTTTGGGGAAAACACGATAATATCCTAGTCTGGCCAGGCTGGAAGATAGTGTATCAGGCTAGGTGAAGCTCTGATCTGTGCTGGTACAGCTGCTCTTACAATCAAACTCATCTGAAAGTTGCAATTTTTCTTTCTTGAACCTACTACTACAGTATCACATGGGATGACCAAATGCTTGAGTGCAGGCACATTTTGCACATACACCAATTTCCTGCTAAACAAAGCATTCCTAAGTTTAAAAATGCCTGAATTAAGATCTCCTGTGCAACTGACCTGAGCTGCTTGTACACACACTGTATAATGACATATGAGTACACAATCCCTGACGTCACCAAAACCAAATTAAAAGCACAAAACATACACTATATTCTGCACATACAGAAATAATTATTTTTTTCTGCCTTAAGAAATGTCTAGCTCATAGAATGCATTCACTCTCTCAGTTAGGAAAAGATAAATGTTCTTATGCATTTTTCTGTGCATGAGCCCAGCTTACCATTTTAGTTTTGTTTCTTAAACCAACATTCATCAACCTTTAAAGCACGTAGATGGGGTGTCCAGATGGGGCAGGGGAAAAAAGAAAAGATGGAAGAAGAGCTGCACTGGGAAGCCTATTTATCCACCCAAATTCAGAGATGCCTCACAGAAGAGGAATCCCTATTAGAAAACAGAAGTAGTTACACGGAATATCCTGTTCTACAACCTTAGGTTGCTCAGAGGTTTTCTAGACACGATGCATGCTCCATGCCAGACACAACAGACAAGACAGTCTGATGGATCATCCTCCATACACATGCTGTTGCCAAGATTGTGTACTAGAGCTGCACCTCTCTGGTAAGCACACAGGATAAGCATTCTACGCGTAAATTTGCAACTTAACCAATTTGTTACGGAAAAGTACAGTGAGAGATCTCCACTGAATGATTTCTAATCTTCTTTTACAATGCACAGAATTTCTAAAAATCCTCAATTAGTTCACAATAATAAAAATATTGCATTTCTTACCAGCCTTATTTCTCAAGACAGTAGCAAGAAATATTTCAGGTAGTTTTTAAAAATAAATTGTGCTGGAAGAACAATGAAGAAAAGATTCAGCCTTAATGGTTTTGGATTCAAAAAAACTGTGGACAACTGAAAACTGAATCCCATGCTGGTGAACTGCCAGGAAATCTTGGTAACCTGTGTCATCAGGTACTGACGTGTGGGGACCGAAATAGGTGGGTGTCAGAGACTGAAACGGTTAATGATTTACACATTCTAGGATCGTCAGGGGACTTTTGCAGGCTGGGAAGAGGCCCATCCCCCCGCCGGTGCTGCTCGAGGGGTCGAGTCCTGAAAGGCGGGAAGAGCCGTTTTTGCCATGCCCTTCACATGAACTCTGCGTGTCTAGCCTGGGCTGTCCCGCGACACTACCCACGGTAAAACTCCCCGCCCTGGGGAGGTACAAGGCGTTCCCACTCGAGCTGGAAGTGTGTAACAACTCTTCCAACTTCTTTGGGTGCGTGGGCTTCCCTCCCCCCCAAGGAACAAGACCACCACTCCAACTGATAGACGTGGAAGATGCAACTACCAAGTTTCATTGCTGGACACCGTGGGTGGTGACTATATACATTTTTCCACCCTTATCCTGTCTTTTCCTCTTCTGCATGCATTTTCCTTCAAGGTTATCTGTATGCCATATCTCCATAGATGATAGATATAGATGATAACACCCAAAATGGCAACACACCTGTTTACCTTTGAAACAAAACTGTTCTAAAATAAACCGTACATATATATGTTTTCAAACACCGATTATTCATTGTCGTTTTCACTCCAATACACCCCAAGGGATTTATTAATAAGAAGATGGGTAACCCTCCCCTTTTCTGGGCAGGTCACAGCAGTGAGTCACGTTTCTGGTTACCATCCATTTGATTTTACCTTTGGCAGCATACAAATACTCCAGAGTCATTTTCAAAATTCACTGCTGCCAATGTCCTGAGTACACTTACACTGTGCCTTCCACAGACTGTGATCACGCCCGAATTCTCAGAGCAGCCTCACCAGGTGAGCGAAACAGGGCGGGAAAGAAAAACTATCTGACTCGTAACGCAGCCTTCTCCCCCGGCATTTCGCGTCACCCTTGAATTCCTCCTGTAATCAGGCACTGTTGAAACGCCGCCCACCAGCTCAGTCTGCAGGTGGGCACCGGAGAGGTTTGCTTGGACTGGCTGAGAACCCCGAGCTCCAGGCACGGCCTGGCGGGCTCCCCACTGCCCCTCAGGATCGACCTGCCTTCGCTCTCCGACAGAGCCCGGCCCGGAGGGCGGCAGAGGCCAGCCCGGGGACCGCGGGGCCCGGGATACGCCCCGGCAGGGACGATCCCAGCCTGGGGGGGACCAAGCGACGCGAGCGAGGGTCAAGGGTGAAGCCGCCTCGGTCTCCCGCCGCGCCGCGGGCGGCTGACAATGCCCGGCAGAGCCCTCCCGGCGCGGCCGGGGCTCCGCGCCTCGCCCTCCCGCCCTGCCCGGCTCACTCACCCAGCACCAGCCGGGCCACGTCGGACGGCAGCAGCATGGCCCGCGGCGGCGCGGGGCGCGGGCAGCTCCCGGAGCGCTGAGACCGCCCCGCCACCCAGGCGAAGGCGCGGAAACTCTGCCGGCCAGCGCCGCGCCCGGCCCCTTCCGCCGGAACCCGCCGCTGCCGCCGCTCATCCGCTTCCAGGTCCGCCCGCAGCGCCGCACGTGTGCCGTGCCCTGGGAGCGGCGGCTGCCCAGAGGTGAGGGGCCCGGGCCCGGGGTCGGGCGGGGCGGCGGCCCCGGCGGCGGGCGCTCAGGGGTGGCTCATGCGGCGGGGGCGGCCCCGCGAGTGTGGCCGAGCCGGAGCTGCCGGGGAGTGTTTGCGGTGCCCTGGCGTCCCTGTGCTCGGCCAGCACCTCTCTCCCTGCTTTGCTCTGTTTGTTTTGTGTGTGCCTTCCTTGCCCTGTGTCATTTATAGGGAGGGTGAACGTGGTCATCACACAGCGGTTGGAAAACCGTGCAAGTAGTAAGAGAAATAGATGGAGTCAACCTCGGGAATTTTCGACTGTTGTTGTTATTGGTGGCTATTGAAATACCACGAAGCACGAACGAGAGAACTGACTTCTTCCCCTTGGATGCCCAGGCCCTACAACACACCCATGTTCCCACAGTTCTCGTTGAAGCATTTTGCAGCTCGTCCACATTTCAGAAGCCATTAGTCTTTAAAAAGTCAATTTTTCCTTTCTGTTTCGTTTCCAGCGTAAGCAGAAAGTTTGCTGAAGTTTATTTTGCAGCTCATCCGCATTTCAGAAGCCATTAGTGTTTAAAAGTTAATTATTCCTTTCATTTCCCGCAAAAGCAGGAGGTTTGCTGGGGTTTATTTTGTTCCAGTGCCCAACCACCGGAGGTACAGGGGGTGGTTGGGCACTGGAACAGGCTCTCCAGGGAAGTGGTTACAGCACCAAGCCTGACAGAGCTCAAGAAGCGCTTGGAACAACGCTCTCAGGCACATGGTTGTCATCTGCAGCAGCATAACTTTATGTAAATAAGAAATGCAAGGTCTAGCTGGCTCCGACCTCTGTTGAAGGAGAAGAGGCATAGTTTTAAGTGGTCACAAAAAGAAAAAGTTGTTTTCTCTTACGACTGGTATTTGGTCATCTTCTGGTATGTTTAGTCCAGAGGGATTTGCCAAATGGTACTGCACACCTATGAAAATGTAAGATGTGAAGAGAGGAAGAGCATTTTCCAAGTGCTACCTTCTCCAGGCAGCATCATGTTAAGATGGCTACCGAAAGTTAGTGCTTCTTGCTAGAATGTATTCAGCTTCGTGTTATTTTAATCTTATTATAATGTCATTCCCTATCATCTGCCCAACTCTGTTAGCAGGCATAAAAAAGAAGGAAGTCAGAGTGATGGGAAGAGGGTCTTTGCAGTTACTCTTTGACTGTTGTCTGTGGGAGTAGATTATATTCTTGATGTGAAAATGCTTCAGTCTTGTGACCAAGAAGACCACTAATCTAGGCACAAATGAGCTTTTCAGTGAAATATATAACACCGTAGTTGTGTTCCATACTGGATTTTCAATATTTTGCATTCTCAATTTTTTTACTTGGTTGTGTGTTAAGTAATTACCGTTTTATATATTTCTTCTGTTTGCAGATACAAATGACTATTCTTTAAACTGAACCATGAGTCTTGCATTACATGATCTGCTTGTTTGTTGTCGTCGCCTTGAAAATGAGAAGGCTGTGGAGCGAAGGGTAACACGTTTTCTTTTTGGGTGTGTACCTCAATTAGCAATGAAGGGAATCATTAAATTTCTTTTTCTTGAAATACGTTTTCAGAAGGAAGTTGAAAATTTTAAGAGACTTCTCTGTGATTCTGAAACAGTTCGCCAGCTGGACCGGAATTCTGATTTTAAACAAGGAAAGCAACTCAACTGGGATGCTGTATTTAGGTAGTTCCTTTTTTTTTTCTTTGCGAATGGTTGCAATTTTCTTAAATAGAACATCATTCTTTTGTTTGTCAGGCCTATTTTAATGCTTACGTTTCTGCATATTGATTTAAACTTCTTGTCAGCTGGTAAACAAGAAATTCCTTATGTTAGTCCCTAAAGCAAGTAAATTTAAAATAGCCAAAAAATGCAACACTTAAAGAAAACTGCTAGGAAAGTAATCATTAATCGGGTAGTTGCTTTTCCTTGCAAAAATAATAGTTACTTTCTTTTATTGACAGTTACCCTTTGCATATCACTGTCAATGTATAGTTACTATGAGGATTACAGATAGCTTTGTTAAAGTTTTTTGTGTTGCTGAATTCTTCAAGACACAGTAAAAGGACTGTGGCTTATGAAGGAAAAAATGATGTGCTGAGGTCTGTAGAGGCCAATCTTTGATATGGTCTGCATCAAGTATACTATAAGACTGGACTAAGCATGAGTGTGATAACTTCTTACAGCAGCTTTGACCACTGTTAAATTTCATGTTAAAAGTTGATCTGAAGTATTAGTTTTCATATAATGAAAACTGGTCTGGTCAGCTTTCCATTATGTTTTTTAATTGGAAAGCATTGGAATTTTCTTTTTTTATAGGTGTAGCAAAAATATTTTAAGAAGTGTTTGATAAATTTTATATGTTGCTTTTGAGATGGTTAATAATACATTAGAAATACACGGGAGGAATACAAAATTAGAAACTCTAAACTGAATACCAAATGGTAGGTCAGAAAAAATATGTAGCAATTGCCAGTGACAAAGCCAGTGAAAAGTCTAATCTATTCATAGATCTAAAATATAATCCATATATTAACTTTAAATCATGGAGAAATAGGACTTGAAGGTTTTCCTCAATAAAAGCAGTGATAAGTATTTCTTATTATTTTCCTGTATAATGTTGCAGCATGAATAAAAAGACAGCATTGCGGTTTTTTTACTAATTTTAAGTTGTGTGTTTATCACTGTGCAAAGTTTAAATGAAAGTTTGGTTTCTATTTGAGTTGCTTCTAGATTATCTTCAAAATTTACAGGTCCTTTTACAGACTGTTTCCATCATGCTTGGACTGTAATATATATCAGTTGGGTTTGGTCTTTGATAATTAGAATTGCGTGAAGAACAGGAACTGGCATTTTAGGCTAAATCAGCATTCACCTATTTTACTTCAATCATAAATGAGCAGATCCTTGATTAATATCTCTTTCATTTTTTAAGTGTCTTGCAGAAATATTTCCAGAAAGAAATTAGAAACCTGCAGCAGACAAAACCAAATGCATCTGCTTCAACCCAAACTATGAGACAGAAAAAGATACAAGAAGTTGGAAGCCTGGTCAAATACTTCATCAGATGTGCTAATAAAAGTCAGTTATTTGTATTATCCTATAGAGTTACTGTTTTAATTTGGTACTTTACTTTCAAGTTTGAATTTTTACCAGTTACTAGTGTAGGGTTCATCTTACTCACTTACAGATGTTTACTATTTAAATATCTTAATGTCAATCAGTCCTTTGTGCTCCTTCTCTGTCCTTACTGATGTTCACAGTGCCTTTTTCTAGTTATTCAAGTTGTCTATAACTGATATATCCTCTCATAAATAGTTTCTTTCTTAGAAACAATTAGTTTAAGAAGATATTTTCTAACAGAACTGTTTCAGAACTGTAGGTTTTGGGTTGGGTTTTTTTCTTTTTTTATTAGATAACACTTACAAACAATTACAGATTTCTTTGGGTTAATTCGGGTAAATTAAGCAGTCTCATGTTGTTTCTTCATGTAGGAGGACCAAGGCTGAAATGTCAGGAACTTCTGATTTACGTCATGGAAATTATGAGGGATCCAACAAGTTGTGCTGCATGTGGTTCTGACTGTAGTAACATACTCCTAAAAGATATCCTCTCAGTAAGGAAATACTGGTGTGCGATATCCCAGCACCAGTGGTCAGGTAACATTTTTAAACCTACTTAGAAATGTCTTTTCCTGCAACAGAAACGTGGTTAGAAGCATTTTAATTTGTTTGAGGCCCTGTGGTGTGAGATACTACCCAAAATATGGAGTAAAGTAGTGTCAGCCTTGAAGGCTTACAGTTGAAATAAACAAAGCGACAAAGATTTGGAATTGTTTTTTTTTTTCTTTCTGCATACTGTTTGTCTGTTGCTTCCTTAAACGTGTGTTTATTTACAGTCAGGCTATGTGTGCATGGTCTGCACAGGGCTTAACACCCATAGCAAATCCATGGAATGTGTGTGCTGGCAAAAACCTCAGTAAAGCTAATGTTAGTGTGCAGTTGTTTGCAAGTTATTAGGAACTGGCTGGTATAGGTTTGATACAGTCAATGTATTACTTTTAAATTTTATTATCTGAGTTTTGATGGCTTATGAAGGTCCTAAAAAAACACTGAGTTGCTGTTCTTCTATGCACGTCGTATGTAAAGAAAAACTGTAAAGCTTAAGATGTAAATAGCAAAAAACAGATGTAAAACTTGAGTAATGATAGAGCACGCAACCTGAACTGAGTGGAAATGCACAGACAGTTTTTAACTTTTCAGAGGATTGGATCTGACTACAATTTGACAGTTCATTTATTTAGCATGGAGAAGAATGTTTATGTATTCTGAATTATCTGACATCTACTAACCTCTCAACTCACCTTTTTACATTTGTTGATAGTATTTTGAAAAGAAAAAAGGGTATTAGATGTTTTATAGTCTAGTTTGTTGGATGTTGCATGTGCAGTTGTGGAGAAAGTTTAGAAGTATTGTGTGTAGTGGAGTGCTTTGAAGCCAGAGTTTGGATTTCTGAAAGGCATTTTATGAGAAAATACTCTGCTCTACCACTTGAAGAGAGTGGCTTAACTACAGAATAGAAATAAGCCTGCAAAGAACTCGGAAGAGGTGTCTGGTGATACTGGGAGTGAAAAGGGAGGCAAAAAAACCTGCTGAGGGCTGGCAAAGCAGAGCAACTGAAATGGAATCATTCAAGGTGGGAGATTCCTACAAGAGTTCAAGGCCAGGTTGGATGGAGTCACCCGGTCTAGTGAAAAGCGTCCCTGCCCATGGCAGGGGGTTGAAACTAGATGATCTTTGTGGTCCATTCTAACCGATATCTTTCTATGATTCTATGTGGTTGGGTAATTAAAGAGCCTGAGGATGAGATCTCCGAAGTTAAGGAAGTTGGTACAATTTGGCTGTGGAGATAGAACTGGAAGTTCAAGATTGAAGGGGAAGCTGGAACTGTATGAGAGCACTGCCTGAGACTAGGAATGCTACCAGCCTCCATGTTGGAATAGAAAGTGAAGACAAGGAGTGAGCAGATAGGGAGGCTGGAAGCTGGAGTTCAGAGCAATAAACAGGAAACAAGAACTGGGTGCTTAGGTAGAATTGAGCCTAAGTGGGTAGGGAATAAGGCAAGAAGCCAGGAGCCCATGTGAATTTCTGTGTGGTGGTTAGTTTGTTTAGGAACATGGAAGTTAGCTGAGTCTGTGTGTGGACAAAAGCTGGAAGCGTTACAGAAGAAATTTTGACATTAGATCATAAGAGGCGCAGTGTAATTTAGCTACAGGAGTGAGGCAGCACTGAAGACCATAAATCTAAAGGAAGACAGGCTTTAATCCATTAAAGAAAACAAGTTGCTTTTATTGAATGAGAGATATATGAGCTTTGTAAAGGTTACCATAACCTTTTATAGTGATTTTTTAAGGCTTACTTATAAGTCTTGGGGTACAATGAGGAAGTCAGATTTCTCTTTATAAAATCAGGGTTCTGGTGCAGTGTAAAGTAAAAACATAAATTCCAGCTTTTAATCACACAGTGGTGGTTGCTGTATCTTTATTGTATTATTTTTCATCAAGCTTCTTATAATTTAATTCTCTATTATATACATGTTTATATATATTTGTGGTTTTTTAATACATTTACAGAGTTGCTGATCCTGTATGGCCAATTGTACCTCAAACCTTCTGGAAATATTAGTAGAGTCTTGGTGGCTAGGATAATTCACACACTTATGAGGGGGTACTGCTTCCAAACTGATGGGTTGAGTTCTGATATGCTTATCTTCTTTTCAAAAGCCATGCAGTCTGCAAGGTATGTTGCAAGTGCTCCTTTTGTATGCTAATACCTACTTTTAGAAAATAAATAATTTTAATTATTTGAGATTGGTATTGAGTAATAACAGGTACTACTTCTTTAGATATATTTTGTTCTGTCTTTGAATGCCAATGTAATAACTTGTTTAAAAAACTAATAACTTCTACATTTGTTAGGTAAATAATATTCTGAATGTAGTTACTTGCTAGTATTTACATTTGAACAGTTCTTATGAAAAGAAATCAGATTCTTTCTTTTGGAAGTGTACATGTTTGATTTATGTTACAGACAGGAGAGGAATAGTGCAGGCCTGGATCATATTGTTGGAGCAATGAATATCTTCTGCAATAAGTTTGCTGACAACTGTCGCATACGGATTTGTAAAGTAGGGGAAGAAATTTTACCTGCGTTGCTTTATATATGGACTCACTATAGACCAAAGGATTCCCTGAAGGAATCAATAATTGAGTTATTTCGTCTCCAAGTTCATATTCATCATCCAAAGGGTGCAAAAAGTCAGGGAAGAGGTACAATAAAAAGCTTCTTTTTTTTTTTATTGCTGCATGTGATTGTTGAATTTGCTGTACCAACTCTGAATTTTGATACCGAGTTTTGGAACCATTGATGGAAGTGATGATTATCTGTCAGTAGTTTTGTGCTATAGGTTAATGTTGAGTTAAAGTGAAGAAGGGTTTCCAAATTTTATGCACCAAGAGAATATTAGTTATGTGAAGTCCTTTAAAACTTTGGGGGTTGGGATTTTTTTTAGTCAAGAGGCGATTTAATTTACTAAATCAAAACACTAAGTCTCTGTAGAAGGGAAATAATTATTTAGATTGCCACATATTTTGGTATCTTACCTGGTCTATTTAAGACCAGAGATTACTACTCTCAATTAAGTGTGCCTTATACTACAAAACTGCTCAGAGAATATCACTCAGTAATTGTGTTGGCCATGGCCTATTTTAGTTCTAGCATAATTTTTTTAAGTTTTTTTTTTTGTGCTTTGTACAAATCTATCCATTGCATTTTACTGTATTTTTTCCCATTAGATGAAGAATTATTTACTAGAAACATGATTCCTACCTTAATTACTTGTATGTGCTGATTAAGTTATCTCTTAACTTTTTCACTTTTTAATTTTATCCATTATCCATTATAGAACTTGCTTTACAGGCCTATAGGTGTTGAACTTTGTATGCTTTATTCTGATTTTGGCTGAATTTTGCACTGCCTGGATGGGTTTACATACTGAGTGGGTGATACACATTATGTTTTCATTGTTTTTGCATGTACAGGTGCATATGACTTAACAAAATGGCAAAGTATCTTGCATAACCTGTATGATCTTCTGGTGAATGAAATAAATCTCATCAGTAGTAGAGGAAAGTATTCTTCAGGCTCGCGTAATATTGCTGTAAAGGAAAATTTAATTGAGTTAATGGCTGATATTTGTCATCAGGTAACTTTTTTTTTTTAATATAAACTTGACTATGTAATTACTGAGTTGTATGTTTTGCTTTTTAAAGTAATATGACTCAATTATTCCTCAGAATAATTTACTGAGGTATTCATACCTTTTGTCTGTGTTTTGTTAATTTTGTACAGCTTAGAACTGTAGTATACTAGATTTCACTAGAGTTTCTTGTTAGACTATAAGCAGAGGTCTTGTTATAGTAAAGAATAATAAATAATAATTCTGGTTCCCTCTTAAGAGGCTTTATACACAGTAAAAAAATGGATTAGTTTAGGTTGGCATTTCAGTTTTCTTGTAAATACTGACTTTTTTTTTTTCATTTGTGTACTTTTAAATTTCTCTTAATAAAAGGTTTTTACAGAGGATACCAAAGTCCTTGAAATTACCCAGTCATTTGCCATTACCCAAAGAGAGCCCAGTGAAGACACAGTACCAAACAAGCGCAGGAGGATTGAACTAGGCTGGGGGGTCATTCGAGACAACGTGCAAATATCTCAGAAGGATTTTGATGTCATACCTTGGTAATAACATCTTTACATGAAAAAAGTATCACTCCAGACATATTTAACACTCTCCTAAATATGTTGTGCGTTCAAGTTGGGTGTCTGCACGTGCTGTAATTATATATCTAAGCACTGAACTTAGATTCTCACAGTATTTGGAAAGCAGTGAGTACTGCTCTTGGTACTTTAAAACCTTTTGATCTTTAATTTCCTAGCAAATAACAAATGAGGCCTGGTAAACTGTGTTGTAGTGTATAAGGTATTACTGTCTCTGATTTTTTACCCGTCTTTTGTGTTAGATATTACCATTCTTTATGTAAGCATTGTCTGTGATCCAGTTTATGAGTATTAGGAAATTAACATGATATTTATTGCTGTCTTACTCTGGCTGTCTTACTGTCTTGCTGTCTTACTCTAGCAACCATTGACAGTTTGGTCATTTTGGACTAGTTCATGCAGTTTTCTGTAACACCTGCCCTGAAAACTGTTGCAAGGCCTGGCTTTTTACCTTGGACTTAGATTAAGGAGTATTTTGCTTGCCATGAACTGGAGGTATAGCTTTATGTCCTGCTGATTGTTGCAGGAGGACTCTGTAGCAATGAGTGTAGCGAGGAGGAGTCTATTACTACTATTATTACTATTAAAAGACCACAGATGGACTTTTCCAGAAGCCTACCAGTTGTAGCCCTGAGCCCAGGCATGTTCATTGTTTAACTAAAATAGATCACGCTGGATGTTTTTTGCTGTTACTGTGTCTCTCTGTCTTTCTGACTTTTCCTGGAAACTACTGTACAAGATACCACAGCAGCATAGCTGCTTATGAAATGGTTCCTGAGCTGGGGTGGCAGTTTTTGTGTGTGTGTGTGTGTGTGTGTGTGTGTGTGTGTGCTTACTGCTTGTGGTATTGGGGCAAAATGGCTGTTTAGGATCCAGGTGAGAAGTTAACATGCTATTCTGTGTGGAGGTGCCAATGGTCAAGAAATACTGCAAGTACTGTAATTTCATATCCTGAGTTTAGAAGGGACCCAGAAGGGCCCAACTCCTGACCCTGCACAGGACAGCCCCAAGAATCCCTCCACGTTTTTGACTCCAGCTGCAACCATTGCTATAAACAAAACTCTTCCAACGTACCATTCCCAGCTAAACATCTTTTCATTTTCCTGTCTGCAGAGATGTTGCTGTAATGTTTTCCTCTTCATATAATTTCACCTTTGAGGTCCTTCTCTGTATCAGAGTTTATAACAAACTAGTCCAGAAGGAGAAAAAAATATTTTTTGGCCTGAAAATTTGTTTGCGTGTGGTCAGAAATTTGTGAACTTGGCTTGTAAGAAATCAAAAATCAATGAAGTCAGTTGTAAGAAATTATTAGTGATAGTGAGGCTAGATGTGCAGACTTTGCAAGTGAAAATGGTAGAAATACTGAACCTGTATATTTTGATAGTAAACAAATCAGCTCAATACTGGAAAGTATAAAAATGAAGTGGCAATTGGAGAAGGCTTTGTTAATTTACTCCTGAAAATGCAAATTTCTGTATGTTTGCTGTTAATTGCTTCACTTTCTATTTTCAAGGTTACAGATTACAACTCAATTAATATCAAAGTATCCCATGAGTCTTCCTAGCAACGAGCTACCTCCCTTGCTCAGTGTACTTCACCAGTTACTGCCTCAGCAGCGCCGAGGAGAGAGGACCCGATACGTGCTGAAGTGTCTCACAGAGGTAGCTTTGTGCCAAACCCAGAAAACTGATTTGAAAAGCACCCACAAGCTGGAGCTCCAGAGAACCTGGGCAAAGATTTGGACTCTTACCATTCGCAGTGTAAGCTTCCAGCAAATTGAAGTGGAGAGCTTTGGGCTACTTGGAGCTATGATTCAAGGAAACCTTGTCGTGACAGATAAAGAACTGTGGAAGATCTTTTCAGGACCTGCATGCAAGCCTTCAAGGTAAAATGGAAGCAAGGATAGTGTTTTGGGTCTGATTCACATTCCTCTTTAATGTGAAACCAAAACCACTCAATATTATTGTTGTTGTGGCTCTATTTCTATTTAAGAACTGCACACATTTGTCTTTTAAGCATTTAAAGTGACCATAAGTATGTAAGTCTGAAAGCAAGAGGCAGAAGAGGAAAGGCAAGCATCTTCACATTTAAAATGGACTAAAAATTTAAAATCTGACTGGCAGATCTGTTGATTTTTTAAAATTTTTTAAAAGGTGTATTTTCTTTTAAATTTTTATTCTGAAATAAATGTTCTGAAACAGTCTTTAAAATAGATCAGAAATGTCTGTAATAGCCAAGAAAAATTAAAATGCAAAGATTTTAATGAAAGTGTTAACCAGCATGCATGCTTATGTACTTGATGCTTTCTGTGCATGGAAAAATACTGACTTTGCTTTAGAGTGCTGGTCAACAAATACCACGTTGTTTCTCACAAATCCTGTTCCATTTTTGTTACAGCTCTTCTGTATGTTGTTTATCACTAGTGATGTCTGCCTATTCCATGCCAGAAAATTTGGACACAGGAATGGAACATAATATTTCTGAAAGAAATCTGGATTCTGCATTAAGAGAGGCAATAATGAAATGGCTCCTGTCCTGCAATTTGGAGGAAGAGATAGAAGAATGTGCAGGATTGCCTCCCGTGCTCTGCAGGTAAAATCTTCGGGGCATAATTTTACATGTAGGCTCACCCTATAACACAGAAAACTGTGCAGGGAAAAGTGTATTATGTTGATGCAGAATTCTCCTATGTTAATGCTTCCATAGAGTTTATGGGGTTTTTAAGCTTTCTGTAGAATGTGATTCTGGGGACCTAATTTGGTTATCTGTCTATATCATTTCAGATACATGATCTATGTGTTAGAAATATTCAGTGTAAACTTAGACTTTTCTTCATGAAAACTGTTAATCTGCCTAACGTTAGATGCACTTCAGGAATCAATCATAAGAGCTTGTCTGATTGCAAGACAATACAAAAACATTTTCTTTCTTTACAGTGATTTTCCTCATCTTGTATTACAAAAAATTCTTGTGAGTCTTACAATGAAGAACTGTAGAGCTGCTATGAACTTTTTCCAAAATGATACTAAATGGTATGTTTTTAAATTAATCATTATAGACACTTAAGCTAGGAGTGCTCCTGCATGTCTCACTGATGTATATGTTCAAGCTTTTGGAATATATCTAGTTTCTCTTAATGAAACTAAAATGTGTATCAATTGTTCTAATGCAAGATAAGACTTTCCTACTAAAAGTTAAAAATACTAGTTTTAGGGGTTTTATGAATTTCCGCTCCAGTTGTGTAAATTAGGCTGAGGTCAGCAATCTTAACACAAAAAAAGATGCTTCCATATGAACTTCAGTAGGAGGTATGATCTGTTTGGAGGCTTCATGTTTCCTTGCAGTTGAGTTAGAGCTAGGGAAAGTCATGTCAGAAATTAAAGGTCAACCAGAGTTTGGAAACACAAAAAGATAAAATATTTTACTTTGCTTTTGTTTATTTCTTGTATTTAAATAATACTTTTAAAGACTTGTAAGTTGTATACTGGCTGCTAAAGTAAAAACTATCTCTCTTCTTCAAGTGAGCAACATGTGCAGAGTAAAGAAGAAAACGGTTTTTCTGATGTTGAAGAGCTGTACCTGCAGACAACATTTGATGAAATGGATATTTTCACTAACTTTGCAGTAAATGTTGCAGATAAAAACGTGACTGGTTCAAGACTTGCCATCAACCAAAATCTTAGGGAAACACTGGAGAATTGTCTTTTAGCAATGTCAGAAAAGCTTTTAAGCAATTGTGCTCCTAAGGTAAGTTAGAAATTACTGTTACATCCTTACATTTGTGCTCACAAATGATATATTTTCAAGGCAAATTATTTACATAATTCACAAAATATCCATAGTTTTCATAAGTAGTGTGAGTACGTAGTAGCTGTATCGAAGTGTAAGCATGTGCCAAATTGCCACATAAACCAGTTACCCTGCTTTTGTGATGTTGGTTTCAACTTCTGTAGCCCTGTAATGCTGCAAGTTCTTTCCAGTTTTCAACCAAATTAGCCTGAGACATAGAGGTCTTAATTAGGTTTTGTAAAAGGAAGCAGCTCTATAAAGGTGTAATTGTAAAGAAAACTGCAAATATGGACTACATGAAAAAGAGTAGAACCAGTGCTCAAGGGAACTGGTTATCCCCCTTCACTCTTTGCCTTTAGATGGTATGTGCAGTTTTGGGCCTTTCAGGGCAAAACAGACGTGTAATGCCTTCAGTGGAGGCCTCTGAGATGGTGGGAGCTCCAGCACTTGGCCCTATGAGGGAAGACAGAAGAAACTGGGCTTGTTCAACCTGGAGCAGAACGGGCTTTGGGGGACCCTACCAGTTCCTATAAGATTACCTAAAAGACAGAGCCATGCTCTTCATTCACAGTGGTTTATTGCAGGAACGTGAGACAGCAGGCAGAGTCAAGAGAAGTTCACACTTGTGCAAGAAGAATTTTATCTATGTCAAGACAGTCAGTCTGTGGCACAGGTTGCCTCGCCTGAGAGGTGGTGCAGTCTGCCTCCTCTGAGTTTTTCAAGTCCTGACTGGATCAAGCCTTGAGTAACCTATTTTGACCTTAAATTGACCCCGCTGTATGCAGGAGGTTGGACCAGAGACCTGCTGAGTCTGAACTATCCTGTGATCCAGTTCCTGACTTGCTAGTACTGTCTTGTGTCCTTGCAGAAGATGAGATAGATAAACAGAGTACATGCCAAGAGCTTGGAAGTATTGCCATGATGGAATCTAAAGGAGAGAGGGAATTAAAAGTGATTTGAAGGATGGAAGCCTAAGGACCAGGGGACATACAGCTAGTATTGTAACATGGAGAGCTGAAAGAACTTGTTCAGGAGCTGAGGCAGCTGCGATGCCAAACACTAGGATGCAAATCTTCGTATATAAATTGTTTAAAAATGACTAAATAATTCTGTATTTTGTGGTGATAAACTAGTGGTATTTATACTAGTGTATTTGATTTAGTCTAAGGTTCTTGCTGCTGAACACCTTGTCCGATGTGCCAGTCTCTTGGTTGGTGTTCTTGGTTGCTATTGCTACACTGGTATATTTAAAGAAGAGGATGCCTGTAAATCAGAGTTGTTCCAGAATGCTAAGGTAAGCAGTAATGCATTTGGGAGCTGTTAAAAATAAGATAAAGAATTAAATTAAATCTTAAAATTCTGTTCACATTGACACATTTTCAGAGCACTGATTTCTGCTTAAGAAAAGGCAGTTTAGAGAGGTTTAAATGTGTTTCTCTGTGAAAGAGTCACTGAAACTGTCAGTATACTGGGAGGCCAGTTTTACAGTGCAGATTATTCTAAATATTGTTACATTTCTGAGTTACACCTTTTAAAAAAGTGGAATTATCCTGGACATGTAGACAAAGGCCTACTTTCAGGATAACAAGTCCTTTCATTTCTAGATCTTTTATGCAGGAATTTAAGATAATTTGATGGTTTAAACCAGTATGAAGACAGCTACTGCTGCTATTATTATTGTTACTACTACTATCTGAGGTAGTTTCTTGCTTACAGGAACCCCTCAAACGTACACATTATGGACATATGCTGTATTTTTCTTTTGTGATGAAAATATTAGTGTTTCAAGCACATCTAGGCCAGGTTTTTGTTGCACATTATGAATATCAAAGCTGTATGAATGAGAACTTATGAATGAGAATCATATCCTTTTTTCTTTTTGTGTGTGATGCGTATGTGCAAATGTACAAAGGCATTTAACTGAGGTTTTTTAACCATGTTGTGTTTTTACTAGTCTCTCATTCACTATGCTGGAGAAAGCATTTCTCAGTCAAAAAACAAACTAAATGAAGATACCCAGGTCAACTCTCTGAGGACTTTGATAATGCAGTGTACAAAATGTTTGTGCAATTGCACCAAGGTAAAGTTTATAAAGGACTTTTTATTTCTTTGTTCATTAATGAGATCACAAAGTTAAATATCATACATATGGCTCCTGGAAAAAAATTAATTAACCTATCTGTATATCTTGCTTTCTTACAGAACAGTGCTAATAAGATATTGTCTAATATATTCCTGCGTTTGTTAACATCAAAATTTATGAATGATCTCTTAGATATTTGCAAAAATCTCGTAAGTACATTCTGTCTGTTTCTAAATGCAGTGTTCTTCTATGAGAAGATTGTTTTTACAGCACAATAATTTGGAGGCAAACCAAACAAGATATGTGTTATTGAAAAAATCAAAATTCATTGAGTTTTGTAGAGAAATCCTAACTGGAGACATTTTCCTTTAGCATTTGAACACAGGCTTAGGGCAAAAAAAGAGAGCAGATGGATAACATGTGATCAAGGTTAGCATTCCAGTTCACATTAAAAACCAAAATTATACTATTTTTCATTTTTTTTAATACTTTATTATGGTAGAAGTATATACAAAAAAAGCAATAACACATGGTATTTAACTTTAATACACTTTTAAAGGGTTTTTTTTGGTGTTTATTATGTAAGTATTTAACTGTAAATGGCTCTCTGGGAAAAGTAATAGTGTGGCACTTCACTGTGTTTAGCACAATTCTTAAAACTTCTCTTTTTGGCACATTGCAGTCAGGTATAGGTGGACAAATTCCTTTTATTTTGGAGATGAGGAAGAGCAGAGAGTTTTACCTTCTTGTCATCTGGTAGGGAAAGTTGTAATTAAGTGTGTCCCCAAAAAAGTCACATGCCTTTTCATTTCTCTGGAATTATGAAGTATAGTGAGAAGTTTGTGGGTCTTGTAGGGAGAACTGTTTTAAAAAACCTGACACAGATATCAGTAGCTATCTGAGGAAGCTTATATCCTAACGAGAATAGTTGAGATGGTTCATTATGTGTAGATGACAGGTTTACCCCAAAGGATGGAATTCATCAATTTCATGTAGCTCTTACTGTCATCACCTATTTCAGTTCACTGAGAAACTGTAGTGTCTCTTGTGCTGTGCCTGCACTGTTTCTTCTGTCTTTAAAAACCAGCTTTAAAAGGGTGTGGCGTTTTTGCCAGATGACAGCTACTGGAAAACCAAGTGTACTGGGAGAAGTGGATCTCAGGAATGATCCTGAGGAGAGTATAATGGAAGTAGATAACCAGGTATCTGATGATCTATTTGATAATCGTTCAGTGACTGACATCAGTGATACGCATGAATCTGGTGATATGCAAACTGCAACAGGTGAGTCTTCTCTATGTCCAAAACTACTTGCAAAAGCTTGATTTTACAAATTACTCTTTGCTTGAAAGATAGCAAGATACAGAGTTGTGCTATATTAGTAGCTGAAACAGGTTGATTAATTCTCATCAGTGTTTTAAAGATGTTAATAAAGTGTTCTAGCTCATTTAGGAAGGAGAAGTTTATTTTTTATAAGTAGTAAAATGCAAGAAGAGAAACTAATTTTTTCAAAGCCAGGCAGAAGTTTTGGCAAAGAAGAGACTAGAAAAAGTGTCTGTAGAATACCTGTCTCTCATTAGACTGTGCTGCATTTTCTTAAAAGTAGTGTTGTTTAATTTTTCTCCTTTTCCTGATGAGTAATTCTAGACATGGTCAGGTTTTTTATGTCAGTTTTTTTTTGGACCTTCAGAGGGGCAGGAGCATGAATCTGTCTCTATTTATTTCTGTTAGGAGCTACAAGTACTGATACTCTCTTTTGTTTTAAGTTCTTGCATAAAATGATGTGTATCTTAGTGTTTAACCAGCACTATGTCTTTTTATTGACTGAGAAGGAAATCTGGGTGTTATATTACTGTCACAAACAGCAGCTGGTCTGTTTCATTTCTTACACGAAAATCTTATTTTCAGGTGCTTTGAGCCCATTAGCTGAGGAACAGTTGACAAAGAAGGATTTACTTCTCCTTGAAATTGTGAGGTTCTTATGTATTTGTGTAACTACAGTCCAAACTCAGACAGTGAGCTTCCGAGCCTCTGACATCCGGCGGAGGCTGTTAATGCTTACTGATGTCAGTGTCTTTGATGGCACTAAACCATTACATCTGCACATGGTGAGTGGGAGCTTTTCTTACGGCAGACCGACCTCTGTAATTGTACTGTTATTACACTTGTAAACTCTTGTCAGTTACATATTGTTTTTCTCCTGTTGTCAGTCCCCTTAGGAGACTTAAAATGGCTACGTCTTGTGGTTTTGATGTGTGCTGTGGTCAGGGAAAGAGCAGTTAGAATTTGTAAGCAGCCAGAAAATAAAAGAGTTGAGAAGTATAACATTTTGCCTTTATCATTAAATATTTGGTAAATAACTAGAAACAGTCTCTGTACTATAATAGGATCTGTGTTTTAGTTTACAAAGGAAATATTTTTACTGCCAGAACTAAATATTTCATGATCTATGTTACTGTGTGACAGCCTTTGCATGAAAACATGACCAGCGTAACACAAAATAGCTGACAATAGGTATCTTTGCTGCATGATTTTGTGTAAGAGTTACTGAAAAAGTTTCCTGATTTTTCTTTTTGTCTACTTATTTTCTTAAGTAGTACTTTCAATTTATGAAGTATTATTTTTTGTTTTGGTTTTGTTTGGGGGTTTTATTTCGTTTGTTTTTTTTATTCCACAGTACTTGGTTCTTTTGAAGGAGCTCCCTACCGAAGAACACCTCTTGCCTGCAGTGGATGCAGATATGCTTCTGAAACCTCTTCCGTAAGAGAGAGACACTATTCGGCATGGTTTTCATCTATTTTAGAGGATTTAGTGGCTTTTTAGTGTTTCAAGATTTTCTTCCTTTTTTTTCCCAGTACCGTATGTTCTTTGTACCGTCGAGATCAAGAAGTTTGTAAAGAAATTCTGAATAACTTGCTCCCTGTAGCAGTAGGGTTGGCCCAGTCTGATGAGGCATGCTGAAGAGACAGTGAGTGCCAGAGGACAGTTTTTGACAGTTGTTGGAGCCTTTTGGTATGTTATCTAATGAAGAAGTCTATTGGACATATAATTTTTGACTTTGAATTTTTAACTTTGTTATCACTGTGAAGACTGTAGTGCTGTTCTGTGTCTTGCTTTTGGTATACTATGATATCTTTATCCAGAATTTAACTTTCTGGATTTTCTGACATGTTATATCTGTAGCAAAGATTTGTCCTTAAGACAGTATTGAAACAATAAACCCTATAGTGTTGTATATTAACAAAGACTGATTCTACTATGAATTGCATCAGTAATTATAACAAGTGATAACTTCAGCAAACAAAAATGAATAGTTTGCAATTACCAGTAAAAATGTCACATCCACCCAAACGTGCCTATTGAGTACAAAGTAATCAACTGTGAGCAGCAGAAACTAACTTGCTAGAGTGTTTCTCAAAATTGTGGGCAGCTTTTTCCTTTATTCAAGTTTTCCTTATTTTAGGCATTTATCTCAAGGAGGGAAGTGCACTGCATCAGTAAGAGTGGCCCTTTTAAACTGCATGAAAGCCCTGCTTGAGGTAATCCCAGATTTTCTGACATTCATTAGCATGCTAAATATTTACAGAAGATATAATTAAAAATAGTGTCTCAAGATCTTTTGCATCTTTCAGTGTATCTATCTAATGTAGATTTTAAATCACAATATTAATTTTCTTCAGGCTGATCCTCATTGCAAGTGGGCAATCCTTAATGTGAGAAATGAAGATCTACCTGTGAATGATGCCTTCCCACATTTCCTTGCAGACAGTCACCATCAAGTTCGCATTCTTGCTGCAAAGTCAATTATCAGGTGATAATGCAGATATTTTTTCTGTTTATAAAAATGATGCTTGATTTCACCTTACTAGGTATGACTTCAGCTTCTGCATAGCTGCTCTTTTCTGGCACTTCAATCTTGGCAGAATATAAAAACCTACCAAGTTACTTTGTGTTCAGCTTGAACAGTAAAGTGTTCACACTTCATCTACTTTTTAGTTATTCTGTAATGTGAGATATATATGTATAGAGAGAGAGAGAGAAACTATACATATATGTATAAAACTATACATGATAGCAAATTTTATACTAAATTTATTATGCAAAACTTTAATAGAAAATGGTTGTTTATCCTCTAAAAAGAGATTAGGTACCTTTTTCAAAGAATCTCATCTTTTAAATACTGTACGTAGTTCTTCCTCTGTACATCAAAAAGGGTGTAATTGAACTGGAATAGTAGTAGAGGAGAGATGTTCAAAAGTATGAAACACTTTATGCACAACTATCAGTTGCATAAAATGGAGCCCTTCAGCAGCAAAACAGTTGAATGGCAGGAGGTATGACATAATTCCACAAAATCTGAATCAGAACAAAGTGAATATTGACAGTCCTTTTCAGTTTAAGGACACATAAGGTGAAGCTAACAGGTTCAAGATTCTGAGAAAATGTAGTTTATTTCTTTGTACAACAACTTATCCTGAGTGTTATTCTACTACCTTCAACTGTTGAATGTTTACAGGGGTTCAAAAAGCAATAAATTAATTAAAGAGGAAATTAATAAAGTATACTAAATATAGTCATCACTTCTAACTCATGATCTGCCTAGGTCACCCGTGATCAAATGTTATATTCACGGAATTATTATGCATTCAAGGCAAGCATATGGTGATCTTTCTTAGGTAACTGCTAGTAGTCACTTAGAAATGGCTGGAGTAATGTTTGGTTGGATTCACTGTGGTGCTCCCATGTTTGTTACAAAGAGCAAAGTGGGTTGGGCCTTTATCTGCAAAACATGTTTTTTGAGAAACTCTTTTTATATATACATCTGTTCAACAAATTCACTCTCAACATACGTCGTGACATGGAATGTCCATCTGTTATGATGGACAACTCAAGTTTGCCTTCCTGCACTGGCAGAGATTGGGAAACGTTTATGTATTTTCAGACTGTTCTGTGCCATTTCACCCCAACAGATATTCTTGATTATGTTAAAGGAAGTGGAGGGAAATCGCTCTATTAGAAAATGAAGACAAAAATAATTATATTCAGAAAATCAGAATCTTATTATGTGATAAGCACAATATGTAGTAACTCTGTAAACATGTTATGCTAATAATGATTGTTCTTTCTTTTAAAGTTTGTTTCAAGATGTGAAACAGAGAGATTCTTCTGGAACGTCAAAACCTCTTCCCTTGAAGCTCCAGCAGAAGGCTTTTGAGAATGCATATCTCAGAGTTCAGGAAGGAATGAGAAACCTGGTACCAACATCTAGTAATTAGTTTTGCCTAATTTTGATTTTATGAATAAAATTACTTTTAACATGCTTGTGTTTAGTTTTCCAAGAACATTAGTTCTTCTGGACTTCTGGTAATCTGAACTGGTGAAACAGAGTGGTAGTCAGGAAATTCCTTACACACCCAGTCACTCACTGTTTTACCCACATTAGAAGTTTGTAAATTTTTTCAGACTGCTCTTCTGAATCATACTACTTGTTGTTGCAGGTTTCAGTGCTGTAACACTTAAGAATCATAGAAAAATGTAACCTTGATAATCTAGACAACATACAAATAATGAATAAGAGGCGATGTAAATTAAGTTATTGTTTACATAGAATAAAACCAGGTTTGTAAATTTCAGAAAGATCATGTTTCCAGAGGTATTAGAGCAGTGATTTTCACAAAACAAAGATATGCTTGAGAAATTAAACTACTCAGAAGAATCTTGAAGTGAAGGAATAGTTTGACTTCACTGCAGTGACTGGAAATACTGTGTTATATTACTGTGGAATTTCTTTAACTAATAATTTTTCTTTTAGTGTCTTTCACTTTTCTTCCATCCTTGCTACCTTGCTAAGTCATCTACATCGTCTACATTTTCTAATTTTTTTCTGTCATGCTGTCATCTCTCTGCATATCATCTCTCTGCTGCATTTTTTTCTGTTCCCTTTCTCCGATGTCTTGTAGTCTGGGCTTGCTGCTGAGGCCTCATCTCTCTGTCATCGTGTTTTCTCTCAGAACTGCTGCCTCCAGCTGTTTGACATCTCTTCTCATTTCTGTGTTGCCTTGGCTCCTTGTTCCGTCACCTCAGTTTGGTGTTGTCTCAGCTTCTGCCTTTTCATTGCAGTTTCTTAATACTTTTATTTAAACTCATCACTTGTCAACACCATGCCTTAATAGGGGAAGAACTGCATTTGAATGGCAAGGCAGTTATTTCCTGTATGCATCAGGGAGACTTGTCTTGTGCCTCCATGATTTCTCTGTTAAGTGGGTTGCATTTGTGTAAACTGCTGATATTATAACATGATCTGGAGGGTACAAGGTATCAGCAGGTGTGCTGGCATGCTGGAGGCAGTAACTTCTGGTTGAGAAGTGAAGCAGACTGCTGGTAGAAGTAATTTTTAAGCAACTAAAGCAAGATTTTCAGCAGTATTTATATTAATGCCCTTAACTTTAAATTATTTATGCTCATTTATTAATTAGGAGAATGCTATAACAGAATATTTGTCCAAGTTCTTCATTGTTTCTTATTAAAGGTCAGGGGTGATGCGAGTCCTGAAGAGCTTTTGGACAAACAGCATAATGGAAAAGCAGTTTTACTGATGCTTATAACCATGGTCCTGTGCTGCAGTCCAGTCTGTGAAAAGCAAGCTTTGTTTGCCCTTTGCCAGTCTGTGAAAGAGAATGGATTAGAACCTCACCTGGTGAAAAAGGCGAGTATAAAATTCCATTTTATATTTAGGTTAGGCTAAAATTGGAAGAGTACAAAATGCTTTGTCAGTGTTGAAAGTTGTTAAATTTTGTAAAGGTATGACTAATGTGGTATTTAACTGAATGATTTTGTAATTATATCTAACTACTTACATAGAAATAAGGACATCACAAAAGCCAATTTTAGTGGTAAATCTTGTATGTTCAATGCACAGATCTGAAATAGAAACTAGACTTTTATACATTGAAGATTGCAGATTTTATTTAAAAAAAATTTTTACCCAGTGGAGGCAAATTTTCCAGTGTGGAAAATATGTAAAATAAATGCAAAGTATTGGAAGATAGTATATGTCTATTTTGAAGTACACAAGGGCATACTGAAATGATTGCTGTTTATATGCCAACCTTTCATGTCATTTTTAAGTGCATGTATTCTCTCTTTTTAATCTTTTCTTTCTATTCGCTGCCTTCTGTTTTTACACAAAGTCCCTACTTCACAAAATTCCTTGATGGCGCTGTTCTAAGATACGGCAATACAAATAATAAAAAAAACCTACTTATGCTTATAGGAGCTGAGTTATTCATTAAAAGGTGGAGGGGTACACATGGAGGCGTAATGCTGTCAATTTGCCATGGTATCACGTACTCTGTATGCTATTTTTGCAATCTTAATTCACGTACAGGTTTTGAAGAAAGTATCTGACATTTTTGGCTATAAAAGTATAGAAGAATTCATGACGTCACATTTAGACTATTTGGTGACGGAGTGGCTGAAAATAAATGACAGTGGATATAGCCTGTCTGCTTTTCCTTATGTTCTTCTGAACTATGCTAGCCTTGAAGAATTCTACAGGTAAGTTTGCTATATATGAAAGTACTATTTAGATTTTATTTACAGTTATGACACAGGGTCCCAAATTTCTAAATGTAGGAATGCATCAGGATTTTGTTGTAAAGTAACATTTTGAGAACTTTTGAAATGTATTCGAAGCATGAAGTATATTATATTTATGCTGGTAAATTTTTTTCTTTTTTTGTAGCAATAACTGAAAAATGATTGTAAGCTTTGTTATAAAGCAGAGGAACAGTATTTGCTATATGATGCTCAGGGTTTTTTAGAAAAGCCAGTTCAAGGACATGTTGGAAATCTATTTACTGTCTGTAGGTCTTGTTATAAAGTTCTGGTTCCACACCTGGTGGTTAGAAGTCAATTTGAAGATGTGAAGTCACTTGCTGACAAGATTGAAAAAGACTGGAGACAGGTTCTCGCAGACTGTTTTCCAAAGTTACTTGTGAATATCCTTCCGTATTTTGCCTATCAAAGCCATGGAATGAGTGAAGTAGTGGAGCAAAGAGAGACAGCTTCTAAAGTCTACGACATGCTGAAGGATGAAAACTGCTTGGGAAAACAGGTATCCCTTCACAATTGTAAATTGAGTTCTATAGCGTGTAACAGACCAGAAAGAAACATTTTTACGTTCCATAAATGTAAACAGTTCGTTTATAGATACAAAATTATTATTTTAATAAATTCAAACCATCCAGATTTTTACCCCAGGGATTCCAAGTAGTGATTCAGTAGAAACTTTCAGGCAGACAGTTGACTAAATTATAATTTTTTTCAGAATGCAGTAAATTTTTTTACCATTCATCATATAACCTTGAGTTTCTCTGTCATATATCTGTCATGTTTCCCTCTTAAAATATTTTGTTAATTGTTAATATATTGTTAAAAGAGCCATCTTCTCCAGAGGCAGAGTAATCAAAACTACTAGTAAAATGAAACATAATTTTTTTTCTATATGCTGTAGGAAAGTAAATTGTTCTACCTGTGACTGCCATAGGTAAGACTTAACCAGGCTTAAATTATGAATGAATGAATTGTATGTCATGAATAAAGGAACAAACAGAGAATCAAGACAGGAGAAAATAGGTTTTCTCAGAAGGAAAAGAAATATTAAATCATTTTAGCTAACATTTTTTTTTCTTATTAAAATACTATTTTTCTTCTTGTAGCAAATAGACAATTTATTTCATAATAACTTACCAGAGATTGTGGTTGAAGTGTTGATGACTTTACATGAACCACCTGGTACCACGGTAGAAGAAGGAGCTCATCTAAGTAAATACGTAAGGTATGTGTTTGTACATTTTCTAAATGCTGAGTGTGTTTGTATAACATCGTGTATTAAAACATGCCCTTCAGGCATAAGAGGTGGCCTTGAAGTTGAGAATTGAAGGATTTTGTTGTCACTGCTGATGATGTACCACAGTCATGCTTTCTCGCATAATTATTCACCAGGATCAGGAAGGAGAACCTCTGTAATTCTTCAGTTAATGGAAAGAATGATTGTGTGGGCAAGAGAATGCCATTGTATGTTGATGAGCTGGACTATTATGACAGTGCCAATTTGGATGGACTGCCCTCTCTGTAAAATTGGTCAGGTTTTGGTCTCCAAATTAAGATGATTCTTTTAATGGTCTTTAACAACTGGAGGTCACTGAGAAGTAAAGTTTCTTAGCACTTCTTGTAGTGGCAGCTCTTGTTTTTGATAAGGAGATTGGTTAAGCAATGCCAAATAAATTCCTAATGAATAGAAATATTCTAATGCCATAAATATCTTCATTTTTATTAGCTTTTCAGTTAATTCAGGTAATTCCAGGTTTTTATGTTAAGATACAAACTATTTGGAAAAACATTGCACTTCCTAAAGTTATCGAAGAAGGTATCTTTATTGTAGAAATATAGACTTGAAGGAAACCAAAGCATTTCTATGAAAATCTACCTAAAGTTAATTAGCTGAGGATTTCAAAACTCTTTAAAGAAATTTTTTGTTGTAAGTTTATTGATAGACTGTGGTGTCTGCTTTTAAATTTTTTTCTTTCTAAGAAGGGAATTGTAACAAAAGAGTGATGAAACTTAGATTTTGCTCTTTTGTTACTACCATGATGCATTTCTTTTCTTTTTGAGGTCCCAGAAAAGTTGACTACCCTTTTTTTTATTGTGAGATTCATGATTACCTTTTTTCTCAATGAAATTGTTCCCACAATTACAAAATGCAGAAGCTTTATCTATGATTTGCAATTAGATTTTCCTACAAAGTACCTTAGGCAAATGTGTGGGGTTTTAGCAGTAAGATCTTTCAAAAGAATATTAAAGAATGTTAAAAAAATACAACTTAGAAAGCTGCCATAGAGGGACAATAAGTAGCTACAAAGTAAGGTATATGTCACTTTTCTGGGTGTTTTTGGTGCTTCTTACTGAAAGCAGAAAAGATTTTCTAGGAATTCATGTGTTTATTTAAAAAGAATTACTGTGTTTAATACAAAGTGTTTTATTTTTGGGAAGAAAAATATAAATCTCCTTTTAATTCATTTAGGGAACTGGATCCTGCTCCTAATCCTCCTCATTTTCCTTCTTATGTGATTAAGGCAACCTTGGACTATATTAGCAACTGTCATAAAAGCAAATTAAAAAGTATTGTAGCAGTTCTTTCTAAAAGCCCTGTAAGTATGTAATAATTACTTATTTTTCTGTAGAATGTAGAGCTTTTATTATGGGTACATTTTGTTTTAATTACACATTTTCTTCATTTCTATATAAGGAAAATAAACAACCTTAGACCCCTTTCTGTTCTTTTATTTGCCTTCTGAAATGGAAGAAGTCACAAGTTCAGGGACAGATATATGCAATATATAATTATAGTATTTTATCAATTATTGCATTACATGCATTACATAATATGTGTTATATAATTGTGTTAATTATATAGTTATATGCATTTTATAATATATATAAAGTAGAGAGGACTATTTTAAGGGTTGGGGAAATGCGTGCATACTGGGCACAGTTTAGAATGTGCCATATTTGTCATATGTCTGAAGAACATTCTAAAGTAATTACATATGGGCAATTTTATCTAGATACAGCCTACAATTAAAATATAAATGTTTACTTCCCTTACTGACTGTGAAATTTTATGGTCAGTGATATTTTTCAAAACTTGATTTTCGTTTGTTAAAGGCAAATATGAAGACATATGAAATTATACATCCCTTGCAATAAAACCTAAACTTATTACTGTCTTCTAACTTTATTTTCCTTAGAAGCGTAGCTATTTCAAGTTATGCTGTTTTGTTGCATATGTTGTCAAGAACTGACTTTGCCTCTCTATAAGAAATCTAAAAATAAGAAAAAAACTTTTCTGGACCATGTTCATCTAAATCTTTTGAGTGTAAAGGTTTATATTGCCAGCCAGTGGAATAAGGTTTTTCAAATGTAACACAGCCTTCCAAGTATTTTAAAATTACAGGGGTTTTAAATTTACAGTTTTAACAGTTACAGTCTATAGTGATATATTGTGTGAAACAGTGCATTTTGTATGCATGAACATTATGTTTGAAAGAATATAGGTTGAATCATTACCCAGTGTTTTAATGCTTTGTATTTGATGTTTCTTCTGTTGGTAAAAATTGCTGTACGTGTTTGGTTTTCTGAAAAATATGCATAACATTTCTCATGTTGTGGGGAATAAAAAAAAGAAAATGAGGAGGTATGTGGCTTTTTGTCCTGTTTGGAGAATTGGTTTCTGTGTAGGTCTTCTGTTTGTTTAAAGCAATAAAAATAATTAAGCTTCTTTGCCCATGTCCGCTAACAAAAAATATATATCCTGCTTAACTTTCTTCTTTATATAAGATATATCTGTATTGACATTATGAATTAATTTTTTACTCTTAATTTATTCATTTTTAGGATTCATTCCAGAAAATCCTTCTAGCCCTTTGTAAGCATGCATCAGATACAAACAACATTTATAAGAAACAGAGAGTTCTTCTAATTTATCACTTGTTTGTTAGTCTCTTACTTAAAGAAATAAAAGATGGTTTAGGCGGAGCCTGGGCTTTTGTACTCCGAGATGTAATTTACACCCTGATTCACCACATCAATAGCAGGTAAATACAGTAATTATCTCTAGTTCTTCCTGTATGTACTTCCTTGTTCTTGCAACCATGCATTTCAGTATCACCAGCAGATGTAAATTCACTGGTAGAATTAATTAAAATTTGCCGAGATTTAAAATGAAATTGCCATTTTTTATAATTTCAGAATTTAAATATAGAACTCTCACTAAAGTATGAAATGTTTTATGCTGTCCTTGTATTCAGATGATCACTGTACTGCAGCAGCATGTAATAGGCCATCAAGTTGTAAAAATAAACGCTGGGAGACTTTGATGACAGAAAGGGTATTTAGAAATTTAAAAGATATGGGAGAAAAACTCAAAATGTGGAGTTAAGTGCAAAATAAGCACAGGTCAAATAAAATGTGCTTATCGAGTTAATAAACAGCGTTGACATTTACATTTTCACCAGTGGGTACCTTGCAAAATGAGTGAGAATTGGTACATGTTATTCTAGCTTGTCTTCAGATTGAGAAAACTGGTCCATCATGAGGCTTAAGATTGAAATGGAGATCCTTTTCTTTCAGATAAGAAGACTAAGTTAGTTTCTTACTTCAGGTCTAGCTTTAGATTTCCCAGACAGATTTATTCACCTAAATATCTTTGAGATGATGTTCAAGTTGATTGCTTTGCTTGTTCGAGGCATTTCATAGCCTGAGATGTTGAAGATGTGTGGATTTTATGGTAAATGCCATTATTATGGGACTTACTGTTGCAATCAAGGCTGGACTGGGGCAGAGACAGTCCATGCACTGGAGGGCAAGGCTGCCTTTCAGAGGGACCTCATCTAGCTGTAAGAGGGGGACAACAGGTACATTATGAAACTGAACTAAAGCAACCCTTAAGTCTCTCACCTGGGATGGAATACCACTGTGTCACCCATCCAGCCAGGACCTGAGGGATAATGACAAACTGGGATAGGTTGAGTGGAAGACCCTGAAGGGGATAGGTGAAGTTGATCTAATTTCTTTTCTCCAGTTTCTGGAGGGGAAGACACCGTACAGCAAAAGTAGAGTCAGATTTTTTCCTAGAAGTGTACAGTGAAAGGACAAGGGGTAGCACTCAGCAAGTTGCAATGTGAGAAATTCTGGTTGGATGTAAGGGAAAGGATTTTTGCAGTGAGAATAGTTAAATACTGAAGCAGGTTGCTCAGGGAAGCTATTGGTTCTCCATCCAAGGAATATGTCAGAATTCAGTTCAACAAAACACTGAGAACCTTATCTGAATTTGAAATTTACTCTGCTTCAGGCAGGAAGCTGGACTAGATAATCCCCAGGTGTCCTTTGTAACCTAATATTTAATTTTTTTTTTAACTAATGGTTTTTTTAGATAGAGGGGGATTCAGAGAGCATGGTTTCCACTTTGTTCTGTTTCTGTCAATATTGTTCTGGCAAATAATAGTCTAAAAGCCTTTTTTGTTTGTTTTTGGATTTTTTTCCACTGTGGTATATATTTTTCTACAAGATTTTATTTCATTTTTTGGAGTGATCAGTAAAACTCAGTGTGTTCAAGTTTTTCTGTGTCTCCTGAGCTAAGTCCATAGAGCTGATGGATAAATTTTAAACTTGAGAATCGGTTCCTCCTTATTTTATCCTTTTCTTTCCCTTATTCTTCCCTGTTGTGTAATAGGCTGATACTTGAGACAGTGACCATTTGTATCTCACTTTGTTTCCCGTGACAGACCTGTTGTTATCAGAGACATATCCATGCGCAGCTTTTCACTCTGTTGTGATCTCCTTCATCACGTTTGCCACACAGCGGTTACGTGTTGCAGTGATGCTCTAGAGACACACCTTCATGTTATTGTAGGAACCCTAATACCTCTTGCCATGAACCAGTCTGAGATTCAGGACCAGGTAGTTTTGCATTGCTGCTTATTCCTTATCTGTTAGCTTCTTATTTCATGTTCACAGTTGTTAAAGCTGTTATCTATACTCATGTTCGCTTTTAATTTCTTTTTTCTATGCTTTGGAGATTCCCCTAAAAATTATTATTTGGGATGTGATAGTATGCCTTTAATTTTTTAAATAAAAGCATCTTCAGTTTTGATACTTCTGTTCTGTCAAATAGCACATTGAGTAGCTCAGCAGTTACTTATAAAGCTCTGTAGACGATTTCACAGAAAATACGAATGAAGACTTTTGGTGTGAGAAGGTGTCTAGAGGACAAAGAGGAAACGTATGCAGAGAACAGAATTCAATAGGTCAGCTATTTATTTAACAAATAAGCGTAAAAAATAAATGCTGCACATAGGCCTTAAAATGGAAACAAAGCAGTTTCTGTTGTGTGACAAGCATTATTTTCCAGAGTGTGCCTGTTGCACTCCAGTCCTCATGTTGCCTTCTGGGTTAATCTGATCCTAAAGTACCATATGCACCTTTGTGGTTGCAGTGTAACTCTACATTATCCTCCTCCTTGTACTTCCAGTTCAGCTGGAGGGCTCTGCTGATCCTGCTGAAACCAACCTGACAATTTTTTTTCCCAGCCTAATGATTGTGATCAGATCCACAGCATGTCTTTGCAAACAGTTGTCCATGCACAACTGCAAAGGCAACTTGTCAGGGCACCCCTAGGCAGAAACGAAGTGGGGAGGACAGAAATTTCTCTGAATTGGAACTAATATCAAATATGAAACCCTCTCATATCATACTCCTGCAGGGAAGCCCACCCTCTACTGATCACTTTTCAGTTTCTTCTTTTTGTTTTTGATTCTAGTATTAAATGGAGTCTAATTAATAATTTTCAGGTAAACACAGGTCTTCAAATAAAAATGTCATAATTCAGTTGCATTGATTTTTAACCATAAAAGCAGTGTTTTCACAAAGAAAGTATGGTACCACTTTGTCAAGCATTTATTCAAGTTGTGAATCTGTTATAAAACAAATTCTGTGAGAATTCAGTGATTTGGGCTGTAAGTTATGATATTTGTCTGAATTTCAAATTACTGGCACTTCAGTGAGAATAATAAAGTCCTGATAACATCAGAAGAGCTGTTTGGGTGCCGTGTTTTGCTAAATCATTGCCAATATCTTAGTTATTGTACTGGCCAGTAATTGAAATCAACTTCATCAAGAAACAGGATAGAACTGTGGAGCCGTGATAGTAAAAACTTTGATTTTTGTTTGAAAGGGAAAGTAGCAAAAATGCCTCATCATTTTAAAATATGTCTGTCATTTCCCCAAGCCTCTAAACATCTTACAACTTCTATCAGTGTAAATAAATTATCTCAGCAGTTTAGTTGAACTTGGAAAGCTACATTATAGCCTGAATAGGAAATATGGCTTATCGTCTCTTAACATTTCTCTGTAATTTTTGGGGTTTATTTACTTTCTATGTACAGGTCCTAGGCTTGTTGAAGTATCTGGTGATAGATAATAAGGATAATGAAAATCTTTATCACGCAATCAAATGCTTAGATCCTTTTCCTGAACATCCAGCTTTTAAAGATTTGCGAACAACTCAGCAGAAAATAAAATACAGTAAAGGACCATATTCTCTTTTGGAGGTAATTACGTTTTAAAATATATCTCATGGCATAGTGTTTTTGGTAATGCAAACTTTCAAAAGAAAAAGTATTTCCTAGCTACAGTTGAGAAATTTATTTAAATTAGACATGGATTCTTTTTATTGCTAGTTTTCAGAGACTGAGGTATTTGTAGGTTTCTGTTCATACTTTGCATCTGTTAATATCTGCACTGTGGACTGCTGAGAGCCACTTCTTTACCTGAAGCTTTTTTATTTGTGGGTTATATGTACTTAGTACAAAACGTTGTTTTGCAGGAAATTAACCACTTTCTCTCAGTTGGTGTTTGTGATTCACTGCCCTTAACACGGCTTGAAGGACTGTATGATTTACGCAAACAGTTGGAACAATACAAAGATCAGATGAAGGATCTCCTGAAAAATTTCCAGGGTACTGAATATATGTGTTTTGTTTCTTTTGTATCTGGTTTTAGGTGTTTAGCAAGGGTTTATTTTGTGTCAAGGTTTTTGTATGTTTAACAGTGTAACCTTATTATAGTTTCACATGCAAAGTAAGCTGACATTTATTATCCATGTAAAATCTGAAGTGTCTGTAGCATAGTGTCTTATAAATATTACATGAGGTGTTTGTTACGTGGCAGAGACCATAAAATAGCCTTCCAGCTTTTGGCATGGGGCATCTATGACTGTGAATGCCCAGGATAACGTATGAGTATATTGGTTTATGGCTGCTTAATGAGTTTTCTTGTTTTATGAATCTCCCTACTCTTTTAAATGTAATGAAGCTACATTTTGTTAAAGTCATAGTGTGTTAGAAAATAAAGCTCTCAGAAGTTTTAAAATGGTAGAATTTTGTTTGGTTGAACCTTGCCACATCCCAGGATGCTGTTTCAGCCCTCAGTCCAGAACCAGTTCCTTCCTATTTTGTGGGCATATGCTTGTGGCATACCATTTTATTTTTGTCCTCTGCATCAAGTCTTCATCAGCTTGTGTGCATGAGGGGAAGATAAAAAGAGCTGATGTAATTAATTGTAAATAAGTGCAGAGTAAAATTTGAGGAAGAGCGGTAGTCTGTTGTAAGGCCATAGTGCAAGTGCATAGTGTCCCCACATCTTGAATATCATTTACAATTTTAGTTTCCAAATTCTGCTTGAAAAGCATTAGTGAAAGGGCAACAAGCTTGTGTGGAGTGGAGCAACTTCCATTGGAGGAGAGCCTTGTGAGACTGGAAAAAAGATTGAATAGGAAGGAATGGAGAGAGGTATATGAACTGGGGAATGGCATGATGAAGCTGAGTAGGCAGTACCTATCACTTCTATCACAGTATGACAACAGATTAAATTATCTCGCAGCAGTTACATGACAGAAACCGTGTCATTTTTTCAAAATATATACAGCATGAAACTTACTGCTACTTACTGTGGAGATTAGAAACATAACAGACCTTAAAAAGAATTAGATATATCTTTTAGAGTTTATTAGATACAAAGGTCTATTCAGGCAAAACCTGAGAAGTACTTTTTCTTGCTTTGCTGGAGGCAGGCTGGCAGGCTTGATGGGCCTGTTGCCTTGACTTTGCCTTATACTAGAAGTCTATTAAACACTAAATAATAACAACAAGAAGAAGAACGACAATAACAATAATGCAACAACAATAATAATAATAATAATTGTTCTTATTTTCTGAAAAGAAGTAAACCCGTTATTGATAAAGGCTGTACAACTGTATGCTGAAAGCTGACATTTAAGAAATAACTGCTGCAGTTTGACCACACATGTATTCATTTTTATAAAGGTGTCAATAAGCATATAGCCCTACCCCAGGTTTCCATTCCAATCAACAGGACAGTGGGATTTTTAAGAGAATACTTCTGGTGGGGTTTTTTTTTCTTACATTGGCAGATCATCATATTTTTTTCTTACAACATTTTGTTTGGAATGTTTATTTAAAATAAAGACCTCAGGCAGGCAGCAAATGTGTAAGGAAATGCCCATCATGAGAGTTTGTATTTTGGCAAGAGACAACTGAAAGCTAGTCAAATTCTGAGAAGTTCCTGACAGAAAATCTATTTTTGAGATATTCCTTGGATTCATATTTAGAACAGAATGATGTTAGTTTAAGGGCTGTCAGTGGAGTCACACAGTATGATTTCAGTGTTTCAAATAACATTTTTACACCAACTTATGCTAATATTTCACGAATTACTCATCATTTCTGCATCAAAATTCTGAAAACAATTTGTATATATTGGTTTAGGGGATTTTTTGGCATAGGCACGCATAGAAATATTTTCAAGTTGCGATGAATAAGATAACTGAATAATTTTTTGATGTACTGTTTAATACCAACTTGCTTCAACATTAAAAATGCATGTTCACATTGGTAGATAAAAGACACTGAAGCAGTGCTTTCTTTCTAATATGCTCACATTACAAATACACTGACATTTTTGGCATTTATTTTTTCTTTCTGAATGATAGAAAAACCAGAAGATTCTGTAGTAGTGAAATTGGTGGTGAGCTTACTGCAGCTGTCCAAGATGGCAGTTAACCATACAGGAGAAAAAGCAGTGCTGGGTAAGTTCATTACTCCCCACGGGCTAATTAGGACTGTCATTACAAAAACCAGGCTGAAACTGTGGCTGTTCTCAATGTTACTTCCCACTGCTATTTTGCATTACTTGCCAGAGGTAGCCATCAGGATTGTTAAAATGGCTGATATGTCTTCTGTTTTGTCACTGTATTTTAAAGCTTTGACTAATAATTTAAATTGCAATCAGTTTAGACTCTGGTCTGTTCTATGCGCAGTAAAGAGTCATCTGCTTCTATGGGTCACTTTAATAGTTTGAAAAATAATCCAAAAAATTGAAAAGAACTTATCTGAAAATTGTGTAGATGTGTCATAGTGGAAATTAAAATAGTTGTTCTCCATCTTAAAGCCTCTTCTGTGTAATTAAAATTATTCTCACCATTTACATTGAGCACCTGGTTAATGTTCGATCCAAAACTAAAATCCAAATCCCCTCTTGCCCAAGTGGAGACTACCTCCACAAAGCTGGTGATTACTGAAGTTAGATGTCTAAACTAGACAGAAACACCTTTATATGTACACCTGATACATCTTCTCTCCAAAAAACTGACTGATAATTACAAATGCTAAAGAACTGAAAATCATGTTGACTTTCAGTATAACAGATTCTTTAGCACCTCTGCAAGCTGCAAGTTTCAGCCTTCTCTGCATTGTGTTTCCTTAGATGATTTGTTAAATTCAGTTCAAAGCCCAACATGTGTATCTTCAGTGTGTTCTTTATTTGCTCTGGTGATTAAAACAATGTAGAAGATGGAAACGTTTTCCACGCGCATGCAGAGTATGAAAGAAAGAGCACATGGAATTAGATTTTGTTTTCTTTCTGATGAACATTAACATCCCTTTTCAAAAATTATTTTCAAGGTCAATTTTGTTTTGTTTTATGCTTTTCCGTGTTTTGTCTGGAAAACAAGTGAGGGACACATAGGTACATCATTTTATGTAAAATCTAGGTTAATTCTTACTGAGTTTACAGTCTATGGTTTGTGCTTACACAGGCTACTGTTTGTATTTATCATACCCTTAGGGAATGAACATGAGTGATCCTGACCTTTTGCACTTGCCTGTTTCTGACAGAAGCAAAAATAGAATCCTTATCTGATATAAACTGGGACATCCAGAGCCATAGGCACTCCTAGAAAATTGAGTTAAAAAGCATAGCTTTATTATTTGTGAGTCTTAAGCTGCAAAATTTTTTTACATGTAATTTTAATCATAATGCTCCTTAAGTGAGTATTTATAAATGTTTGCAGCTTTTTACCCCATAACAATCTCAGTTCTAAAAGTAGGCTGAGACCTTGTTTTAGTGTTCATAAGACTACAGAAAGACTGTAAAATTACTTGCATTTGCAGAGGCTGTTGGAAGTTGTTTGGGAGAAATAGGTCCCATGGATTTCTCCGCCATAGCTCTTCAGCGTGCTGAAAATGCACTGGATTCTAGAGCAGCGGACTTATTTGAAGATAGAAAACGTCAGTGGGTCTTCATAATGTTAACGCAAATAAATACTGCTTTAACAGATAATTGGTGAGTATACTTACTGTATTTAGTTAGCTCAAAGCTTAATAGGAGCCTTTAAGTTGTATGTTGTTCAAATCAGCTCAGAGTAACTCTCTGAAAGTGTTACTAACACCTGTTAATATCCAACCATTTGCTACTTCAAGGCTTACATTACTTACCCAGTCCAACTTAGAACATTTCCTAGAAACTCCCTGGTTGGACTCAAGCCAGAGAGTCTCCTCTGTGCTGTAGAGGATAGCAGTGCTGTGGAGGAAATAATCACGCTTTGTTTTATAATAAAATATGCAATGGCACATCCTGCTCCAAAATTTTCTGATTTGATGCACACATAGATTGTGGAGTTATTTGCCTTGTATATTTATAAAGGTGATTTTGAAAATCAAATATCTGAATGAAATCAATAATAACGATGTTGTGTATGTTATTTTTTTAAGTATTGATGTTAGAGCTGCTGCTGTTTCCTGTTTGAAAAACATATTAGCCACAGAGTCTGGCAGTGAATTTTGGGAAGTTTATAAAAATAAAGCTGATCCGCTGTTAGTCTATCTACAGCCTTTCAGAACATCTAGAAAAAAGGTACTTCTTCTGATATACCTTACATATGTGGCATATGGGGTAGAGAAAAAAAAATAGATCTTTTTTAAAAAGTGTGTTTTAAAATATTTTTGAGATAGGCTTTGATGAATGTAATACACTCTTTCTCAGGATTCCAGTGTCATTTGATGCAAAAAATTGGTGGAAAATAAGTCAGGAAAAAAGTGCATAATTAACCATAAATCAGATATCTCCTCATTTTGACCCTTTTGATTTGTGACCTAAACATGATGCCTGTTATGACCTTGTTGTTGTTATCAGTAAAATTTTATTTTTAGTACTTTCGGATTTTCTTGGAAAACTTTACATCAACAAAATTGATATTGTTAGCCACTTGAAACATCAGTAGTATTTAATATATTTTAATCTGTGAAGATTGCAGTATAGCTTTTTTAAATGCCTTAGAATTTTTTTATATTTGTAATATGTATATTTTCATTCTAGTTTCTTGTAGTATCTGCTGATGATACAGAGGCTCGTTTAGAAACTTTGGATGACACAAACCTGTGGATTCCTCTGGGAGAAAGTCATGAGACCTGGATCAAGCACCTAACTAGTTCAATATTGGACAGTGGAGGTGTGAAAAATGAAGTTTTACAGTTAATGAAGCCACTGTGTGAGGTGAGCTAAATCATACATGTGTGTGCTGTGATGCATTAAAAATGTGATTACTCATCTTGATAACAAATAGTAATTTCTGCTGTTAAATAATTCAGAACCTTTTTAATCATATATTGCAGATACCCATAAAATATACTCTTAAAATGCAAGTTTTTAGACATGATTGTAACGTGGATGAACTTTATGTGGCTGCTTTAGCTGAATACCACCATTGAGTGGTTTACATTATTCATATTACATGTTCTTTCTCAAACATTACATGTTTGTTTGAGTAGTTGTCAGTGTTGTTGTAACCTAGAGAAAGAAAGGGGTTTTTTGTTGTCTTTCTTAGCAGCTGCTGTGCATGGTTGTTTTCTAGGTGAAAACAGACTTGTGTCAAACTTTGCTTCCATACTTGATTCATGATATAGTTCTTCATGACTCAGATGAATCTTGGAGAAATCTTTTGTCACTTCATATCCAGAAGTTCTTTACAGCCTGTTGCAAATTTGCCTCGTCTAGTAGATCTACTCCATATTCGGATTCAGGTAATGCCATAATATTTTTGTTTCAACTAAAAGTGGGATTCTGGTTGTGATAAAACTATCTCCTGACATCAAATGTATGATGTGTGCTTGCAGGCGGACTGAATTTTAGAAGTTTCTGTCCAATTGTTTGATCTTTTTCAGTGTAGATAATGTTAATTTTGAAGCTGTTCATTGGCAGCATCCAAGCAGCTTTTTCAGTATTACTTTTTTTCCTTATTCACAACTGGATGATGTTTATTAGTTACTGAATTTAGATGTTACGCAATTTTATGGTGCTGCAAGACTTGAGTCATGGACTGTCTCTTAAAATGACTAATCGGCAGTTAAATTCCTCTCTTGCTCAAACAAGAACAATAAAAAGCAGTTTTAATCTGGAATTTTTCATTGGAGAAGACTAACCCTTGCTTTAGCTTCTGCCAAATACTGATAATGGTCTCCCTGTAGATTCAAAAGACCTGTTCCATTCCAGCAGAATGAAAGGAAGTTGTAACCGAAAGTACTGCAGCAGAGTATAAGTAATGCCGTCAGTTCCTTTAAAAGGAAAGCACCTTCTAATCAAACTATTGGCATTCTTTCCAATTAGATTGTGATTGAAGAAAACCTAAATTAATTCCAATCCCTGAGGATCCAAACTAGGAAAGACCAGGCAGTTAGACATGAGAGAGTTGAGCACGTCTGAACAGGAGTCTTCCTGTTGATCCATTTTGACGTTCAAGTTCTAGAAACTGGCAGTTTTAAAGCATAAATAGTGTGAATGTCATGCCAGTCACTGCATTCAGAAATTTTCAATTGTTCGTCTGATGAAATTATAAAAGAGGAAATAGCAGTCTCTTTGGGGCGTTGATCACACAGTGCAACAGAATGGGCCCTGCCTGTGAGATGCTGTCTCCATTGCCAAGGAGAACAGCACGTGGGGATGGAGAGCAAACATCATGGTGTGTTAGGAACTGAGAGTCAGATGTCCCCACTGCATGTCTTCTGAAAGTTAAGCATGTGGGAGCTGGTGTTCCTTCTGTAAGGTCTTTGGTAGCACTAAGTGTCATTCATTTCTGTTTGTTGAAACACACAAAATGCCCACATACTTCTTCTTTAAAATATGGCTTTTGCATTCTTTAGGGGAAGTTGCTGGTTCTGCATCTTACTGTAACATAGTAGTAATCAAATCTTTGATTATGCTTTCCCTTTTTCTTCCTTCTTGTAATTGATAAATCAAAAATTACCAGGAAAATGGAGAAATTATTAAACAAGTGAATGGCACACCACCTTTAGCCATCTGATTTTATTTTTTTTTTTAATCCAGAAGCAAGACATGGAAATAGAAATTCTTTAAATGTGTCTCTATGTGGGAAATAGTGTTTTTTATGTAAGCATCCACACTGAAATCTGCAATAAAGCCACTAACAAGTATTTCTGTGACTTTGGAATAACTTTATATGGCTCAAGCCTAAGAGGAGAGGTCTGTTGTGGAGATATGTGCAGTCATGTTAGTTCATCTCTGAATTCTGTAAGAAGAAATATAATACATAAATTATTAGTACAAAGATAATTTGATAAAATTGTGGTATAAACTACTGTAATGTCTTTAACATCATGTAAGGAGGAGAAATACATTTTGTGACAAACTATTAGTTTAATTTTGGAAATGCCATCCAAGGAAGTTTTTAGTGTACTTTCTTGAGTACAAAATAGACCTTTTTATTTTGTAAAAAGCATATGTTATGACAAAAGTTCATTATATTCTTTCCTTTGAAATATGCATCCCAGAGCAAGAAACCCATAATTTTAGAAGTTTGGATAAAGTATCTCGACGAGCCATGCTTGCTGTTGTTGATTACTTAAGAAGACAAAAGAGGTGAATTATCACTTTCCAAAATGTTGCTTTAATTTAATTATGACTGTTCTAAGATCTGTTGATGCTCTAGATTAAAGAAGAACATGATAGGGAACATGTCAGTTAAAAGAATGAAGATATAGTAGTGACCTTGCCTTTTTTACAGAAGTGATATGGCTAGCCTTAAAGGATTCTAACTATGCTGAAGGAGTTTTCTAAAAACTTTTTGTCTGATAACCTTCTTGTAGTTTGGGTTTTGAGGGGGGTGCTAAAATAAAATTAGCCTTTGGAAAGCTTTATAGTTAGATTGGATTTATTTTGTTTAATATTAGAGAGAAGGTCTGTTACAGCAGTATTAAAGTCTTTATTTAATCAGATCTGCTTCAGGTACAGTTTTTGATGACAGCTTCTGGCTGGATCTGAATTATCTTGAGGTTGCTATAGCAGCACAGTCTTGTGCTGCTCACTTCACAGCCTTGCTCTACGCAGAAATCTACGCAGACAAGATAAATAGAGACAAACAGCAGAAAAGGTACGTGGCTTGAGGAATGCAGTTTCTTGACATTTCTGGTAAAATGAGTCATGTTCTGTGTGTCCCAGTAGTGTTTTGTTATGTGAAAAGTCAAGGAAGCTTTAAAAATATTCCATAGCTGCATGTACAGACATGGAAAATATTTCTACCAATCCCTGAATGTGATCCAAACCACACTGACTTGTAATCAGAAGCTTTTCTTAGTGCTATTGTTTAAATTAAAGCCAGAAGTTAATCAAGGAGAGAAAGAAACCCCAGAATGATGACCAGAATTGTGTGTGGATTGAGCTGAATGATCCTTGTAGAGAAGGAGTTTTCTTCTTTGTCTTCTGGTCTAGCAAGATCAAAATATGAAACTAGTTTAGAAGTTTTGTTTTTGTTGCAAATAACTCTAAGATAGTGAAAATATAACAAGAGTAAGATTGTAAGCATATACATTAACTAACTGCTTTTATTCTTTCACAGAAAAAAGAACACTTTGGCCATTCACAAAAGCAACTTGATCTAATAAAACATTGGAAATTACAGGGTGTTTTTTTTAATCTTTGAAAAAACGCCTTGTTGTTAAAATCCCTTGATGCTGATGTTCTCAGTTCAGCTGATTATTATGCTAGTGGAGAACTATTTTGAATAATTTAGGGGTATGACAGGCATGGTCTTGCATTTGTTGTTTGTGCCTCTTATTTTTTAAGTGTTGTTTCAGAATTTCTTTAGTCCTTTGTATGAAATTTCATTTAACTTTACTGGTTGAAATTTTCCTTTTAGATCTTTTAAAGCAGCCAAGAGTTTGACATTTGAAGAAGAAAGTCAAAAAACAACTATTAGTACTTTGAATGAAAAAAGTAAAGAGGAAACTGGCTTAAGTTTACAGGTACATATGTGCTTCATAATCTGAAAGCACACTTTCTCATCCAATTACTGTTACAGTAGGTTTCATCCAAGTTGAAGGCAGGTCTAGTTGAATTCAAAAATTGTGTTTGAAAGTTTTCCTCATGCTTTAATTCAAAGTGAACTTAGTCTCCTTCTAGACAAGTTAAATTGAGTATTCCTTCACCTGACACACTAATTAATGGCAAATTTTACATCAAAGCAAGCAGACTTTGTTCCCTGAAAGAACTGACCTCGTGTTGATAACCAGCCAAGTATTTTTCAGTTTGTTTTATCAGAGATATGTGTTCATTAAAAATGTACAGTGTGGTGTGAGAAGCTGTACTAATCAAAACCAAAGTAGTATTATCTCCTACAAGTTTATTTGATATATCAAATCTGATCCAGTAGCCTTGTCTAAGCTGCTTCTTTGAATTGTTCATTATTCCAGAACTGTGCTTGTGTAACTTTTAAGGTTTATTGTTTAGCTGGTATGTCTGATGCTCCTTCAGTGCTACTGCCTTTTGCTTTTCAAGCAGTCCACCTAAGGCCCAGTTCTGGTTTTTTGTTTAATAAAATAGCAGAGTAGGTGGGTAGTCCTGAAGAGAGTTTTGCTAATCTGCATAGCTATTTTTCCTGTGATGATAGCAGGCTCAGATACTGCATAAAGGAAAGTTTAACAATGATAATGTTGCATGCAAGGACTTGTATTTACAAACTTACATGATATATGTAAAACTAACTTGAACTGGTTCCAAAAAAAGGTAACTTCATTTTTGTGGTGCATGTTCTAGGACCTTCTCATGGACATATACAGAAGCATTGGAGAACCTGACAGTCTCTATGGCTGTGGTGGAGGAAGAATGTTACAGCCATTAGCACGGTATAATTTATTAATGTTCTTATGTTCTTTGAAGTCATTGCTTTAATTTATTAGTAAGGAACTTCAATTGAAAATGTCCTGTTAACTTACAACAGGCTAAGAACATATGAGCATGAAGCAGTATGGGAGAAAGCCCTTGTAACATATGACCTTGAGACAAGCCTCTCTCCATCTACTCGCCAGGCAGGAATAATAGAGGTAATCTTATTTTAGAAGAGGAAATAAATGTAGGAATTGATATCCATCCTACTGAGTCATTCGTATTAAGTCCAAAATTGTTTTAGGACTGAAAGCAATCCTTTTGTTCATCAAGTGCAGCCCATTGTCATACATAATCCAAACTGTGTAATGTAAGACAACTCGATATTTGTCCTGAAAACATTAAGGTTCCTATTCCTCTTGTCACTCACCCATGTCATGGGAGATGAATTTTGTGAAATACTTAAAAATAAGTATATTTAATTTTTTACAGATTTTGACCAGCTCCTAAAATGACAGGATAAGAAAAGTAATGTAATTGGGTACTTTTCCTATCTTATTCTTTAAACCTCTCCATTATGGCAACTATCTGACTGAAACTGGTATTTCCAATACAATAAATAAATAGAATTTATGTTATTTTGAACCCTTAAAAAGTATGTTGCTTTTTTAGCCTAAAAATGTTTACACCAGTTCTGTAATAATGTAGTACAGGTGTATCTGTTTCTCTCCTCATTTCATTTTCCTGTGAAGATTTTCTTTTATTTTCTTACCCCAGATTATTTAGTATCCTTGCTAAAATTCCATTGCATTTCTCCTTCATAATGGCTGCATGCATAATCTGGTTAACTGGTCACAATTATAAAGACATTATGGTCTTCAAACAGATAGGTGTTGCAGGAAACCTTTTCAAATCCAGGAAAACTGTTCATTATGTAAAATCCATTTTGACTTACTGTTGGGAATGATGGAATGGAGAAATGTGAACTTATAGTTAGTTTGAAGCAGAGTGTGGAAATCTGTTTTAAAAAATGCCAGCCATGGTGGTAGTAATGAAACTGCATTCCTGGGGGTGCGGATATCAATAGTGGGATTAGTAGTTTTATTGAAAAGTTTTCATCTTCTGTAGTGCTGAGTTTAGAAATACTTATGATTCTGTCATACCTGCAAAGGCTTCTTTGTTTGCAAAATAAAACAAAGTGTTTTCAAAAAACACTTCAGTTTAATAAAGGAGGAAAATCAACTTGTAGTAATTTTCTTAATTCCAGGCTTTGCAGAATTTTGGTCTTTGCCACACTCTTTCCATGTATTTAAAAGGGCTGGAACATGAAAACACCGAGTGGTGCATGGAACTGCAGGAAATGCGCTACCAGGCAGCATGGAGGAATATGCAATGGGGCCACATCTCTTTTGTCAGGTAAACCAACTTTCGCTAGTTTATTAAGCAAAAGACAGTGGTGTCAGATCCAAGCAAAAAAAGGCAAGGTGAGAATCTAGTTTCTGTGAAGAAGGTCGCCTAATTTATCTTAATAATTGAATGTAAAAGCAGTCTTTTTCACTTATACTTGTCTGGTTTGTATGCACATCGCTTTCCATTTTCCTGGGAAACTGTACATGGGTAATTGTTTTTGATTGTTCAAAATTGTAAACTGAATTTTTCAATTTTTGACTTAACTTACCTTAAGTAGAAATGAGGCTTAGATAGTTTTTAATGTCTAATGTGTAAGGAAATGGGGAAAATATTACTTAATAAGCCCCAAGAGGTTATCAAGACCTGGATAGACAAACACCAGTATTGATTTATGGCTATTCCCTCATAAAGAGTAATCTCCTCCCTTAATGTATAGCTGGATATATGGCAGTAGTTATTTCATGTGACTAGCCAGGATCTGTGTCTGTCCCTTCTTAGTAGAGCTGCATCATGGCACGTTTTAGGAAGAATATAGAATAGACACACTACATTTTGGCAAAGCATAAGTTACATGGTGGGGTCCCCTCCTACATCAACTTTTAGTAATCAGGAGAAGGGAGGATTTTTCTCCTAAGACATACAGAGAGGTGTTCTGGGGGACACACTCTTGGTGTGTTCATTCTCTTCTCCTGCACTGTCATGAGATCATTGGTAAGATTCATCCGGAGGACATCACGAACAGCCTGTTGAAGGGCATTTGTTTTGCCACAATCAGAACAAACTTCTTATAGGTGTGCTCTCTTCATCCCTGGGTTAGGGTCTGTATAACCCTCCTAGGCAAACAGAGTAGTCAGCTTTAATACAGGAGCAGAAAAAGAACATGCAAGATGAGAGAGATGGCAGGAGAAAGAAAAGCCAAGAGGGCAAAGAAGGGAAAATTAAACTGAACACTATGGGTTTTTTAAACCTTTTGATTTTATTTATTTTTTCTATTTTAAAAATATTTCTGAAGTTAACTGTACAAAACTGTTGATTCTTAACTGAAGTTGTATATATACTATAATATCTATCAGCATAATACTGAGAGAAATATTGTGATTAAACTTTTATTGTGCAGTTGAGTGTGTGGCATATTTTTGATGCAACTGTGAACATAATCTCTGTATTCCAAATATTTTGACAATTACTGTTTTTATTTTGTTTAAAAAGAACAGCTTGAATTTATAAAATGCAAAATTAATTTAAAATGTAAAGGGTTACGTCATCATTTTTATCAATCAAAATAGCAATCCAGCTGCAGAAAATGTACAACTAAAAATATATGTCATAAAGGTAAAATTGATGTCTTTGTAGAGAAATGTACTTTTCCTTTTATTTTATGTTACTTTTGTTTTATTTCTTAGAGATGAAACAGAAAGACCAGGTTACCATGAATCATTGTATGATGCTCTTCAGTCTTTACGAGATAAGGAATTCTCTGCTTTCCATGACAGTCTTAAAGATGCCAGGTAACTGTATGCAAATACTGTGCTGTTACAGAGAGAGAGGGAGACAATGTATGTGTTTCTAGTCCCAGGTTATATATGAAAGACTATCGTGGGGTTTTATGGCCTTAAATAAAGTCTCATGCATAGAATAAAATTAATACTTCCAGACTGCAACTTTATTTCTAAGTTTTTAACTTCAGTTTGTCATCTGTGCATATATAATTTGTGTGCTAATTGAAGATACATTTCCTGTTGTATACACCCTTTACTTTGTGTTCCTCTTAAGTGGATTTCAGTGTTGGGTGCTCTTCTTTGGCTGAGCTATCATATAGGCTTTGGGGTTTATATATGCTTACTGTGTTTTCATTTATTGACAAAATTTTTTTTTCATTTTAATGGTAATACAAAATAACTCCAGACTGAATAGTTTGGCTGTTTACATTCTGTTCACTGTGTGGAAATTATGTTACGTAAACTTGGAATTTCTTGTGGATAGTGGAAAAAAAATAAATTTATTGTTTCTCTGCTAAATCCGTAGGGTGAATGAAGTCAAAGAGCTGTGCAAAGGCAGTCTTGAATCTGTTTATTCATTATACCCAACCCTTTGTAGACTACAGCTAATTGGAGAGTTGGAAAACACAGGTCTGCTCTTCTCCAGGTAGTTTTTTAAGATTGTTTCACATTACTTTCTGAGCTTTCAGAATTTTTAGTAATCAAACATAGCACGAAAATTGTAATGACCTCAACAAATTTCATTCATGAGCGTCTCAAAATTTGATCTTAAGGGATTTTAGCTTTACTATGTGAAGACAATTTTAGATTCTCTTTATTTTCAGACTGGATTTATTCACAGTCTAGTTTGAATTATTTGATATTATGCCAGTACTGTATTTTAAATAATTATTTTCTTTCATTTGTATTGAGTTCCTTAGTATACTCCAGGGTAGCAGTCATATCTCCTAGATTTTGCTTTACTCAGGTAACTGAGCCATCCTCTTGTAGTTTCTTTTCTAAAAATGTTTTCCATTTCCTTCATGATGCCCATAGCTCTATTGGAAGTTGTTTCAGTTTAAATCACTTTTTTGATGGATCTCTAATACCAGGAAGGTATTTATCTCAGTAGTGCTATTAACATTGAATTTTCTCTGTCACAGTTGTATCAGTTTGGTATCTAATAGTCAACCTGCAGTCATTCAACCTGTCCAGAACCTTACTGCTTTTTGCAGTTAATGAGTTACCTAAGAGAATAATACATGAAATGGCAACCTGCAGTGTGACAGTTTAGAATTTATTCTTGTATTAATCCATATATAACCTATATAATAAAACAGGTGTCTCGGTCTGTGATCTTTTAAGCAGCCCTCTGTTTGAATGCAATTCCCTTTGCTGATGGACCTTTAACACAAGGGTTTTTTGTAATCCATTTTTACAGAGGAGCGGTTCACCTTAGTAATCTTCGTGTTTGTTAAAACTGGAAGGCTGCCAGTTTATTCCACATATAGCAAACATTTGTAGGGTTTTATGGACTATTTCTTGGTTTGGAACTGTAGTTTGTGAAATTCCTCAGTAGTTCACTTTAACTCATCTTGCGTTTCACAAATGTTTAATGAGAATTAGTAACTGGTCTTTTTTCTTTTTGTAACAATTGCAGATCTGTTACTGCTCAACAACTGAATGACATTTATTTGAAATGGCAGAGACAGTCCCAACTTCTCAAGGACAGTGACTTCCATTTCCAGGAACCTATCATGGCTCTGCGCACTGTCATTTTGGAGATCTTGCTTGAGAAGGAGAATGACAATACCAAAAGAGAATGTATTAAAGACATCCTGACCAAACATCTGGTGGAGCTCTCTAGATTGGCAAGAACTGCTAAAAATACACAGGTAACAAATTCCAGGAAAGATCAGGAAAAGATGTTAAGTTTTTTAGTTTGGAAAAGAACATAATTTTTAAGAACGTTAAAGATGAACTGTATTCTAAGTTTATTCAATGACTCAGTTAGTTGGAGACTTAAGCTATGTAGAACCTATTCATAGTTTGTATTTATAGACGTGTTTTCTGTTTATGATTATTTTTTCAATTTCAGCTTCCAGAAAGAGCTATGTTTCAGATCAAACAACACAATCCAGAGGGATGTGGCATTTCTGAATGGCAACTAGAAGAAGCTCAGGTTTTCTGGGCTAAAAAAGAAGAGAGTCTTGCACTGAATATACTTAAAACGATGATAAAAAAGTTAGATGCAGATTGGTTTCAGGTATGTGTTATGTATAAACTTATGGGAATTAAAGTATTTAAGATCCTAATTCCACTTTCTGAAGTTTTCCCCTGAGAGAAAATTAAAGCGAAGAAATTTTTTCTGTTCTCCAATCTAAACCTCCCCTGGCACAACCTGAGGCCATTTCGTCTTGTTCTGTCGCTTGTGGCCTGGGAAACTACAACCTCCTTTCAGGTAGTTGTAAGAGAGTGATGAGATCCCTCCATCCTGAACCTTCTTTCCTCCAGATTAAAAAACCCCTGATCCCTCAGCTGCTACTCCTAAGACTTGTCCTCCAACCCCTTACCCGGCTCTGTTGCCTTTCTGTGGACGCGCTCCAGCACCTCAGTATCTTTTCTTGCAGTGAGGGGCCCAAAACTGAACACAGGATTTGAGATGTGGTCTCACCAGTGCCGAGCACAGAGGGACAATCACTGCCCTGGTTCTGATGTCCACACTATTGCTGATACAGGCCAGGATGCCACTGGCCTTCTTGGATACCTGGGCACACCGCTGGCTCATGTTCAGCCACTGTCAACCAGCACCCCCAGGTCCTCTTACTCTGGGCAGCTTTGCAGCCACTCTTCCCCAAGCCTGTAGCTCTGCCTGGGGTTGTTGTGACCCAAGGGCAGGGCCTGGCACTTGGCCTAGTTGAACCTCATATAGTTGGTCTTGACCAATTAATCCAGCCCATCCAGGTCTCTCTGGATGATGTTGGTTAAAATATAGTTGACAAATATTTGGATAGAACTTAATTTTGTGTAGCACTGTGGTAAAAATGCCTTCGTGTCCTTACATTTATGTTCAGCTACGATGGCTTTCTTTGAGTACTTTTGGAGGGTAAAAGACATTTGCTTTGAATCCACATACGTTATTAAGGAATATCAGACTTCAGAAAAGCTGGATAATTTTTGGCCAAGTTCTCCTTACATATCAGGGCAAAATCAAGAGTTGATGGTTTTCTGATTATTGTGATTTCTCCATGAATCAGTTGATGAGGCCCTCCAAAAATTTAATCCTTTCAGTGTTACATTTACCCTCCCTATGTAAGGAGGATTTGTGTTTTCACAGCCTATGGTATCCTTCAGTATTTCACAGTCAGTGTTGTCATCTTGATCGTGTGATCTTTAATACGTACACTGTACTAGAAGTATTTTGCAAACTTGTCCTACTCTACAGTTAAAGCTGAGCATCTGATCCGGAGTCAAGTCCTTAGGAAACCTGCTCCATCATCTCCTTGGAGCACTTTTAATCAAGTTTCCATGTAGATGTCTGTCTGAATAATTTAGTTATCATGATTCCTGAATGTTATCTATGGATTGTACTGTGGTACTTCAGACTAAGTGGGGATATTAGAAAATGCAATTCCAGAAACATGCTGTGAATTTATGTATTTTTTATTACATTTTGTCATTGGTTTATCCTGCTTTCCATTGTTCAGATTATCAGGTATTTTAAAATACATGCTCTCCTTTAGTCCAACATAGAATGTGAACGTGATTTAAGGTAATCGATTGCTGTAGATGTGGATGGTAAATGACTTTGTAGATGCATTATATGTAATAGGCCTCAGTGATTGAATTCTATTCAGGCTTTAAAACTTTAGAAATTGCCTACCTCGTATATAAAAGGTGGTGTTTTTTGATGCTTCTCTCTCTTTAATTTTGTTCCCAAAACTTGCTTTTTCAAAGGTTGAGAATGATCCTCACCTGAAACTGATGTATACAGAGTGCCTGAGACTGTGTGGAACCTGGTTAGCAGAAACATGCTTGGAAAACCCTACAGTCATCATGCAGAAATACTTAGAAAAGGTGCATGTGGTCTTTGAAATACACTGTCTTTGAGATAATGCTGTGCTAAAATATGGTGTTAGAATGTCAAGCTGATTTTTCAATACAGGCTTTATTTTTCTGGATTAGAAGTGTGGTTCCTTATAAAAACATTATAGTTTCACATGGTATTTTATTAACATTGTAATCTTACAAAATGTTCAGAATAGGGCTTTATAGAATTCACAGTGAAACGTCTAATATTGGCTTAGAAGTGCAGTGATTACAACTACTAGTCTAGTTTCCTGTTCCACGTTCCCAGTCCTTCCTTCTCAAGACAGATAATTCACTCATCAGGTTTTCAGTGTGGCCCTTGTATTTCATAGAATTAGGGAATCACTTCAGTTGGAAAAGACCTCCAAGATCATCGAGTCCAACCTATGACCAACCACCACCATGTCAACTAGAACATGGCACTCACTGCCACATCCAGTCTTTCCCTGACACTTCCAGGGATGGTGACTCCACCACCTCCCTGGGCAACCCATTCCAATGTCCAGTCACTCTTTCTGTGAAGAAAATTCTTCCTAACATCCAACCTGAGCCTCCCCTGGCACAGTTTAAGACTATGTCCTCTTGTCCTGTTGCTTGTTACATGGGAGAAGAGACCAACCCCCACCTGGTTACAATCTCCTTTAAGGTAGTTGTAGAGAGTGATAAGGTTACCCCTGAAAGTGCTGGAAAGTCTTATTCTAGTGTTTCAAACTACTGCAATTTATTTTTTTTTAACTCTTAGCCAGTTACAGAAACATTTGTATTAATATTTGTCCACTCTGCATTTCTTTATTTCATACTAATTTGTGAAATTCAGCATAGTCACTTTTCCCTATTACTGTCTATGTGCTTTCATCACTGTGATTTGAATCCATGACTTTGATATATAAGTGGCACTTTTTGGACTGCCTTCCTTTATTTTTCTCACCATCTTGTGATATAAGGTTTTAAGACTATTGTAAAACTTCATGCCTAGTTACTCTAAAAGATAGAAAAGTGTAGAAAACGCCTGTATAGTTATTAAAGCTGCTTCATACAGGATAATCTTTTTTGCTGTTTGCACTGAAACACTTCTCAAAGGTTAAACTCACTTATGAGAAAAATACTCAGCCTGCTAGATTTCATTTTGTATGCATATGTATTCCATCACAGGCAACATTAAATAATCTGTTTGAGCAGGTTGACCCTGCTTGAGCAGGGGAGGTTAAATGAGATGACCTCCAAATGTCCCTTCCAGCCTCAACTTCCCCCCCAAAAACCCCCAACTTTCTCTGATAATAAAGTTTAATCAAGTATTATGCAGCACTGTTTGTCTGATTATCCATTTTACCGTTGTTGTTACTTCCCCTTTAGGCTGTGGAAATTGCTGCAAGCCACAGCGGAGAGAGCATTGATGAGCTGAAGAAAGGAAAGATGAAGGCCTTCCTGTCTTTGGCTCGTTTCTCTGATAACCAGTACCAGCGAATTGAGAATTACATGAAATCCTCAGAGTTTGAAAATAAGCAGGCCCTACTGAAGAAGGCCAAGGAGGAGGTCGGCCTCATCAGGGAGCGTAGAGTTCAAACCAATAGGTGAGCATTAAAATGGAGAAGTTGGTTACTGTGGAGCTATCAAAGGCTCCATCTCTAACAACTCTCTAGGCAAGAGGTACAGTATGGGTCACATCTCTACAGCTGATTTTTAACTTCTCCACGAAACAGTGGCCTAATCCATAGTGCTTCCTGTGAATAGTTTCTGAACTGTGCCTGAACGTGGTCTATGCATGTGCTAGGTAGTGTGGGCCAAAACTCAGCCAAGGACTGTTACAACAGTTAAACAGTATGGGTGATCATGGCCTGGAATTCATGTTTATTCCCTGGATCTGTTCAGTTTATTTGACAAAGAAAAAGTTACTGAGTGAAAATAAATTTATTGAGATTTTTCTCCATTACACATTCAGTGAAAGAGTAGAATTCATTTTAATATAGGATTCATATGGATTTAGTAAGAACAATTGCAAGTGGGCAGAAAAGGATGACTTTCAGCTGTTGGAAGCTGAAGTCTTTACACAAATGATCTGTACTGGATATTCACATTTATACCAATATTGAGATTAAATCATTTAAAAGAAGACACTGACTGAAAATTTACTTAGCGCAGTGGGTCTTTGTGCATACACCACAGGAGTAGCTCCCACAATTTGATTTCTCAGATGTTTATTTTGCTGTGCTTGTACATACAAAGCAACTTAAAAAATGTTAAATTAGTAAGTAAGAGAGCAAGGGATGTCCTTGCTATAAGTTCATTAAGAGTTAATCTGATGTTTAAAAATAATGTCTGTTCACATAGATACACGGTGAAGGTTCAGCGAGAACTTGAACTGGATGAATGTGCCATACAAGCCCTAACTGAGGATCGTAAACGTTTCCTGTGTAAAGCAGTGGAGAACTATATCAGCTGTTTACTAAGTGGAGAAGAACATGATATGTGGATATTCCGACTCTGTTCACTATGGCTTGAAAATCCTGGAGTGGACAGAGTCAATGAAATGATGAAGGTATATGTCTGCTCTGTTTTTTCCTAACGCTTTGACAAATTATCCATCTTCCGTTTCCTTCTTCTAGGTTTCTAGAAGATGAATTGCAGTGCTATGCAGTATGCTTTCCTATGTAACTGCTTAACTTTTCCTGCAAAACTTGCTTTTTTCGGTTGTCATTGCTCATGATTTAGTTTTTCATCAGTGAGATCTGTATTTCTCAATGCATTTTAATTTAACTTAGTTTAGCACTTTAATTTGAAAAATTTGTGTGATTAAGCATATCTCATGAGCTTTTACTGTGGTCACCTTGCTCTTTACATATCTTGGAAACTACCCGTCTTGAACATCTTTAAGTACATTATTCTTGTTTAAATTATATATACTTTTAGTTGAAAAGCTATGAAATGTAGAATAGAAAACATTACTTTTCCTGTGAACGACTTGTAGCATTTAGGAGACATGGGCCAAGATGATGTGATACTCACTGAACTAATGTTTGGTCACGCAGCCATGATTACTCTTAGTTTAAAAAAAATTTATAATTACAGTTTTTGTTTGGTGTTTAGTACACCTCTCTAACTGAATTTTCTCTACTACAGGAAAATGCACAGAAGATTCCCTCATACAAGTTTTTGCCTCTGATGTACCAGCTGGCCGCTCGGATGGGAACTAAGATGATGGGTGGTTTAGGATTTCACGAAGTTCTGAATAATGTAATTTATGCTTTTCTTATTTAAAGATTCTTGATTGTCTTAGTAGTGCCTCCTTCTAAACAATATCCATCTCCCTCTGTGCAGTTGTAGCTAAACAAGTTACGTAGGTGATAAGGATGTATTAAAAATAAGTGGTGCAAAATTAGTATGGTGGGGACTTTTTTCCTTTCTGCTTAATTGATTTTCTTGTTGTATAAGACTAGACTTATGCAGCTATAGGAATGTACTTTGGATGTTTTTTCAGTTGTGGAAATACCATCTGAGTATTACCGTTTTATTTCTTCTTAGGAACCTTAGAAGTTCAAAAGAATTAATAATGTTAATTAAGTGTCTTTTTTTTTCTTCTGTACAGTTTTCAATAATGGGATCTTTTTGTTTTTGTTGACAGCTAATGTCTAGAATTTCACTGGATCATCCTCATCATACTTTGTTTATAATATTAGCTTTGGCTAATGCTAACAAAGATGAACTCCTCGCAAAGCCAGATGCAATAAGAAGAAATAAGTTAATTAAAAATGCACCGAAAGAAATCTCCCAGCTTGATGTGGTAACTACAAAAAATTCTATTCTATTAATTACATTCAGTCCTTTAATTTTGTTAAAAAATGAAAAAAAAAAAAAACAAAACATGTCAAGTGGCATTTTACTGCAGAGCTCATCAGCTGACTTTTGTTAAGAAACAGTAGGAGGGAAAAGTACTTTTAATAATAAAAACCCCCCTTCGTGTGTACATTAGTAATTATTATTAAAAGAAGTAATTATGGGGTTGAACAAAATACAGTTAACATTTCCTGCCACAAAGAGCCCCGATTATTGCTGAGACTTTTTTGATAAAACTCCTTGATGTGTCATTCTGTAAAAGGCATTTTAGATGCAAGAAAGACTTGGGTGGGTTTATTGTTAAAAGTACATCCTGAATGGAGTAAGTTCCTTTATACGTTAAAAGCCATGATGATAGGTAATACTGAGCTGTAGTTTCATGTTAATGTTGCTATTGCTTAATTTTTGTTGGAACCTGTCTTTGGAATCATCCCTCCCCTAGATTAATGCCCATTCTTTCCCCCATGATTGTAGGCCTGGCATGATTGTCATTGCCTTCTTAGCCCCCACAATCATACATTTATTCAGCACATTTTTATGTGGCTTTTTTTCACCTTTCTTTCAAATCTGTAGGTTTTTTGTGGTTCCACCCTTTGGAATGGGATTATGCTAAAGTCAGTTAAGTGTCTCAGAGTCAGGCATAGAAGGAATGCATAGTCAGGTTCTTGCCTTTTGCGTACAGGACTTTTCTTCAGCTGGGAGGATGCAACAGAAGCAGGCAGATGGTGGGAGAACATCCAGACCTACCTGTCCTCTTTTCTAAAGAGGACCTTTTTTCAGAAACCTTTTCTGAAGGTTTTTTTGCACTTTGCCTGGACATATTTGCTCCCTCTCCAACCCCAATCTTACATTTTACATTATTCATCGTGTCTTAGACAGCACAAAATTTTTCTTCTAATTATTTTAGTTCATGTTACAAAGGGCTGTCCATTATTGCAGTTTGCTCTGTTTTCATAGGACATATCTCAGTTGTACTTCACTGGCTTCATGTTATGATACATCTTTAATATTACAAGGTGTAGTTTACAAGATCTGATATTTGTATTCCTTTGGGTCTTTTTTAGGACAGAATGGAGGCTGCTAGCACTATAATCAATATCGTAAGAAAAAAGAGAGCTCATATGGTTAGAGACATTGGAGCACTTTGTGATGCTTACATCACATTAGCAAATGTAGATGCTACTCCGTGGAAATCTCAAAGAAGTAAGTCTTGGAAAAATGTTTGTTTTCATAGTGAAGATAGATTTTGTTTTTTCAGATTAAAAATATTGATATTTAATTAAAAGAGATATGGTGTTAGCACTGTGTCCTATTTTTGATAGATGTAGAATTTAGTCTGTATTAGAAGTCATAGTAATTACTTGCACTGTAAGGCTCAGACTCTTGAGTATCAAAGTCCAGGACAAAAGTTTACAGTGAGGTTTTGGGTCCCAGAAACAATGTAAGCTGGTTTTTGTCAATTTTGATGTATGTTTCTAGTTCTGAATTTAAAACTATTAATTCCTTTCAATTACAGAACAAATAAGTATTCCAGCTGACCAGCCAATTATTAAACTGAAGGACCTGGATGTTGTTGTTCCTACCATGGAAATTAAGGTAACTGAAGTGGAAAAAATACAGACTATAATATCAAATCATAGAATCAGCTTCAAGGTTTTGTAGTGGCAGCCAGGGCATATATCTTTACATCCAACTCCCATGTTCTTTACAGGTCAGCCTATCAGAGTACTTCCTTGTCAGGTGGGAGATGCAGGGTGAGATGGTTTCCTTAGACTTTAGAAGACCAAGTCTTATATTTGCTGAATAGTGGTTTATTGTATGAAGATGGCTTTGCCACTGTTACCACTGAGTAGTCTTTTATTAACAGAAGGGGTGATAAACTACCTAAATCACAGAGAGGGTTCAAAAGTCTGCATCTCCTGTTTTGTAAGTGCTAGCTCAGAGACTCTTAGTGTCCCGAAGGTGTGAGAATTAATGGATAGGCCTCCTCCTGTTCCTAAATGGCCAGCTTGTATGTTTTTACCATTCAGTAATGGGGTGTGATCCATTCCTATTAGCCTAAGTGGTTGATTGGATGGGTGGATAGGCACTCACTCTTCAATGCCACGTGCTCTACCTAGGGAACTTACCAGTTTCAGGAGCGTAGAGTTGCTTTTTGGGCCAGCACCTGAATTTAAACGTTACCAAGCCAGACTTCCTTGTGTTGAAGTCCCTCAGGCTACGTGTATAAAGCTGAATAAGTCAAGGGACTGCTTTATGCAGTTTGACTTCAGAGGCCAGAAATTGCCACCCATGCTAAATAACATTTGTTTGTAGGGCTTCTGTTGGCCCCAGGTGTTGCTCTTCTGTACAATTTGATTGTTCTTTTCTTCACCTTTCTTCTTCTCCCACGTAAACTGACTGAAATGGTTGCAGGTCTGGGATGTAAATAGCTGGAGCAGTATTTCATTACAGCTAACTGAGTAGGGTTGCTTTATGACACCAGGATATGGAGAATGGCTGAAGATACAGATCCTGTAAATTGCAGCAGGTTTAGGATTGTAGATTGGGCCCATTTGCAGCCTAGTGTAAGCCTAATGCCCCCAGCTGTGTGTGAACATTTTCTTGGGACAGTACTAGCTGGGACAGGCTAACATTGTCACAGCCTGTTTAGTGGAAGTCTGCAGCACCACGTCCCCTCTACCAATGAGGTGAACAAGGAGGAATCAAAAAAAACTCCTTTGCTCAGCATATTTTTGTAGCCTTTGTAGGTATTATCCTTGTAAATGATGGAATACTCATATTAATATTTAGCATATGGTCTGCTAATGCAGTTTGCAAACAACTCATTACTGCTTTCTCTGAGTGAAATGGAGGTAATATTTATATTCATTTCAACTTATTTATGATTTCAGGTGGATCCCACAGGACAATATGAAAATTTGGTCACAATAAGATCTTTCAAGCGAGAATTTCTTTTAGCAGGAGGCATGAATCTGCCTAAAATAATAGATTGTGTAGGATCAGATGGTAAAGAAAGGAGGCAGCTGGTTAAGGTATGTTCTGTCAGTTGTAATGACGTCTCAGAGACTTGGCATGCTGGAATTTATTTTAAGTTCTGTCAGTTTTCTAATGTATCACTTCTGTATCATGAGCAGACTTTTCACGTTTCAGTGTCAGTTGAGGAATACTTTAATAAAGGAAATTGCAAAGTATTTATAAGTAATATAATCATAGTATAATATAAATAATAAGTAATTATATTAATTTTTTTGTAATTATTTTTCAGCAGTGCATGTTATATCCAGTAGCTTACCTGACAGCTACCAGACCGTGTGACTTGCCTAGTCATGTCTTAGCTGCTGACCTGGAATGTACAGTTAATAAAAACCATCAAATTTTCTGTTAAATACCTCCTTTTTTCTTCCTCATATTAAAAAAAAATAATTTACAATTAAGAGACAATCAAAAGCACACACATAGAAATACAAATCTCTAAAAAAAATTCTCTTTAGACTCATCTGATTTCATTCTCTCTTTGAATGTAAACATGGAGCAGCTCCTGGGAGAATTCTGTTGTGTTGTTAAGTATGGTGTAGTTTTGAAAATTTTAAAGAGAAGCATAAATCTGCATCCCATAATCAGAACTGCACTGCCAACTGATGCTGCTTCAGCTGTATGCTGGGTTGCTAAATAGGTTGAATGAAACATCTGTGTTTAAAAAGGGTGCTCTAAGGCATGTAGGTTGATTGAAATCTTAATCAAATAATATCTGCCAGGATAAAAGGAAAAGGTAATGATTTGAGTTAATGATGGTTCTGTTTAAGCAGCTGAGTGCTATTAGAAAACCAAATACAGAGGGAAAAAAAGCAATTGTTAATTACATTTTACTGCATGTGATTATTATGGAAAAGTAACTTGGGGGTTGTGCAATTTTTTTTAATAATTTTTTTTAGTTGCTGAACAAGAAGTTGGATGCTGAGAAGTTTTCTAACTGCTTTTTCTGTTTTTGCTGAAGGGGCGTGATGACCTCAGACAAGATGCTGTCATGCAACAAGTTTTCCAGATGTGCAATACGTTGCTCCAGCAAAACACTGAAACACGAAAGAGAAAATTAAATATCCGAAGATACAAGGTAACCCTGAACAGCAGAGAAATAAAGTGTATTTCTCCATTCTCCACTTTTTTAATCCAAAGACAATATAAAAGGATATTTATTTACGTGTTATTAAGATAGTCACTGCTCCTTAAGGTATGGAATAAACAATACATTTTAATTATTACTATTTAATTTTTTCTAAGTCCTTAAAATAAATTTCTGATGCCCAGTGTATATTTAAATACTCTTCAAAGCTTTCTTCATGTGAACCTGTAATTGAAAAGAAATTAACTCATGCACTAACCTTGAATTGTAAGTTTCTAGTCATTAGACTTGAGCATTCAAGTGTGTTTATGAATTCTCAATTATTTGTCTTGTGATATTCCTTAATAATTAATTTTAGTCTTGCAGTATCCCTTACAGTTGAATCCAGAAGTCCTATCTAGGGTCTATTCATGCAGAATTTGAATTGCAGAACTTTTTTGTTGGAATTGGGAATACAGCAATACATTCTTATTGTGAATGCTGAAAATGTATTTGAAGAGGAACTTTCCCTTCCTCCATCCTTTTTATGTGCTTGGGATTATAATAATAGCTGTGAAGGTGACCTCTGAATAAGTATTCTTGAAGGATAATCTCTTGTCTTTGACAAATGGGAAATATGCACTCTGGAATCTCTAAAGGTGCTTATCTGAATTGCTAGCATGGTTTTAAGAATTCTCAGGCGGAGTTAAAGTCGCACTTTTTGAATAATCTTCAATTAAGAATCAGGGTTTTATGTGTGCAAAAATGAATGACATCAGGGAAAAAGAGAATGGATGTCGCATTATGAGATAAAGACACTTGCATAAGAAAAGGAAATTGAAGGAAAAAGGCAGTAACTATTTTACTGAGGGCAGGAGATGGTTCCTTCTGGCCAGTGCTACAGCAATTGAGGTAACCTTTACAGCCAGTCATGCAGTGAGCAATTGTTCCCTGGGGTGGGAAGCAGACTAAGACAAGCCTGATATGTTCACACAGCTGCCGTGTGTTTGTGTGAGATTTTACTTACTGTATGCAAGCTGCACAGTGCCTGTGTTATCCCATTCCAACAGAGTGACCTGCTGGCTGTCACAGGTCATCCAGAATGCCAACACAAACATGCACATTGAGGAGAATTGTTAATTTGTACTGAAGTATGCTAGTGGAAGGTTCTCTGGGCTAGATAAAAATTGCAAATATTTGGTGAAAATATATATGTATACGTGTGTATTTAAAACATGTATTGTGGTCAGCTGTATGGTTTGTCCTTTTTTGTCTTTATAAACAAACACAGATGTGCAGCCGTGCTCTGCAGGGTGCCTATTCATAGTTTTGTGTGTATAACCCTCCCCCATGCAGCCATGGTTTTATTTTTACAGGTGGTTCCCCTTTCCCAGAGAAGTGGTGTTCTCGAGTGGTGTTCAGGAACAACTCCCATTGGGGAGTTTCTTGTGAATGTCGAACAAGGAGCTCACAGGAGATACAGGCCAGGAGATTACTCTGGTTATCAATGTCAAAAAATAATGATGGTGAGTCAAAATAACTTAAAAAACCACCAAAAAAATAGATGGCTTATAATATTTACAGGGGGTTGAGGGGTAGGGGGGAAATTTACAGAGAATTCTATACTATACTTCTAGTATATATAATAATGAATATGATTAGTGGCATGGAATGAACAAATATTCAGACTTTTAGTTAAATTCCGCAGACTGCCTCACCATAAGTTTAGAAAATTGCAGACAGATTTGCCTGTTAGTTTATGTTCCCATGATGGTGCAAGAAATTACTTCCTTTGAAATATCTATAGCATTAACAGGATAAAAGTAATTTTGCCTTTGTGCACCTTTTGCATGGGAATGAGTGAGAAGGACTTTCTCACAGTGACATGAAGCCACCAGGTAAGCAAAGGTGCCAGAACAGAGTGCCAAGAATGGAAGTGTCTCCCAACAAGATGCATTTACCTGTAAATGCTTATAAAATATGTGCACCTGCTGAACCAAGGGAATAGGAGTGTGGGTTTTTTCCACATTTTCTAGCCCATGAGTTTTGTATGAAAATGTAATTGTTTGTAAAACAGATAGATAGATGCATTAGTAATTGCTTTCAAAGAGACAATAATTTATAGCTCAGAAAGAGAAAGGAGTGAGAATAGCATTTGTTGGAGGGAGAAGGTAGAAAGTAGGAATCTGTTCTTTCAAAGGAAGATGTAATTTCCTCCCAAAGCAGTTAATCATGGGTAAAACATTTCATATGTGTTTAAAGGATGCACAAAAGAAACAACCTGAAGAGAAATACAGAATCTTCTTGCAAGTCTGTGAGAATTTTCAACCTGTGTTTCGGTATTTCTGCATGGAAAAATTCCCGGATCCAGCTGTGTGGTTTGAAAAACGATTGGCATACACTCGTAGTGTGGCTACGTCTTCTATAGGTATTACATTGTCTTAGTTATATTGGCTTTTTAGCTTATGTAACCAAAAAGTTTATACCATTTTGGAAGCAGTGGCTGTTCTGCTTTTATCACGTGCCACAAAAGGCATAATAGGGGACAAAAATTTCCAGCAAGAACACCACCATTATTTTTGTAATTAAGATTTCTGATTTGTTCCTCCCTACCCCCATATCTGCTGCAGTAGAAAGACAGAATAAAATTCTGCATTTGTTTTATATAGTGGTTTGTATTTTTAGATTCTGGTAGTGTTTTTTAAAGTTTCTACCTGACTGTTTATTTATGGTTTTTCTATTTAACATTTATTCATTTCATGTGTAGCCTCAGATGTTTTAACTGAGTTGAAAAGCTCAGTCTTTTACTTTCTTTATACTGGCATCATCAACCATGGCTGAAATGGTTATTTAGGCTCTGGCATTTTTCCTTTGTTTTTTTCTGTCCTAATAAAGATGCACTTGGATTGTGGATCTTCTTTGGATGGCTCAGCTCTGTAATGAGACTCTCAAAGACATTTGTTAGTAAATTGTATACATTGCAGTAGATCCCATTTTAGATGCTAACATGTTTATACACTCCCTTTTTTGCTGAAAAAAAAAGAAGCAAGTAAATCTACAGTTTAGCAGAATTTTCATGAATTATTTTAGTAGGAAATACTGCTGCTGATCATCAGCTGATGAAAACAGTAATGGGCGTAAATTGCACCAAGGGAAAAGTTGTGTGGAGGTTGTCTTATTTAAGGACAGTAAAGCACTGAAATAGGCTTTACATGAAAGATCTGATAATTTGGATCACTGGAGATTTTTAAAACTGACTTAGACAAAAGTCAGTTGTTGGTTTGTTGTTTTGGGGTTTTTTTAAATAAAACAGTAATAGTAACAAAACCTAATTGTATTATGCACCTCATTTTCATCTTTTTTTTTTTGAATGCTGCAATATTTGATAAACCTACCTATGAAGAGAAATGGGCAAGAAGTCTGTGGAATAGATAAAACAATACACATCTGTATGAAAACAATATTTTTGCAATTGCATTCAGTTAAACTTTTCCGGTTTGTGGAATGGCATTTGCACTTTCCCTATGTATGGGAGAAGAAATATTCTCACTAGTAATTAGTTTGCACCTGTGTTACAGTGATTTTAATAATCTTTCTTAAGCTTTCTCTGATTTTTATTACATGTAAATATGGTTTCAGCATTCACCTTTTTGTTTCAGTTGGCTACATTCTTGGACTTGGAGACAGACATGTTCAGAATATCTTGATAGATGAACAAACAGCAGAACTAGTGCATATAGATCTGGGTAAGTGGGACAGGCAAGAAAACACTAATTTTTCTTTAGTTTAAGTTCTTTTAAAACATTGATTTTCCTTTCATTTAGGGGTTGCCTTTGAGCAAGGTAAAATCCTTCCCACACCAGAGACTGTTCCATTTAGATTAACCAGGGACATTGTGGATGGAATGGGTATTACTGGCGTGGAAGGAGTCTTCAGAAGGTAAGTGCTCCCACAGTGCATGGGGATAAGGAGGCAGCAGAGTACTTCCAGCATTATGATTGTTGTTACATGTTAAATAGTTCTGATCCTAGAGGGGAGACTCAGATTTCTGCTGATAACATGAACAATGAAATACCTAAATGCTTACCTTTAACTTATGGGCTCATATTTATATAACCAATTGTAAGTTCATTATTGCTGCTCAGTGTTTCATGCTCCTCACTAGCTAATGGGTAATTATCACCCACTTGTGGCATTCAGAGAGGGCATTTCCAAAGGCTCCACAGCTAACCCCTGAATTAGAATGATGAATTTTTTTTTCCTTCAGAACTGTTGTTCTTTCAGAGCTATACTGTATATTCAGAACTGTTAAATGTCTTTGAACAAATTTTAACTCTAATTTCTGTTTAGTTTTATGTAAGTAAACTGGAGTCTTTTTCCCCATTTGGATCATATATTTGATACCGCTTTGCAAGTACAAAATATAAATCCTACAATAGATTTGAACTGTAAAACAGAAAAATCCCCAAAGAGTTGAGTTTCTGTCAATCTCCATCCTATATCCTGTGAATGACCCATGAGAGCCCTAAGAAGCAGGACGTTTCTCTCATTCCAGACTTTAATGATGTTCATGAACATAGTGCTTGCAAACCTCAAATTTAATGTCTTTAAAAAAGTATATATTTTAAGTGTTGTCTTTCTAAGGCAGCAATTAACGTTAATAAGTAGTTCCTGGTACACCTTTGTCCCGTGAAGAAACAGTCACTGCCACTTCTATTCTAAATTTACAGTTTTGTGTTACTTCTAAAACCTTTGCTCCATGATACAGAAAAACATGAATTGCCTGGCTCCAGCTGAAGTAAATACAGCATAAGAGGCACTGATGCAGATTCTGTCTCAGTCAGACTGACTTGTAATAACAGTACTGGCGTAACTGCCATAAACAAGTTATTTCAGGATTGAATGTGAACATGGTCAGTTAACTTTGGGGGGAGAGAGGTGTTCTCATCCTGAAGTAGACATGAAGCCTAATCCCATTCAGTGGAGTACCTGTCCGACAGGAAAGCTCTGCATTCCTTACACAAGCTGAGTTTGCTTGGGAGTGAATGTAGGAGTGAATAACAACTTCTAAATCAAAACCTGTAGCAGAGATTCCAGAGATTGCTTAATGTCTGGTTCTGGATCTGTTCATTTCATATAAAGGAACCCTACCAAGGTTCTCCAATATGTTGCAGAGCACCTCTGGCACACAAGTTTTCATTCATCCAAGCAATTCTGCCATCGTGGCACACCTCAGCAGGCAGTGTTAACTCAGTGGTTAATTCTGTATATAGAGACATCTCAGACAGTGAAACAGGTCATTCCTTTCTCTTAGAGAATATAATCAGCAAACTACCCAGTCTCCTTCTGGTCTTACATGTGTAAGTTTCTTTTTTTTTTTCCAAATGGAAATAAGAGAGGTTACTCTTACAGTAGAAATTTTAAGTAGAGTACAAATATTCATTATTTAAATCATGAAAATGGCATTACATTTTACCAAAAGAACCTAAAATACAGTAAAATGTTTTTAGATGCTGTGAGAAAACAATGGCTGTTATGAGAAATTCTCAAGAAGCTTTGCTGACTATTGTAGAGGTAAGCATTTTCTCTTTCTTTTGAACAGTAACCTGCCAGAATGTCTTCAGTTTCTTGCTCTTGGTCTTCATATGTATTACTACACCGAGTATTCATTTAAGGTGAAGGGTTTGTACTGAATTTGAATGTAGTAGTGTTGGCCAGATTTGTTAATTCATGTATCCTTCAGTAAGCATTTTCTATGGGAACTGTTTCCTTCAGTTTACTCTCTTCAATATCTAAATGTTTCTAGCCATAGTGCAGCATTGCCATTTGAATTAAATCCTCTTTGCATAAGTCACAAAGAAGAGAAAATGAAACTCATTTTTAAGAGCAACATATACTTTGCATTAAATGCTAGTGATTCTTTTTAGTGCCTAGCAGAGTATTAAAAAATTACTTATTCACTGCCAAGATGGACTGAGTGGCAAAACTGAGTTGAAGTATGAACAGCACAAATACCTGCAAATGATCAGATGCAGTCTTACTGTTGGATTGCCTACTAAGCAATTTAGCCCAATTCTATTGGTTAAAAACAAACCATACCAAAACACCTAAACCTCCTAATATTGTGGTTAGTTGTGAGCATTACCAACAGTGCTAGGGTACTGAACTAGCTGTGATTAACAGTTTAAATTAAAAACAGGATTGTTTTCTGTGTAGGTGCTGCTCTATGATCCTCTTTTCGACTGGACCATGAACCCCCTGAAAGCTCTGTACCTGCAGCAGAGACCAGAGGATGAGGCTGAGATGAGCTCTACACTCGGTACTGATCCACAGGAACGTAAAAGAAAAGCCAGGTGCAAGATTTTTTTCTTACTGTTTTCCTGCTGCACTCTTGCCTTGCTTTATGGTTGTCTTATTGAATATTACTGGTGTTGTTCAGGATCTGTATCTAGAACGCCTGTTTTTCTTTTATTTTCTGCCAGCAGTGACGACCAGAGCTTTAACAAAGTGGCTGAGCGTGTTCTGATGAGACTTCAGGAGAAGCTGAAAGGTGTTGAGGAGGGAACAGTGCTCAGTGTAGGAGGGCAAGTGAACCTCCTCATACAGCAGGCCATGGACCCTAAAAATCTGAGCCAACTCTTTCCCGGATGGAAACCCTGGGTGTGACTCCAGAGGATCCAGCATTCTTTAAAAAAAAAAAAAAGCAAACTATTTCTATGTAGCAAGTGTCTTAACATTTCAAACTGGTATTTCATAAATAAAATTTGTATCAGGAGCAACCATGAAGCCTTATACATATTAGCATTCAGTGAATGGTTTGGGTTTTTTTCAGTAACATTTAACTGAGAAAACATTTTTTTGTCCAGTTAGGTTCACCATACAGTATAAACACTAAGCTTTGATGTTCCTTTTGACCCTCAAGGACTTGGCTTGGGTGTACTGGTTGCATTGTATTCTTAAAGCCTGAGATTCATCCCTTTGTGTATATGTTAAATAGCTGGAGTCTTGTGTCTAGTAATTTTGTGTGGTAACATGTCTGCAGAATGGGTGATCTAATAACCAGGAGTCTTACATTTCTAAAGGGAAGTTATACTTTAAAATAATGCCACAGCGAAAGAAAAGAAAACCAGAGGACCTCATGTTTAATGAACCAAGGGTTCTTGGGGTTGGGTTTTTTTAAGCTTAGTTAAATGGATACGTCTGTATATAGATGTAGACTTTAAGCCAAGTATAATATAGCTGCCTTTTTTCCATTGTAAATTGAATTATGTTGGTACTTTATTTTTATAGTAGTCTTAATAGTATAAAACAATTAAAAAGATTTCACTTCTGTATCTCAGGCTTCCTTGGTAAAATAAGTTGACTATACAATGAAACTTAGCACATCAGAAATGCCTCTAAAGTGAACAATCATTCTGCATCTGGAATAAACACCTGTCAGAAACATTGAAGTTGTATTTCGAGTACAAAAATCTCATTCTGATTGCACGTGCTTTTACAGAGGACATTGCTCTTTCTTAAAAAGAAAAAATTGGGTAGTCTGTGAATATGGTTAATCAGAAAATCAATTCAAAAACCAGTCTTACTGGTATATTTAATAAATCTTCCTGAATCATCTTTAAAAATAGGAATGAAATTTAGTGTACCCTCACATTATCTTAGTTTAGATTTTGTGCATTTTTACAGCAGTATTAGTGAATAATTCCCATTCTAATTGGCATTTCATGGGTTTTTATTTGTACAATGTTCCCACAGTTTTTAGGCTGTATCTTTATTTCATAAGATAATGTCAACATGGCAAATGAACCTTTTGTACATTTCTCCAGGACATTTCTCCAACAGATGTTTCACCTGAAAAAAGCTGTATTAGCAAGTAAACCAATTGGAATTGTATACCTTGATGGAACTTTTCCATTATCAGGAATTCTGTTCTGTGACTAGGAATCAGATAAGTTTGGCTTGCTGGTGAGGTACATACAGTTTAAACAAAATAAGGATGTTGGTCTTCATGAGTGCTGTTTTGTGGAACCTGTGGATGGCCTGAAACAGCTCTCAGGGAGAGATTGCCTAATGCTAGCACTTAGTGATGATACTTAAATATTACAGTTAAATAAAATTGTTCATTTCAGCAGGTAGACTGAAGAGTGAATCCACAGGGAAAGCTGCGAACTGTGCAAAGGAAAGTTTAGATTCTCTTCCCACCACATTTGAAAGCCTTCCCTGTATCCTGATTGTGTGAGAAGACCAGTGTTGTGTTCACATAACACATCACCTGTCCTGCATGTGAGCACCCCTATACTTAGAGCTTTCAGGGATGCATGGTGCATAATGTCAGTAATATCCTTAAGGGTGCACACAGCTTCCCCCATTATTTCCTCACTTCTGTACATGTATCCACAAAAAATATGGTGCTGAGGGACTATACCTTTGCCTGCCCCAGAGAGTTCCCACTGCAGCATCAGTTGCTTATGGATCAGCAATTTTGTGTTGTCGAAAGTAAACAAGTGGTGTGATAGGAGTGAAGCAATTTCCTGAGATGTAGTTCTGCTTCTCCATCACAGTGAGCACTGTTTTCATAGGAAGCTGGACAACTATCACCTAAAAAGTTTCTTAGTTTATGATGCTTTGGTAAACATTATGGAATAGATTTTTGTGGTGGGCAGGATTAATTTCTTAGTCTCTGGGAAAATTCCTTTATGCTGTGTGAGTTGTCAGCATCTGAAGTGACAAAATGTCAGTTCCTTAAACTGAGTGAAGTCCATACATTTGTGATTTTGTGCATTATTTAACAACAGATGGTTAAGTAGTGCTTCCACATCCATTATATAAGCATATATTTTACTGAAGTACCTAATTACAAAACTTCCATCTGAAAAAAAGATAAAATTTCACCAAGTCTTTTCAGTTTTCACCAGTGCCTCATACGAACACATAGCATTATGCTTCCCACTTCTTATTAATGATCATAGTATTTTTGTACAGTATATCCTCAGTAAAGGGAGAGCAGATTCCTTCTTTTATGTAATTTTTTTTCAACCTAGATACAGATCTGTTAGATTCTCACCAAAGGAGTTAACACTTCCCTACAAAAAACAGCTTCGCCTCCGCTTGTACTTTCCCCAGACTACCTGCATCTGTGGTAGAGAGTTCTTTAGATTTCCCATGGAGATAGATTTTTAGTTCAAGAAGACCGAACATTCAGTTGTAGGTGTTTCACAAGCCACTGCAGAGAGAACAATGGCTTTGGAAACTCTATCCAGAAGTGCTTCCTACAGAGTTCATACTATATAAAGTAAACAACTAATAAGGTAGTTGTACTTCGTCTCTCATGACTCACCTGGAATCTCCAGACATCTTCTAGACATTGAACCCCTGAGCTTACCTTTGAGTAAACACTACTTTTGGATTTGGGCCCATCAAACCAAAGGAAAATGTGAAATTATATAGTTGTACAGTAGCTGAAGCTTGTGGTATATGTGTTCCACAACATACCTTCCACCCCCACTGTCCTATTCTTTAAGGGAATTTAACTTCAAAGTCATTGTTCAATAGAGAGTTCCAGTTTGTCCTCAAGTCTCCAGCCCTGCTTTCCCCCTGCCTTCCTTGTGTGGAAGTTGTGGATAACATTTGTCAAGGGGAGAGGCTGTGTTCAAATGAGTACTTCCTATGGATAGCTCCCAATCCAGATGTTTTCATGGAGGAGAGCCTCTTGGAGTGCACCTGACCCATGCTCAAGTGGTTGGCACTTCAGGATTAGACCAGTCCTCCTCAGTTAAGATTTGCATTCTGTGAAGTTTGCCAAGATACCTGAAACAACTCTTACATTATTTAAATCTTTGAAAGTAACATCAACTTATTAAATTAAAATTTAAATCAGACATAAAAAAAGTGAAGCAGTGTCTAACCAACCTTGTCAGTATCTTTCACTCTGCTTGTCTTCATGCTGGTTTGCGTTTCTTTTTTCTACCAGACTGTCTGACTGCATCCACAGACCAAGTCCAAGGATGCATCCCTGGCTGGGGCACTTTCAGGTACCATGTACACTTACTGCCGTAGGAGGAGATGTTAGATCAGTTTCTGAAATATCTCTCTGTTGCTAGACCAGCCTGCAGTTGTTGCTGTTTTAGGTTGATGCCAAATTCTGAATTGCGTGAATAGGGTGTACTATGAGGTCATCTCAGAATGTTCAGGATATAAAACCCTGTTGAGCCAAGCAAGTGCTATCCATTGGCCCTCTGGATCATGTTCCTGGAATGAACTGTCTGACAAACCTGAGCCTGAGTATTGCTCAGGAAAAAACAACTGGTGCTGCCCAAAGCAGAGCAAATAAATTAGATGATTATCAAGCAGCATGGAGAGTCAAGGATCCAATTTGTTTGATCCATGGCCCTCAAGCATACTTTCCTAGCCCTTTCTTTATTTAAGAAAAATCCAAGACAAACTACATGGTTCCTTAGGGCTTAGAGCTAATGCTTCCACCAGGCAAAAGGTGTTTAGGTAAATGCTAGAGATGCAAAGGTTAAAGATTAAAATTCCTGGTGATAAGCACTAAAAGTATCACTTTGTAACAACTTTTGGGGGTTTTTGGTTTGTTGTTGGTTTGTGTTCTGGTTTTTTTTTACTTAGTAATTTCTGGTTAATTTTGCTCTAGTGTTTAAAAAAAAAATTATTTCTCACAAAATCAGTTTGTTGGTCAGTTTTTTTCCAGACAGCAAGGTAACTCCTAAATTACATCCAATGACTTAAATTATGTCAGTGTAAATGAGAGGAGAATCTGGTTCTTTACATGATTTTGTTTCGAGTATTTAGACTTGCCTCACTACCTTAATCAGTTGATAATGTATGTTAACACACCTATACATTGCATAATATGTAAGTAGATCGTAGACACTAAAAGCCCTTGGCTATGTCAAAACAGAGAAACTGATGCCCTATCAGCACACAGTTGTCCTACTCATATAATTAAAACCAGTTTTAAATCAATTTATTTAGGTCTGTGAAAACCACAGTAGGTGCACGCCTCCATGTGACACACATCTCATTATAATTACCTCTTATCTGTTCACCTTAGTTCTGTCATTTGCACACAAGGTCTTGTAAAGCAATGACAATAAATGAGGTATTGTGTTAAGGTAGACATTATATACAGAAATATAAACACAGACCTTTGAGCCTCTGGTACTCCTCAGCATATACAATGATTACTTCAAGCAAAAGTGTTCTGTCATCATTCAGTTCCAAATTACCAGTTTTACTTCATGTAAAACATGGAAGTCAGCTTGTGGGCTCCCTGTTTGCACTGTTCCCACTGACCTTGTCAACTGCTTTCCTTCTCACTCCTACACTATTTTTTGAGTCTTGGTTCTAATGGTTATAAAGATTATATAGTATCCCCTTTTTTTGATTCCAAAAGCCTTTACTGAATGCATCTTTCAGCCACACTTCACTCACTGTTTCCTGACTTCATTACAGCATCTGCAAGACAGATCTAGCTCAGGGGTCTTTTTATATTTTGTTGCTGTGGAAGAACTACTCATTGCTTAATATAGGCATGCTCGAAGCTTTTAAAGTTAAATAATGCATTAAGAAATTGCATGTCTATAAAATCATTTTAAGAAATTATTAAGATGGTATTTTTTTTTTTTACATTTCTATCCTATTGCACTTTTCAATTACTCTTTATTAGAAATATGAGTGTTTCAGTAAGAAAGTGATCCAATTGGTATACAGCAAGGACTTTAATGGATTTCTTAGCTGAAGGAGGAGGTTGTTACAACATATTCTGTATATAAAATAGGTAATTTACTTTTATTGCTGGCATTTACAATGCATTTAACATATTGAATTAATGAATAACTCATTATTTTGCTCTTCCAGGTCTCTCTATGAACTAATTAGAATTTATCGAAAATGCTTTGCCATTCACTAAGAAGAAAATTAGGGCTTCCTTGTTGTAGAGAGCTCAATTTTTTATGATATGAAAGGGGTTTATCTTTGTGGATGAATGCAAACCAACTGTTTTTCCTGAAAGATTCATGAGATCACTCCCACGTATTTATGTGTGGCCTCTGTTGTGTACAAGAAGACACACATTTCCTAATACTGGAAGTGCTGAATAGAAGGAAAGTGCTGCAAAGGACTGCATTCGCATTTATGAGATTATCTTTTGCTTTTCAAAAAGTACAGTCAGAACGAAAATAAACTTACTTCTAAAATACATTAAGTGCACCTGCAGTTGTGTTACAATTTCGATTAACAAATCCATATGCCAAAATAAAAGACAATAAAACCAGCGAATCCATAGAGTAATTCAAAGGTGTAGGTGAAGTATGGAGAAATCTTGACTGCAACAGTTGTACATTTCAAACCAGGCCTTTAAGAGACTGTTGAGGCTTTGGGATTCAGCTGATAATTGCCTATGACACTTCACTGTGGAAAAAGAGTGAAGCTTTCTTAGGCAGTGTCAACCTATATGATAAGAGTGACTGATATTTACCTGTTTTCTCAAAGATGAACACTCCCTGTGTCTGGAGCAACAACCACAAAATTTTAGAAATAAATACTGAATCATGATTGGCATTGATGAGTCTGGCACAAAATATTTGCCTTTCATAGTACTTTCATCTGAAGTTCTAACTTACTACACAGATTGTATGTGCATTTTTTAATCTAGTAAGTTATGAAAGGGTTCTGTAATGCCTGCCTACGTAGTCCTTCCTTACTTCATGCTAACGCTTACTGAAAGGATCATCTTGTGAAAAATAAATGACTTTTCCACCCTGGCCTCTACACTACAACTTGAACAGAAGTCTAAGCAGTGTCTAACGTTTCAATATCCATGTATATATAACTGAATTGAGGCATACTAATGGTATTTTTTCATGAGGTAAAGTTGAATAAGGAGGAGGAGGTTTGGAACAGATATCAAGTAATTATGGAAGAAAAGCAGAAATTTAGTGAAAATGCCAGACAGCTCAGCAACAATTTTGGCAATTTTAGCTTCCTTCCAGCAATTTCAGGTGTGGTAGCCATAATTCTTATTTAAATACCTAAAAAGCATGAGACATTTATACAGGACTATGATATTGCAAGTTATTTAAATATCAAAAAACAAGAGGCAAGCAATTTATTCCTAAATTGAAGCAGATGCATTTACCAAGACATTTCAAGTAAAAGAACATGTAATCATTTCATGCCATTTTTCAAATCTCCCTGTAGTATCTAATTCAGAAATCTACGCACCATAGGCTCACTCTGTAGCCACCAGAGCTAGAAAGGTACTTCCCCAGAGCAATTTTACAACAACTAAGATATCAATTGCCCTGCAAGGGTTCTTCCTGATGACTACATAGAGAACTTAAAAAACTACGCTCCTTGCTGATGGAATAAATCTGGTCACTGAAAGTCTGCCATGAGAAACAGGTTCAGCTGAAAACAGAAAAAAAATCAAGATTGAGTTTGAAAAAAAGCTGTGTCTTGGTAGGAGCAGACCACCCACAAATCTGTGAGTCAATAACACTGCCTAGTGATTAGCACTGCAGAGATTGTGAATTTAGGAATCTATTTTTATCCGCTTGACTTGCTTTGGTGAATACATTCAAAATATGCAAATATTCTTCATGCTTTTGTACCATAGCCGTTTTGTGCATCCAGAATGAATACCACAGAGAATATCATGTACCATGAAATGATAAGTGCAGTACCTAGCCTGGTTTTGATTAAAGCATTTTCTACAACACCTAGCAACTCTGTCTACAAGTAGAAAGGTAATAATCCGTAATGCTTGCGTCCTACTGAGAAATTAAGTCAGGAAGTATATTACTGTGAATACCGTTTCAGTTACTTGGCAGTACTTGCAGAAACAGGCTCTTGATCAGGTTTAGGTCCTTTACCAGAGAAACTAGAAAACACACAAAACATAATGAGGTTTCTAGCAGACAGACAAAGTTGCTTAAAAAACCCATCATCTACCGTCTCCCAGGAACAGGCAAAGGAAGTCAACTTGACCCATAAATATTTCCATATTTATGAAACAGCTTTCAAGTGGCTTATGAGAAATGAGTTCCAGTCCATTATAATTAATACTAAAAGACAGCTGCCGTCTGTGTGCTTAGTTTCTTCTGTTCTTCCTTCCCTTTAGTTTTGTCTTTACTTTGATGTTCAGCTTTGTTTTCCCTTGGATCATAGTTTCAGTTGTTTTCATCCTCACAGTGCACCCATAAATGTGGGACCAGAAAACACCGAGGGGCAATCAAAAGTAACTGTTTGATTTACATTACCATAATAAGCCTTATTTTACAACACCATGCCACAACTACAAAACAGTGAGATGAGCCAGTAGTAGAACACAACAAGCCACTAGTAGAACGTATCTTACACTGCACTGTGTAACTTCTACAGCCCTTGTCTCCTGAAGGTAAAAACTCTTCACCAGAGGAGGAAGATGTGTTCCTCTAAAACTTGTAAGTTCTTTGTTGTAGTGAAATACATGTGCATCCTGTAGAGAAGTGCAAATACACACTTGCAAAAGCCATAGTCTTTGTAACTTACAGTTGGGGAAAAAAGCTGTGAAGAGATTTTCCCATGCCCAACCTTACAGAATTTAAGAACCACAGTCATTGAAATGGTCCAATAAATCATATTCACATAGAAGAAATGGAACACATTGTTAGAAGAAATAGTTTATTTTTATATTAGAATAAGCTAATAGTTAAAGAGCTTTCAGAAAGAAATACATATAGGTATAAAGCACAGTCCTACATTCATTACTTAGAAAATATGTTGCAATACAGCATGTATATCCCTCAGTTTATTTGTCCTGGAAATAATTACTAAGTAAAACTCAGCTCCTCTTCTCCAGCTTAGGCTTAATAGAGCTACTTTGAAAAATAATGTTTTAATATTACCGAACTTTTTTTTTTTTTTTTTTTTTTTTAAAGTAAAACCAGGTCATCTTATTGTTCCTTGAATTTTTTTCTGGCCATTAGTAACTGTTTGTGACATGTAGAGTATACTATTCCTCCTTCCTTTTAAATAATAATAGATAATAAATGTATAACTGATGAACTACAGTCATCTGTTGGACAAGCAAACATGTAGGACAGGTCCTTACTTATGGAAGAATGACCTCTGTAGGTACATGGCCTTGAAGAAAAAAAAGGATTTACACAGAAGGACACAGAAGGGAAAAAGCAGGAATACTGAAAGGCAAAGAAGGAGGGAGCAGGTTTGTGGCCTCTCTCAAGAGCTGGTCCAGAAAACAGACTTGGGTATCATCAGAGAGCAGAAAGGAGATGAGCGGTGGACCTGAGGCTGAACAGGATACCAGTGTGAGTTGGGAATAATTCTGTGATCATCCTTAGGGATGGCACATAATTTCTTATCCAATGTTAATTCAAACTGTTTTATCTGGTATATAATGACATGGTCTTTAATTTTGTATTACAGACCTTTTATTTCCACACAAACCCCTTGTGTCACACAAACTAATCAGAGGAGGAGTGCATCTTTTCCAAAAAGCTGCAGAAAGGATTCAAACTAACACAAATGTTTGCAAAATAAAAGCTTGATTACTTGAAAAGATAAATGGGATACACATTTCTAAGTACAAGGAGGAAAAGAACTACTTAAGATAAATAAAAATTATTCCTAAAACTAACAATAAAACTGAGAAGCAAGAACAAAAACTGCTTTAACTGAAAATCAAGAATAGTTCCTGGAAGATGTAAGCACTAGACTGGGAAAAGTATCTAGCAATGAACAAATCTGCATTATCAGTGGCAGAAAAAGCATGAGCTAAAGGGACTTAGAGATGTCTAAGTACTATGATTCTGATCCTCATAAATTAGAACATAATTTCTATTATCTCTAGAGAAATACAAAAGATACAGACTCTGACTAAAGGAACAGCTATCAATGTTTCTCCTTCAGCAGGATTAATCAGAGACAGCGATTACTAAAGGTCTTTTTGATACATAAACACAATTTCTATTACTGCCAATGAGATTCTACATTTTCAGCCAGTGAAGAGCAGCCCTATCAATCAATGATGACACCTATACAAATCTCATTATTAGAGGGAGAAAAAGAGAACAGGGGTTTATGTGAGGAAAGACACAAGGTTTTCTACTATGTGTAAACATATCTGCAGCAAAATATGAGACAATTAAATGTAGAAAATTATCCAAAATACTGGATCTGATGTACATAACTCAGTATTTCTTGTTGCTAATTACTTAAACTTAGACCTCCTGTCACCTTCCATCTGAGTGAGTACCTGGCCTCAGGGAATATTTCTAGCCAAAAAAAAATTGGTTCATACAAATTTTTCTTCTTTCTTGATTGAAATGCAATTAGAACTCTACCACACACAAAAATAAAACCAGTTTATCTATAAAACCACTCACTCTCCAAAACATACTTGTTTAAGAAAGCTCCAAGGGGAAAATTGATGACTGAAGATCCAGGGCTCCCAAAACCTCTTGGTTTGGTCTGTAATTTTGAGTATTGAAAAAGTGGTGCTTTAAAAAATATTTGTACTGCATTAAAAGCCCAAAATTTATAGAAAAATCCCAGGGTTGTCCCCCCACTCACCCTTGTTTATCAAACACAGTACTTCAGCCTGGAGAAGAGGAGACTAAGGGGTGACCTCATTATTGTCTACAGTTTCCTCACAAGGGGAAATGGAGGGGTTGGCACTGATCTCTTCCCTCTGGTGGTCAGTGATAGGACCCGAGGGAATGGCCTGAAGTTGTCTCAGGGGAGGTTTAGGTTGAGTATCAGGAAAAGGTTCTCCACCCAGAGGGTGGTTGGGCTCTGGAACAGGCTCCCTGGGGAAGTGGTCACAGCACCAAGCCTGACAGAGTTCAAGAAATGTTTGGACAGTGCTCTCAGGCACCTGGTGTGTCTCTTGGGGCTGTCCTGTGCAGGGCTAGGAGTTGGACTTTGATGATTCTTGCAGGTCCCTTCCAACTAGTAGCTGTCATGAAGATCACAGAATGCAATCTCAATGCCTGAATGATGAAATTGCCCTCCATTTTACATTTCTGGGTCCATTTATCTTTCCACAGTGCTTGTTTCCCCCTCATCCTGGCAGGGAGGTGTCTCCACAAGCTGAAGCTCATGTCACAACATGAAAAATGTGCTTCCTGCCAGCTGGGAATGAGCACAGAAACCCACCTTTTTCCTTGAGGAGTAAGCCAGGAGGAGGGGGTGACTCACGGGGAGCTGGCACTACCCAGCAAGCCCAGCCTGCTCCAGGCCAGGGGTGTTGGATGGCTGCTGGGGAGTGACTCTTAGCCGTTTTTTTTTAATTTGATATTTGTTTAGTATGGTACTTCTATTACTGAATAGTTTAAGAGTTTAAATTAGCATCTAATTCATGAGCATTCAGGAAGGAGAGCATCAGTGATATCCTCCCTGTCAGAATATCTAATTTCTTAAAGAAAATTATAAGAAGAAGGAAATAATGCTCACTGACAATAAAGTTGATTTCAATGACTGTTGAAGAAATGCAATTTAATCTCCATATAGATCCATTTTAAAATGGATGATTTCATATTCACACTATAGATCCAGATTGAGGGAGTGGAAAATTTTAAATACATCAAAGAAAGAAGAAACTTTATTTCAGTTTATTAACCCTTATTATCATGTAGCATATTATCCTGTAATATTTTCTTTATCAAATGCATAAAAACAACCCAAAACAATAACTGAAGTATTTTTTAGTTTTATTTTTTATTTTGAAATAAACCTCTATATACGATTAATGTTGTTAGATCATCTAGCAAGATAAAATCAGATAGATAAAAGAAAAGAATTCTTCTACTGATTAAGCCAGGAGATGCTGTTCCATAAAAATTTTTGCCTTTTATGCAACAAAGAGCTTCAAAATCCTTCAATAAAGAAGAGGACATAAAGCACAAGAAAAAACACACCCTAGATTTGATGATGATATTGCAACTTGATTTCAAAGACTTTGAAACAGTGATAAAAAAGCTGTGCAAGTAATATAAATTCTGTTTGAAAGCAGGCCCAGCTGTGTTAACACACAAGATAGCTTTTGAAAGGTGCTGAGGCCAGTTTTAAGAGCCAGCTCTTGCCAGAGGCCTTCATCTTCATCAGTACTCCAAATTAAGATTTATTACAGAAAGCAATTACATGTAATTTAATATTAAATTAAAATGCAAAGCTAAATCCAGACAAGTATTATTCTGACTATATGGGAAGAATACAAATGTATGGACACTATTATACAAATAGGAAACTATAAATATAAATACACAACATTGTTCAATAGAAGAACGGAGAGGCCCCTGTAATTAGTTCTAGTCTAACTGAAAATACAGGGGATAGTTTCCCTACTGTAAGTGAATTCTACCTGATAACAGCGAAAAATGCCAGGAGAGATGTCATGGCTCCCAGAACTTGAGATGCCAACCAAGGGAGTACCTACCAGCTCCACGCCTGCAGCAAGTGTTCCTGTGAAGTCGAAACACTAATTTTGTCACTCAGGATTTGTTTTCTTTGATTGTTTTATTTCCCAAGGGAAAATCTGTCTCAGCAATCAGTGAACAACTGACTCTTCATGATCTGATGATTTTTTCAAGAAGGAAAAGAGGAGAAATTTTATAGGTTTTGATTGAATTCAATACACATTATTTCTTGTGTGACAAAGAGCCTTAGCTTAGTTTTAGTCTGTATTCTTTTCAGGCAACAACTTCAAGTCTTTGGGAACTATTAGAATATATTAATTTAATCAGAAAAAATTATTTCCCAAGGAATTACTGAGTATGGAAAAAGGACTTTAACCATTTATTAACTTAGGACAATGTAGCATAGCGATCCATTTGAGGAAGTTCAAAATTAATAAGATGGTTAATTAACACAGTTTTGCAGTAAAAGCCAAACCATTTTAAGCAAGAAGCCACAGAAAATGTCTGGATTTATTCTTACTTACTGCACTGGCTTACATAAGTGACCACTATCATTACCAGTATCATTACCATTATCACTATCAGTTTTCTCTTTTTCAATAGAACTGAGAATTCCTTTGGAACAAATCAGAAGCAATTAGGGGACTACAATCTGATATGATGTAATTTTCAAGGGCCAATTTTATGGGTTCAGTGGGACTTGATGTTGTTTCTGTTGCCCTGAAAATTACAGTTTGTCAGCCACGTTTATTAGGTTCTTCATATCTGGGCATAAGTTGTTAGAATTGTGCTTGATAGTGTAATCACAAGAAATAGACCTAACTGGTAAGGAAGAAAAGCTTCTTCTCCATAACTCTTCCAGTTTTGTATAATTTCTTACTTGCTTTAGGTTTTTAGCTAGTCTTGATAAGTAATGAAGACATTCAAGGGAATTGATTTAGGGGATCAACTATTGTTAAGATATCAAGTTCCTAGAAATAGGAAACTGCTTAGCTAGCCTTAAATGTCCTGTGTCTTAAATCCAAAGATATTCAAGCCAATTTTTCATTTGCCTATGCACAGTTGCTGCTTTTCCCTTATTTTTTTCATTGGAACAGGTAACCTGCAAGACCTTATTTTTTGCTACAGATTTGAATGAACTCAGCAAAAAATCCAATGCCATTTACTGTAATGGGACGAGAGTTTGGCCTTTCTATGTGAATATAATTTGTATTCCCCATCAAAAATGATTTTTAATGGCCTCCTTAACAAGATAATCCACCAAGGAAACTTATGACAACTGCACCTAGTAACCTACTTAACAGATCCAGTTAGACAACTATTACACATTACTGCGTGCCATCAAAGCAGGGTGTAACTTAATATTAAATTAATGTAGCAAACACATTTGATAGTGGACCATAAGTGCTTGAGGAGGTTGAGGGCGATAACTTACGAGCAGAATTGTCTGGCTTTGGAGTAATACTGACTTGGGCCTGGAATGGAGGAAACACCTACTGCATATGGAGGTTCAATCCATATGCACGTTATAGTTCAATCATCAGATTCCAGTAAATGCTTTAATTTGCTGGTGAATGGTGCACACTCAGAGATGTGTGTTCATGAAGGACTTCCTGAAGATTTCATTTCGTTCATGAACAACCATATGATGGCACCTGTCCCTAGAGGAGACCTCATTCCAATTGGCATCTTACAGCGCACAGATTGTCTGGTTTTGAGTTGATTGGTTCAAGCTTTACAGGGAAAACCAAATTTTCTTGTGTCTCTCTTATTTTGAAATAAAAGATCCCGTTGCTAATGTGTGACTGAAATGGAACTGTAATGAGGGAAATATATTATCTTGCAAAAGAGTAAATAGCAATAGCCATAGTATTAATTCACTATACATATAGTATTATTAATAGTCAGGAAAAAGTCACAGTTTTTCTGGATCCTGGATCTTTGGGAATAGTTTGATTTGAGACAACATTTTAGCACAGAAAACTTACTTTCCTGCATGTAATCAGAATTTGGAAACCATTTCACAAGAAATACTCAGAATTATTCTGCATCTTAAGTATGTAGTATTTGCATTTAAGTTTTGTCAAATATTTATGATTATTATGAAGTTATAATCTAAGTGATCTGTACCACTTCTAAATGTTTAGGTTTTTTAAAGAGTCACAAGTTAATTTAGTACAAATCAGGTACTTAAAATTTAGAGCTACTTTTCACTTTCAGTCACAGGAAGTTTGGATCAGTGAGACGGTTGACTACCTTAGAAACACGAGTGAATCTTTCACGAAATAGAGGAAATACCAAAGTCTAAATACTATAGAGTGGTTGTAAAGACATGCTGGAGTTTGTCAGCAGGGGTTAGTCCACATTAAAGTTCCTTTGTTCATAAAGCAGTAGAAAGAATTTATTGGCAGAAATGCAGCTTCTATCAGCAACAAACATTCCTGACATTTTTTAAATAACTTAACTTGCAGAACAGCATAAGTAAACTATCTTAAGGACACTTGCCAGAATTAGTTGAATCTCCTTCTCTGTAGGATTTTGCTTGAGTGATTATGTCAGAGGTATGATTTTTTTTGATTCTTCTGTATCTTAAATAAAACCTTACTGTATAACCCCAGCTCTTAATTTCAATGTTTCAAATTATCTAATCTTGGAGATCACTAATAGTGTACAGTAATACAGAGCTAGACTATTGCTGAAGTATCTCTTTAAATTTATTTTGCTTATGAAGTTCAAGGCATGCTTTGCCTTCACAACAAAAAATAGACCAAAGTATCTCTACCAGACATCTTTCTTTAAAAGAGTAACAACTTTTATCTACGTGTTTTTTGGTTTGGTTTGGGATAATATAGTTTGTTTGGTTTTTTAATTCATTAAATGAAATGAACTGTACTGACAAAATCACCTTCTTCCTCAGGTAACAGCTGATGGTACTAAGCATACGAGCAAAAAAATAAAATCATCATTTGGAAGCAAAGTGAGTTTTCACTCCAAACTATTTTCAGTGAGAGCAGATTTGTATTAACAAAATACTCAGAACTCTTTCTGTTGCAACAGTGAAAAATTTCGTGAGAGTAACATGCAAGACAAAATCAGGTGTTGGTCCTGTCAGATATTAACATGGTAACAACCATTTTGGTTTGTTGTGGGTATCACTCATGAGATAAGAGCATCTCGACAGCTGGAGTGGTGAAACAGCTTGGCTGGGCATTTTGGGAGATGAAGAGTAGCTGAAAATGTGATTATTGTTACTGAAAGATAAGCAAAATCATCTTCTAATGGTAAACAACCTCTCTGAGAAGCATAAGCTAAAGGGTAAGTTACAGTCTTAAAAGTATAGCTTGGATTAATCTACTTTCAGACAGGTTCCAGCTGGGATAATGTATTTTACGGGTTTTCAGCAGGAAGGTAATCATGTTTCACATGTCCTGTATCAGGCAGGCCATTCTGGCATTCTGCTGAGCTGTTGTGAGTCTCTCCACGCTATACTGCAAACCTGCGGTACAGATCCTGACTGATTTTTTTAGAGTTGGGAGTGTGATAGGAATATGTCATGATCGCTCACCAGTGGCCTAGAGAACATGCTGATATTTATGTATAACTTATAAAGTACAGTAATATTCCTACTGACTGCTTTAAATTAATTACTTTGATGGTTCATAACTGTACTGAAAACATTTTGTAATTGTCTCATTCCTGTAAAGTGTAAATTCAGCTTCTTGAATGAGCAGATCTTGCACTTTCAATCCAGGAATATAATGCCAAATCAATGCATCCTACTTCTGTCAAATCTTCTCTGTACTGCATGACTATGACTATTATATGTGGTGATAATATATAGTAATAATGTATACTATTATTATAATTTCATAGTTTTATAATCCAACAAATACCTTCAAAACTTCATCAATATTATCAAGGGAGACATAAACATCAACAAAGTGTCAGAACACAAAGGCTACACTGCCTCTTGGAGACACTGAAGAGCTGCATGTTTTCATCCTTCTGCTATGTGACTAGATAAATGCTTGTTGTGTGACTGAAATGTAGTTCATAGAATAATGAACATCTGGAGGTCATGTAGCCAAGCTTCATCTCCTTGGGGATATCAGTGTAAGATTTTTTTTCTCTTATCTAATTGGAATTTCCCACATTGCAGCTTTTGTCTGTGGTTTGTAGGCTTTCTGCTGTGTACCTCTGAGAAGCCTGGCTTCATCTTTTCTACACCCTCCCTCTAGAGTTCAGCAGGGTAATCTTTCCTTTAACTTCTCTTTTTATGGTTGACCTAACACTGCTCACTGGGCTTCTCCTCATACACCATGTGCCCCAATCCCTTTATCACCTCGTGGTCCATGGTGGATCTGCTCTGCTATGTCAACATATTTCTTGTACAGAGAATAAAAATGAAATAAAAAATAAAAAAAAATGAAATAAAAATAAAAAACTGAATACAGACTACCAAACAGAAGTGAAGGAACATCTGCCCTGACCTGCTGGCCACATCCCTGTTAATACACCTGTTGTTTATCACTGCTCACATGATGGGACTCGATAAAGGCAAGTCCTACAGATGTCTAAAATTACTTCAAACAGACATGCATGTAGCCCTTTTTCCCTTATTCTTACAGCAAAACACAAAATCAGGGCCATAGCTCTCTGTTGTAGAGATTTTCTTATTCATGAACTCGAAACAGAAGCACTGTGCTCAAGACTCAAGCATTAGTATTCCCATAGCCTCTTTAAAATGCTGTAGAAGTATTCACAGGCAAGAATATTCTGGTGGTTAAATCCTGTGAACCTAAACAATAGTATATTAATAAAAAATCTTGCCCTTACAGATATAACACGTTTGAAAAACTGCAGTGGTAAAGGAGTTGATAATATCATAGGTTTATATAATGATTCTTTTCCTTATTATAGTTTCTTTGCAAGCTTTTCAAACGTGCTCCAACAGGTGATGTATGTTTTTCCTGTCAGCTCTCCTCCCTAACTAAATAATTTACTTTATAATGTAATAAATGCCGGGCGTATGCTTCCCAGGATGGATGCTTGAATCTAACATTCCATCAGACAAGCTATCATTACAGCGGTTTTTTAATTATGAATCTACAAGGCGGGTCTGGCACAATACTGTCATGAAACTAGTGTACTGGTTATCTTGAGCCTAAAAATATATGAATTTTCATCTCCTTTATGTTCAACAGATTATGATTTACTAATTCTCATTTCAAGATGAAACTGAGACGGGGTATTTCCAAATGCAGGTGCCTAAATATATTAGGACATACATGATGTAACATAATAGCAGTGTTCACAGCAGGAAACTACTGCTTAGGTTAAAAGAATCTAAAAATAAGGAAGCCAAAGTAAAGGCCCTGCATGACCAACAGTCAGACCCCTTCTGTGTAGATTCCAATGTTTGAAAACATTGGCCCTGGGCTTTAGGAAATACTGTTTCAAACAAATAAACCTGTCTCTGTCATTACTCATAAACCCTTGATGAAAACAGGACAGATTTACTCTCTGTATTTAAAAGCTGAAATTTCTATAGGAAAATTCAGTAATGAGGCACGGTAATCGTTTTTTAGAATTACCACCACCAAGAGATTTTTATACCTTTGAACAGCTGTTGTTTTGGAACTACTGTAGCAGTAGTCTAAAAATACTGTTTAATGTATGTATTAAACTTTACTTGCACAAACAGGTTTTACTGAGTATTTAACAATGCCTGTAACACACCAGGCCAATGGTTATCATCCTGTCATCAAACTCAAATAGATCTGACATACTTTCTGGCCTGGTGGGGATATTATTAAGATTGCTCTTCATTGCAATTTAAATTGCATATAGTAGCACCAAGATGGAAAGAAGAAAGGCTTTTATCTTTGGAAGATATGTAGTTATAAATTGAACCAAATTTTCTCAAAGTACTATGGACTTTTAGTAAAAGTTCCACCGTGTCTTCACTGTTTTTTAAATTTTGGCAGGAAAATGAATGTATTCATATTTTTCAGGATATTTCTTGCCCATAAACTATAAAAGCATCTGCAAGGCATTCTGTGACAAACCAGCCTTTGCTTTGAGGGGATACTTATTTAAAAAGCAAGGATTTTTTTGGCAGAGAAGAATTTAGAATAGTTTCTTTCCCCCTTTTTATGAGGGAAGGAGGGATGAAATATTCATGTTTACTTATATTGATAATTTACATTTACTCTGATTCTTCTTCCAGTTTGAAAGACTTCTGTTTCAAACCAGGGAAGTTTTCCTACGCAGATTCTTCCAAAGAACTATAAAGTACACATCATGACTCCCTCTGTTCTCTCCCATTTTTAAAAATAAAAATGGATAATTTTTGGACTATTGGTTTGAAATGTGCGGAAAACTTTGTTGCTTCAACCATCTGGTAGGCTCAATTGTCTTTGATGAGCACACCACTTCCAAAAATACTGGTGAATATAAAATGCACATGCTATAATGGATAATATCAAAAATAGGATCATTCCATACAGTAAAAATTACTGTACACATAAAAGGAAAGAAGAGCCCATACTCAGTTGTGTCAGCTTCAGCAGTGGAACCCTCTTCCATAATTTTGATGTAGAAAATTTTATGTCAGACCAGTTGAACACATCTTTATAGCCTGAAGGTCTAGGACTGATTGTCATGCTAAATAAAAACACAACCACTATATTTATTAGTGTTAGAACTAAAACAAAGAGGATTATCGGTAGAGCAACACACTACAGAATTTTTTCTTAACTGGTATAATGTAATAAATGACTGATGGATTAACCTCTTTAGAAACCAGAAGTTCTTTCCATATTTAACATACTGAAAAATGTAGCCTTTCTTCCTGTTCTAATGCAGAAATTTTATGTGAGTAACTTGCAGTGAAGAACTTGCATGCTAGAATTAATCCAGCATGAGATTTAGAGCTACTAAACTTTGTGCATCAAAGCATTGGTATGGAGTTTGGTATCCAGGAAAGGTATAATCTGAGTGTAGCTGAGTTGGGAGCTCCTCAGGCAGCCACATCACCCAGGGTGAAAACGCAAAGGACAGAAATGGGTATGTGGACACTGGTCTTGGCATTGGTGTCTCCTTCCAAGACTGTTTATGCATTTTGAAGTAGACAAACTTGGGTAAAAATCAACAGATTTTTTGTATTTGGAGCCACATCCAGGACTAGGATTTTTCTTCTTTCCCACCCAAAGGTAAGCTTTATTGCAATGGTATGAGCAGCTCCTTCTGGCCCTGTGAATTTTGCATTGCTAGTTTCATGGCTGCACAACTTAAGTGGAAGACCTGGAGACCTCTTGTCTGGTCTGGAGCTAAGGCATTCTCTTGAAAAATGGCTTTAAATCAAACCAAGGAGGACAACTGGCTGCCAAATTGCTTAATATGGACTCTAACATCTACACTATTACACAGAAAGTACAGCATAGGATTTTCTGTCATATGTGTGAACCAAACAATGAAGTCTGATCTGCTCTCTGACTTCAGGATAAGGTTAGGCAGGATCCAAATTCAGAAAATTTAGTAAGATGTCCCTGGGGACTTAGGCACAGGAAAAAATAGTCCTGAACCCAAGTGAAAAAGATGGTGGCATTCCTTAGCTCTACACAAAAGTTAAACCTAGGTGGTCTAAAACTCTGTTAACACATTTCAGATTTCAAGTAGCCTAGAATACTGTAGATGGTATTGTTGAACTAAGACACCTGTATTTCGCCTGGCCTGAAATTCCCAAGTACTTTTGTATATTCACAGATACAGTCACTGGCAGGAAACAGGCCTTCAGAGTTGGCACTCGAAACATTGTGATTGTGATAGTTACACAGTCTGCTTTAAAGCAGCATTTAATTCCGGTGATTCACAGTCATGATGATTATAAACATTATAATCTCTCCCCCTCCTCTCCATTTTCCTCAAAAATTGATGAGTATTATATCATGTTGTCTATTCTGTTACCTGTCATAGACCACAAAATAATCTCAAAGCAAGACCAGATATGATACCTGTAAATACCAAATATTCCTTTTGTCTAGTAATAAAATTGTTTGTATAAAAGAATCCATCTAAAATTGAGGTAAACTTTATGAAGAAATCATAACACTGTTTTAATATGTTACACATGCTCCTTCAGAATAACTTGCACTGACTCATGACAAGATCTTCTGTGGTGATTGGTTCCTCACAAAACTTTGGTAAATAGGTCCCTGCTGGAACACAAGCAGCACTGTGTTCTTCCTGATGATGCAGTACATCAAACAAATTCCCCAGACACTCCCCATTACAGGCTCAGTATCTCTCTGGTGGTGGTCATGGAGCCAAAATTGTGGGAACTAACGTAGATCAGAGTGAGTGTGAAAAAGGGTATGAAAATACAAGAAGAATACATAACTAAGAATGTTTGCTAGTGCATTAAGTGTCTTAGATTTCACAGCTTAATCCTTATTCTTGCATTTTAAGTGGGTGATTTTCTCCATCCAGTACAGTTACAGATCTTCCCTTAAAGGCTTTTTCCTGTGGCAACTGCATACTGAGTCCCTGTCATCAGGCTGAGGTACAAGTTCCATTCCATCCCGTATTTCAGGTTTGCTGGCTTGGCGTTTGGCATATTCCTGAAATATGTAAACAACATTTAAGAATGCTATAAGCACCAACATATAATTCATGAAATAAATTTTTCCTCCTCCCTTCCACTCAGAAGCTTACCTTTACTCAGGCTCCTTATGTCATTGTTTACAACTTCTGTACAAGGTGTCTTTATAACACACCTGCTAATAGGCTACAGTGCCTCTGAAAACACCCTTAAATGTTTTTGCCTATTATTAATGGTAACTTGAATATTATCATTATTTGTGCCTCTAACTACTTTGTGTAGATAATGCTGTCATGTTTGTACACTGAACAGTTCTAAACTTTGTGTCAACCCGTGGCTGCTGAAGCTGACATCTAACTGCAAAGGAGAACAGGAAAAAAAGGATTTGTTCTTTCAGAGAAGAGAAACTTCTTTCACTAGAGATTTGCATCTCCTAGGGAAGCAATAACTATAGGGCCAGCTTCACCCCCTACCACTCCACTAGCCATACTTCTGTAACTTCTTTTCCAGGTATGCATTGTTTTGTAATACAATGGAGTATTTCATAATATGTGTGAGAAAGGAAGAAAACTGTATACCAATTATCTCTTACAGCGAGTTATTAGAAACCACATACCAAGTGACACTGAAAACAGGGTTGACTGTGGGGATGGGGACAAAAAACCATAAAATTGCTGATTCTGTAAAACAACTATTACGTCAGGTTGCCTCTTTAATGATAAAGCAGGTTTTAGCAAAGCTCTTCACACTGATCTCCTGTGAATATGAACCATGTCTGCTATTGATCTAAGGAAGGACTGAATGTGAAATTTGTAACATCGGTAGCAGTGGCAGCTGGGGGAAAGTAATAAAGTGATCTATTGTACTAACCTGGAGCACTTTATAATAGTAGCAGTAAAACCTGTGAGGCTGAAGTATTTCTCTTGCCATTAATTGTCCTTCTCTAGCAATTTTTTTTGCTTCTTCATCATTTTCCTGGAAAATTCAGATGGAACAAGTGAATAATAGAGAAATAAGTGAGTTGCTCAAAGCCTGGCTGTCAGTGGAAGTTTTATTAAATGGGCTATTCAAATCTGCAACTTTATTGAAATTACTGGTAGATTGCAAAGGCATGCTTTAAACTGCATATTTGCTTAAAAATACTGGATTGCTTCTGCTTAAAAATACTGGATTGCTTTTGCTTAAGGTACAACGTTTTTTGCTTAAGGTACAACTGGTACCTTAGGGCTATCAGTAATAACTTTCATGAATAACTGTACAATTTTGAAAACTCAAACTGATTACTGCTCTACTCTTTTGCCCAAGCCACAAGTCTCTACAAAATCAGGTCTGACATCTCCCAGACATACTCAGTTTTACAGAAGACAAACCCACAGATGTTGTACTCTCTTATGCAGTGGAACCCAATGTCTTCCTTTTAAAAATAACTCTGCTTGAATTCATGTACTTATTGTCAAGTTTTTTGGGTCTGTATTTCAGCTTTTAGTATTCCCTTCTGATTCCTTATGAAAAATTACAGTACTCTCAGAATAGAAACTTATTCTGTGTTTTTTAACCTAACAGCACTTTAACTAAAAGCACAAATGGTGTTTTCAATCACACAGTTCTGTCTTACAGGATCCCAGCATCTGATTTGGAGCATGTTACAGAACAGCAACTTTTTGTACATTCAGACAGAATATGCAGTAACTTCTGCCCTAGTCAGGGCCTAAAAAAATGCTATAGCATTAATTAAGTAGTATCTAGGATTCTGGTTGTTTCTTTGACAAGTACCTTAGTCAGTACACTAAGGCTCTGACTCATGAACACTTCGGCACATACCTAAAATGAATCCTGTGTACTGCCCTAAATAGAGATGGTTACTTCAACTAAGGTCTTCCCATCTAAAACCAACGAACAAAATGTACTTCCTTAATCCCAGGATCTTGATAGAGTCCATGCAAAATATATATGAGGAAATTCAAAAGAGGATAATATTAAGATGAATTCTTGTCATGTTTGTTTATCACTTTGAACATGAATTAGTAATGGAACTTACCTTAGCCCATTTTATCTTCTCTAGCAGGTCCTCTAAGTTTCTGTTAACTGGAACATAATGTTTCCAAGGTTTTAATCCAATATAAAAGTGTTCATAGTATTGGGAATCTTGCTTCAGTATTAGACTGTCACCCAGCAAGAGGTACGGAAACCTGTAAGCTGCTACAGTGCCATCTACATTCACTTGGTATTTGTACTACAATATGAAGAGGAAAAAAAGTGAAACATTTTGTATCAGGATGGGAACACTGACTGTATGAATGATTATTTTAACAGGCAAGAAGTAATCATGTTTATTAATTCTCATCTTCAAACCCGTTTTAGTGTTAAGTAGGTGTAGTTTCATGGTGTTCTGGATAACATAACGGAAGAAGGATATATCTTCAACCACAGGCTGACAGTCAGGAACCTTTGTGTCACAGGTACTGCCTGATGGGTATTCTACTGACGTGCCCCAGGATAGAGCAAGGGGTACAGTGGGGAAGGAAATAAAACTAATCTATGCTTAAATTAAAAAAGAATAATTTATTCTAACTTAAAATTAAATTATTATGTAGAATAATTTTGAAATATGTGTTTTTATATAAAATAATCTGAAATATTATACTAAAAGTAACCATGAATGCACTGCTCTGGCAGATGTTCTCAGCATTCCTGATATTCCTGATATGTCAATGTTTGGAACACAACTTCAACTGGAATGTATTATAATGGCTTTATATAGGACTCTAGTCCTCTTTACTTTTTATATGTCTGAGGCAACAGAATTTATATGCTAAAGTGCAACAAACTTTAACTTGTTACTCCCAGGACTCTTCCTGACATCCATAATGTACTTGCAGTGTATACAGGTTGTGTCCATTCTTTTCATATTTACCCCAATTAAAAGAAACACTGATGGTGAGAAATCAAATTTCTCAATCTGTTCAAAAATAAAAATAAAAATAAGCCCAGATCTCTCTCTAGGGGTCTTTCTTGGCTTTCTTTACCAGTGTGTCACATAAGACATTGATTACAGGTGGTTTACCTACCCCACATGGACCAGTATAGCGTAATTGTTTTATTTACTGAACGGAATCAACAAAAGTAAGCCTTGTCTTTTCAGCTGGTAAGAACTTCACAGCAAAACTCTAATTTGCTTGTTACCTTAAAGAAGTCAAAGAAGCCCATCAGCTGAACCTTTCCCAGCTCTTCTTCTTTTTCTCTGAAGAAGAAATATCCTGTTATTCCAGCATCTAGTAGTTCTGGATTTTCCTTGGATAACTTGACAAGATGGAGACGTTCTTCCCGGCTGTCTCGACCTCTAAATAAAGCTCGCTCAGTTTTGTTTTCCCAGAATGGGCCTATGACAATTCAGAGATAGGGTAAAAGCAAACAGAAATGAAATGTTCATTGCATGTTTAGTGCAAATAAGGAACTTGGTGTGACAGTGGCATTACACTCAGAGACATGGTAAAACAGGCATGGTTTCTCCCAGTGAATCCATAACAACTTATGAATCACAGGGTTGAACACCCAGTTCTGGCGTGAGTTTTGTGATGAGAAATCGAGCCACTTATACGAGGAAAATCAGAGAATTGTTTTTCCACTCGACAATTTTATATTTAAATAACTTCAACTATCTTGAAAGCTACAGAAGGGATTATAATAAAATATATAAGTAAAATACTAATAATTAAAGTAATTCTTCATCCATAAAGCCTACCACAATAACCAAATTTCTTTAGCAAAACCCACTTCTGTTACCCAACAATTTAATTAGGTCTCTGAGGAATCACTTAACAATGCCTTGAAAAGGAAAATAAATGGCTATGTTGTGTCCTCTAGATACTTAGCAAGAGCCTGAAAGACTTAATCTCTGCTTACTACCTGTTTTTAAAAACATTAAATATGTCCTTCCTTACATTTCTGCTGAAAATTTCCTTGACATGCCTACTAAGTGGAATACTTTCTTATTGTCTCTTAATTGGAAATGCAGCTGTACTAAATCAGTAAGCACAGAATGCCTTGAATTGATAATTTAATTAAAATATTTAAAAACTAATAAAGAAAAGAGCATCTGAGAACTAATTAAATAAAAATAATTAACATCTCACTCAAGTTTTACTCCTTAGGTATTGTAAATATGCCATGTTCTGATCCCTAAGTATTCATTAATTTCTGGGGGAGAGGAAGATGCCTGCCAGTAAAACCGACTCTTTTTTCAAAGCTAGAAAAACAACTCAGAAGATCCAACTCTAAGGTATTTTTTTATACAGGCAATATTTCCTCATTTGAAAGATCTGTAGCATAATAGTTTACTTCTTTCAGGATACAAATTCATTTTTTTGTAAACAGAACACTGGGCCACAACACCATCAGGAAAAGAATTACTATTTGATTAGAAACATATTTGAGTGCTTCAGTGAGGAGAAAGGCCTTTTAACTATATTTACTTTTCTTTTGACAGGTCACACTAGGTATCTTCTGGTTACCTTTAGGTCAAAATTCACCATTATTACAAACTGTACTTTTTTTAGGTTCTAAATCCCTAGCATACACCTCCTTAGTGGCAGGGTTGAAACTGTTACAACCTGTAAAGACTATCCTGCTTGTATTAAGAGATCTCCTGGGGCACTTGTGAACTGATGCCTTTAACGCATTATTTGAGTGCAATTTGCTTCTTCGAAGGAAATCAGAGATTCTTTCTTTAAATCAATGATCTCTAATTTACCTGTATTTCCTTGAATTGAAAGGAGATCGTTTGTGACTCCACGTAGGGTTTCCAGAGTTGAGTGGGTTACATCATACGTTGGAAGGACGATATCTCTTGAATCCACAGAGCCACACCATGAAATGACAGGTATAGGACCAGGTGTATCATTAGCTTTCCGATACTCAACTGGCCAGTCTCCAACATTAAGATAAAACTCCACATCAGGAAGACGAACCTAAATGTATACCCAAGAAAGGATAATAACACAAAGAGATAAGCCGTTTGTCACTTTCACATATATTCTTCAGTTCTCTTACGTCACGCAGATTCAATAAACCTAACGCATAGTTCATAGCTTTAGCTGTGCTTAAGGGTATGAATTTCAAGTTTCTGCCCTGCTAGCGAGTATGAAAGGAGCACTCAGGAGCCATGGAGTATGAAAGAAGCCAGGAAATGGCTGATAGTCAGGACTTTGCCCCTGCACCTTCCCTAGCATTTTCATCACTGCCAAGGCCAGCCCCCACATATTACCCCTTAGATACAACAACAGATGTTGTGCTGCCATATTTAAATATGTTTAGCCTGCAGAAGAGATGACTGAGAGGGGATCTTACCAATGCTTACAAATAATCTTAAGGGCAGGTGTCAAGAGAGCGACTTTTTCCAGTGGTGCCCAGAGACAGGACAAGGGTAAACAGGTATATGCTGAAAGACAGGGAGTTCTATCTGAATATGAAGAAAAACTTCTTCCTGTGAGGGTGACAGAGCACTAGAAGAGGTTGCCTAGAGAGGCTGTGGAGTCTCCTTGCCTGAAGATATTCAAAACCTGCCTAGAGTTGATCCTGTGCAACCTGTTCTGGGTGAACCTGCTTTGGCAAGGGAGTTGGACTAGACAATCTCCAGAGGTCCCTTCCCAGCCCAACCATTCTGTGACTCTGTGATATTGCCTTAATAGTCTTACGTGATCAAAACTGATACCTTTCTTGCCAGTGACAGGAACATTTCATCAGAGAACATTTTGAAGTCTGTGTACTTCCCTAAGGAACGACGGTAGATGTGATTATCTAGAATAGTGTAATGAACAATAGCACCTCCTGTTTGACTGAACTTCGCTGGGATTTCCTTAAGCATTCGCTGAAGGTCAATGGTGGGAAAAGAAACGAAGTCTTTTGTAATCTGAGGTTCTTGGGGTGGACAAGACATAATGTTCTGCCAGACCTCAGAGTCTTCTTCAGGACAGTCACAATATTCATGATAAACTGGTCCTGGGGAAAACAAAGCACTTTGAGTCTGTATTTGTGATCCTCCAACAATCATAATTCCCCAAACATGTACACATATATATGTAGACATTACAGTGGTTTGGCATTTTTTATTCTATGTTTTCTTAAGTTTTCCTGGGAAATCATTCTTCCTGTAATTTCTGGAATTTAGCAGTGTAACTGAGAAAACAGCAATATTCTTCTCTTTTCAGGAATACTAGATTTTGTGTTATCAGGGCGAAATTAATTTGCAAAATGAAGCTCCATTATTATGAACCTGCCAAGCACACAGGGGATTCACAACAGCTCTAACTGTCCACAGCTACCACAGCTCAGGTATTGCCATTTCAATTACAGCCTAATTCAGAACTTTGATATGTTACATTAAATCAAAAAATACCCTTACCTTTCAAAATATAAGGAGAACGAGCTACATGCTGATCACCATAAAGTATCTCGATTTTTAAGCCTTTCATGACACTTCCATACATCCGATACCGCATAAGAAATGTACCATCATTTCTATCCAAAGGCAGAGGGGTGTAAATTCTGGTGACTTCTTTTGGAGAAAGTGCTTTAATTACCACTTTAAACTGTGTTCTTCCTGAAAAGAGGAAAATAAAAACAGATAAAAGCACCTTAAGCTATTAGAATCACATCTACTAAACAAAGGTGAGAGTAAACTCTTCCCGATTAAGACCATGGAATTTAATTTAACTTTTCACTAGAATTTAATTATACCAAGTTGGTAAGATTGATTTCCAGTGATGAAAGATCATCCTACCAAATTTTCTTGACCATCACATACCTATAAATGGTAAACCTCTAAGTGGAGATAAAAAGTTAGATAATTGATTATAAGATAGAAGGAAAGCTTAAAAGTATTTTGAAGCTAAGATTAGGTTCAATACTAAGTTTTCAAGTTAGTGCCCTGAGGAAAAATAATTTCCTCTGGAGTAAGAAAGACAGGAAACTAACTTAAAATAACAGGAGAAAAGAATACTTGCCAGCTTGTGGAAAGGCAGTTGCAGCATGCAGGAGTCAGATACTAATTGTTCAGCTTTGGGCTGTTGCTGACTGTCTTGCACATTTAAAGTCCCAGCTACTGAAAAGTAGGGATAAGAGAGTGATAACAGAGATGTTCCCTGGACACCTGTCTGACCTGTGCTTAAGGATCACCAGCACTTCATGATGAATGCACTATAACTTTTAAACTGGATATGGGATATTTTATGGATGAGTACACGTAAATGTAATACTGTTATATTCCCTTATTCTCTCACAAGTGGTCAACAATAACTTTATTCTTAAAAAAAAAAAAAGGAGGGACAGATTATTTGCAAAATGTTATAGTCTAAGCACTGTGAACCAAACAAATACAATGAATGTTACCACCAAGTATAATAATACAGAAATAAATGAAACTGAAAAAATCCAGATAAAATCAACATGTTACTAAAATTTGAATGTGTCACAGCAGCACTAAATGACTGAGATGTTACAGTTAATTCTACACTTTGCATCCACAAATAAATGCACTGATATGGTAAGTGCAGGAGTCTTTCAATGATCAATCAGACTTCCTTAGAGCACTGGTTCTTGAAATTGTATTCAAGTAAACTACTGTGCAAGAGCCTCCAGATTAAATGACTCTCCTGAAGAAATAGACATCTTTGCCTCTAAATGGCACTGCTAGTCACAACCACCTTTTTCAACTTGCTTCAAAGTAGCTGACTTTAACCAAGTATTCTCCCCCTATGACTATCAGCTAGCATTATTTGGATTTAAAAAGCCTTCAAATCCAGAGAATGTCATAAGGCAGGATCACAGAGAAAAGAGTTTTCTGGTATCACATCTTTGTCTCTTTCTACCCATTTCATAAAACAGCATTTTCACTGGGTACAGAGATCACCTACCACAGAAAACAGTTTTCAGTTGTCATAAAAATGAATGAATATTGAGAAATCACAAGTCAACTACTACTGGATTTCATCTCCTTGTCCTCACCTACATGAAATAACTACGTGGGTCCTTTTCCCTGCTGGTTATGTCCTCACTACTCTAGAGATACGAAAACTCTCCAAGAAAAAGCTAACCCCACTGAAAGTGAGGGGGAAGAAAAGGGAGACTAAATATTTAATGCAAGTACAAAGTATTCACTGAAGGCAACAGGATTTCTGTTTATGATCTACAACACTCATTGTGTAGTGGGGTCAAGGCCATTAAGTACTACTGAAGTATCTAATTATGACAGGTTTTTGCTGACTTTTTTTTATTTGGACTAAGGTTATCATGGTAATTTCACTCATGCTTTTTGGTTCTCTCAGTCCAAAGGAATGATAAAAAGAAAAATGTGTCCTTGTTGAATCATCACCACTAGTAGTTCTCTGTAACCCTGAAAACATGTCTGGGACAGCATTTTAAGTACAAAATAATTTCCCAATAATGAAGAAATACTAAAATACAGACACCATCAAAATGGGATACTTTGAGAAACCCAGATGAAGACACTTGCTTAATGTATTTTTTTCTCTTGGAGGAGAAGGGAGTCAACTAAGAGGTATATGAAGGAGTAGCATACACTTTAACAAAGTCAGATGTGAGAACATATATCCAGGAGCAAAGAAATACAGGCCACGGTAGGAAATTGTGTGTGACCCTCACAAAACCCCAGGTATTGTGGTCAATAAGACCCGAGGGAGGTCCTGCAGTGCCCGGGGACAAAGATGAGTGTAACTGAGAGGCACTAACTCTGTTTAGCAACACGAGCTGGAAGAAGTGTGCCACAGCTCTTTGAAAGTATTTGGTAAAACCTACAAGAATACCTGGGGGGCCTTAAAAATATTTGTTAGCAGAGTATGTAGATCATCTGAAGAACAGTTAACTGCTAACTTTATCATGGTCAATGGTACATAAACACATGGTTGGCAGCTGTTAAACCCAGGGGAAAAATTAGCAGAAAAGAATGATGAGGCAATCCAAGTATCCAAAGAAAAAAATCTATGCAGCTCATACTAAAACAAAGTTCTGTATTTTCAGCAGTGATTTTCTAACCTTTGGAACAAATTTTCTAGGGAAACAGTGAATTCTGCATCATTTGGCATCATCCTACAAAGATGAGTCAAAGACTTACAGCCTCTAGGTTGAAATCACAGTGCAGTGTGCAGTGGTGTGTGTCAATTCTGCTGAATAGCCTTGACACTCAGAAGACAAATCTGGATTTAAAATCTACTAATTCTACTATACAAGTTTCATAATGAATTCCAGTAAGTACTGACCTATTCGACTGAAATTCTAATCTTCACAAAGCGCAATTTAATAGATCTGCACAAATTTTACAAATGGGAAGTCCTGACTGCACCACTCCTGCTCTGATTGCAGTGCTCCTGTTTGTGCAATCGAGGTGATAATGCAGTTTTATTTTGCTATCCCAACAGGGACATTTTAGATGTATTTAATTGATATTGGAAAGCACTGCATTAATTGCAATTCTTGCTGACATTTTACAGATAGAATTTGAATACTTAAAATAATTCAAGAATGGAAGTTTGTAGCCCATGTCTATATGAATACATTAAACAGTGTTTATGCACTGGAATATGATCAACTGCACTTCTAAATTGTTAGAGGATCCTTGGCACTCTCCTAAATAATTCTTGGCATGGCTCAGCAGTTAGCACAGGCCGAGTCAACTGCTCCTCCCTGCCAGCAGCACACATGCTTGGTCTTGGTTTGGAGGCTACAGCTGTATGAATGGAGATCACACCATGCCAGATGGCATTGGGACCTGGAAACTTTCCTGGGACACTGAATTTATTAACATAAATATTAACACCCATGAACACACTGAGGTCAACACTAGGTTCTCAGTACCCATGTCCTACCAGTTTATATTGAAGCCTTTAAACTAGCATGAGAACCAACTGAACTTCACACCTTTTCACCTTTAGGAACCTGCTTGAACCCAAGGCTCTCCCTGCACAGCTGAAATCAGCCTCCACTTCACTGGCAGTGAGTGTGCAGCCTCATTCTTGTGTACAATTACAAAACTGCTGAAATCCAGCAACAAGTTGTAGCAGCAGCTGTAAAAAGTCCAGACGTGAAGTATCTGCCAGACTGAAGACATAACCTGTATATAGTAGCAGCCTTCAAACTGCAAGATACCAAGAGGCTGTGCACACTTGGTAGATACCCTCTCAGTACCATCTATATGAACAGTAAAGAGCAAAATAAGTAGCTTCTACCCTATACAAATTAACAACACGGGATTTCCACTGGGGCTATCTCAGGGTTATCTTCATTATGGAATCTGCGATGCAGAAGCGATTTTTATTCTAAATTTAAATCATTCATACAGAGCCCGTGGAGCTAACTTGCCGCAGCAAGCAGCTGACTGATAGAATATGGCTGGCTTGCAAGAACAAACCCAATTCCTACCCTCAGGAGAAGTGTCATGGGATGGTGTGTGCTTGTGCTGAGTAAATAACAGATGAAAATTGCTCCTTAATGGAGCAGCAGTAGAATAACAGAGCCCAGAGGGCCGTGCTGACCGAGACAGAAATTTTAAGCAACTGGTGTCCGTGCACCATTAAAGATAATTGCGTTATCACTTCCCAGCAGGGTACTGTGATCTTACAGCCACTCGCTCCAGGAGCACTGGTTTATTTGTAGCTTGCTGGTTCGCTGCTGTAAATCCCACACTGTGTACAGGAGGCTAAGGGTGAGAGGCAGAGCTCCGCGGAGGAGGCACTGGGCTGCACCAGAAGAAAGGACAGGTCTGACCACGTGCGTGTCCCGGGCGGTGCGGGACCAGGCGCGGAGGGCAGCCCGGGACCAGCGAGCGCTCGAAGCGGGGAAGGAAGAGGGGAAGTGGAAGGCGAAGGCAGCTCCGTACAGCTGCTGCGGGGAAATCGCATCCCCGGGCAGGGACTCCACCCCGCGCCCCTGCCCGCCCCGAGCACACGTACGGTACCTGGCGGGGAGCGGGAGAAGTTGCGTCCGGCCGCGCTGACCGCCTGGATGTAGAAGTACCGCACGGGCAGGGTGAGCCCCGCGTCCAGCCCGGGGCCCCACGCCAGGCTCCGCTCGGCGCTCACGGGCTCCGCCGGCTCCGCCGGCCGCAGCAGAGGCCAGGCGGCGCCCAGCAGCACCGCCAGCAGCGGCGGCAACCCACGGGCCCGCTTCGCCCCGCCGCCCCCCATCGCCCTCGGCCGCCGAGCCCCGCCGCGCCGCCCTGGCCGCGCCCGCTCGGAACGGAGCGCCGGGGTCTCCTCCGGCCCTGCGCGGCCCCGCTCCCGCTCTCCGCCGGCGGCCGCCGCCTCCTCCCCGCCCCGCGGGGCGGCCCGACGGGGCCGGGGCCGGACGCAGCCTGAGGGAGGTGCGGGTAGGGCCGGGCTGTCCCCGGGCGCCTGAATCCGGCACCGCCTTTCCTCCTCCTCCTCCTCCCCCACGCTGCCCGGGACGAGCCGAAGGAGTCGTGGGCGGGTCGTCTGGTGATGTAGCCCTGGGAGCTCGGGGGCCGAGAAGTTCCCCCAGCAGAAGGCGTGTGCCAGACTGGGGAGCAGGCGGCGGGAGCGCCGGGCCAGGTTCGGAGCCGTGCGCTTTCCAAGAGCCGCGGAAAATACAGAAAAGGCGGTGTGAGAGCGAGGAGCTGGGCTCGGACCCGCTAGTCTGTGTGCGGCTGCGCTGCGCCCAGCGCTTGCCTGTCCCGAGAGGATTTCGTTCCCTGACTGTGGGCGCTGTGCAGTACACGCTGAAGGGCTCACGATTAGTATGTGTGTGTCATCTTCTCCTCCAACAACACTTTGCCTGTCGTTAGGATACAACTCAGCCGGCAATTGAACAGGTGGTCTGGAATTTAAAAAGGAAAAAAATCGTCTTTCTCTAAAGCTTATGATTACTGTCTGTGCCAGTTTATTTACAGAGATTGCTGTCAAAAGGACAAAAAAACCCGACATAATTTAACATTCCTCCTTGCTCTTTCTAGTCTCATGCCTTGTCCCAGCACATCTCAGGCACACACCCATGCCTAAGTGCTTCTGAGATCTGTGGGGAAGATGTTGCTGGTGGCCTCCCTAGAGCAGTAATGTTTGGTGATGGGGAAGGAGAGATTACTGCGTTATTCTCTAGAAAATGTAACAACAAAGTAATTTCATAGATTGAATATGTTGGGATACAATTACAGAGAGAAAAACTCCAATGATTTGTCTCCTTAGGTTGTTTTATCATTTATACTAGAAGCATTTGCTGCTACTAGAAAGTATTTCATCGTGTCAGGAGATGGGAGGGCTCACAAGGCTGTAGGAGAATTAAATCAAGCTTCTGGGCAAGCCTGGATTTTCACATGCAAAGCAATGAGAGCACAAATGAATGCTGCCTGTTTTTGAATAACGTGAACTTCAAGTCCCTGTGCATATAGATCACGAAAAACAGGTTCTTGGAAAGGGGAATTATCAAGTCTGGTTTCCTCCTTGCTTTTGTCTTGAGTCTTGTCAATTCCCTTTGGATAGCCACAGATTTCCACTGTGTACAAAGTGTGATATTCCCAACAGGCAAGAGAAAACTTGTGCTGGAAACTGGAGTTATGTATGTGCTCCTTGGCCAGGTAGTACACCACCAGCTGTGGCTGTCAGTGCAGGGATCAGCAAGAGCAGCTTTCCTCTCCTTCTGTACCAGCTGGGAGCCCATTCAAGAAGAAGGTGACTGCGAGCAGTCAGTGTGGATTGACCAAGGGCCAATCATGCTCCATCACTGGGTTTGCAGACAATGCCAAACAGGGGTACTAGTCAGCTTGTATAAGTGCAGGGCTGCCATCCTGAGGGACCGAGGGCAGAGTGAAGGAATGGTACACGAAATTCAACAGGAATCCTGCACTTGGGTGCCAATGAACACCAAAGACAGGCTGCTTCCTGGGGAGTGGGACTGAGGAGCACAGCAGCATGGCTGCCAGCAGGACATGACCCTGCCCTGCTTGTGACAAATAGTATTTGGGGCAGCCGAGAGGCCACATCAGCCAGCAGGCTGTGGGGACAGGGCAGGGCTGAGGTCAGGCAGGGACATCAATCTGCAGATCAGGATCAGTCCCTGTGAGGGGAACTAGGGTCAGACACAGCTCTGGCATAGCTGCCTGGTTCTGGGGATGTCAGCCTGTGGGTGGGGCCAGGCTTGGTGGGGCCCATGGCTGGCCAGGCAGGCAGTGGAGGGATGGAGACCGATGACCTACAGCATCAGTGGGGCAGGGACTGATGGCTCCAGGCTGGGCTGCAGTGGTGTCCTGAGCCATGGGCGGGGCAGACAGAGCCCTAAGGGCTGTGGGAGTCGGGGCCTGTTCATGCCTTTGGGCCCCTGTCCCTGGGAAGGAGCCACCCATGTGCTGGTATGGGTTGGGAACAGTTGTTGGGAGCAGCTCTGAAGGAATGGCCCTGGGGGTCTTCATGGGTACTGAGAGGGATGTGAGCCATCAGTGAGTCCTAGCAGCAACAGTGGCCAACAGCAGCCTGGGCTGCATGAACAGGGGCAGAGAAAGAGGTCAAGGAGACTTATTATCCCCCTCTACTCAGTACTTGTCAGACCACATCTAGATCCTGCATTCAGCTCTGGGCTCCTCAATACACGACATCAATAAACTGGATCAAATTCAGAGGAGGCCACTGAGAGGTGGGGCTGGAGCACCTGCCCTGTAAGGAGGGGCTGGGAGAGCTGGGCTTGTTAAGTCTGTTAAGAGATATCTTCAACGAGGGGGTGGACCTTATAGAAGCCCCCAGTGCTCCCAGGGAGATCATGAGATAGTGCAGGGTAGAAGGATGAAAGACAATTGGCATGAGTTGGAAGAAGAGATGGTCAGCCTATAACATGTTCATAACATATCCTATAGCAGCCAGAGAGGCTGTCCAGTCTCCATCCTCAGAGATTTTCAAGCCTCAACTGGATGAAGACTTGGGCAGCCAGCCCTGACCTCAAAGCCAATCTGTTGTGAGCAGAAGGTTGGACCAGAGACCTCTTGAGATCACTCCCACCCTGAGTTACCTTTTGATGAAACCATGAGATTTCTGTCCCTTCTCTCAAATGTCGTTAAGATGGGTAGAAAGCTCAAAGATCATCTGGGGACATGCATGACGTAACAGGTGGACAGAGGTCTAGACAGAAACACCACGTTAGTTCATAAACCACGTTTCCTTCTGAAACCAGGCTGAGGGACTGTGTCACTGAGCTCGTGTACCACATATACTGGCTGTAGTAATTAAGGCTGAAAGACTGTAATGAGTCTCACACACCATCACACAGCACGTGGCAGCCAGGTTTCACCCAGACCTAATTACAGCTGAGGGGATTTTCACGTGGAGCTTATCACCTTGTAAAACTACTCATCAAATACTACCCTTGGCCCCTACGTGGAGTATTAGCTCCTGAAGGTAAGCTGTAGGCACATGGCTCTCTACGGGCTTCATATGTGTACTGTAAAGGTTCTACCACTGATGGAAAACTGCTTGTGTGCTGGAGATTCATCAGCTGGTGGAAGAGGAGAAGGCAGCCCACCCTTCCTCTGCAGGAGGCAGGACTGAGCCATGCAGCTGATGTGACCATGGTCTACAGCGCTAAGATGGATGCAGGCTGGCTGCTCCGTTCAAAAACCATGGCATTGTTGGCCATCAGCACCCTGGCCACCATATTAAGATACTGTTTAAACAGTCTATGGCATTCACAGTAAGTGAAAAACAAATACAGTGACAATACGTTTTTTCATTTGAATACAGAATTTATTTAAAACAAATAGTTTTAAATATGAAAATCCTATAAATTATGAATATTTATAGAATATATTTCTGCCAAAGAAAAAGCTTGGAAGAGTGGTGGTGTCAAAATGTGGCTCTGCTAAACTGAATGGAACTGACTGCTATTCAAAGGGTATTTCTCCCTATGTTTCCATGCAATTGACTATTAAAACAGAATACTGTTATTCAGTGTAAATTCTAGTTTGCAGATCCTCAACAGGCTGCAGTCTTCCACAACTGATTTACAACCAAAAGCCATTTTTACTTGCCTACATTAAATCAAGCCACTTGATTTCCTGTACATACACAACACAGCAAATGAAAAAAAAAATCATTTTTTGCCAGCAAGGTGAGAACTTAATCCAACCACTGTTGAACAGGTAGAAAATATTTACAAATAAAAATGTTCTAAACCATCCACCTCTAGTCAAGAAAAACTGTATGACCACTTACTTCTCCTGTAAACATTTCTTTTATTATTCTTTACCTTATGTAGGCTTTTTGGATTAATATATTTTGCAGAAACGCACAGCAGCAGAAATTCTGCACAGATACTCAGCTGGTTTTATTATCTTACTCTAGAGAATTCTGTACATAGAAAATAGAGCCATTTACAGAAAAACATAATTTCTCCTTAAAATACCACACTTTACAAAACTGCAATTATACAGTACCCATTTCCTTCCAGCATTACTTATGTCAGCATCCTCTTGCATCCTTCTGAAACAAGCATGTCACAGAGATAAATTCTGACTATAAATACATAGTTTATATTATTGTCCTTCTATGTACAACAAAAGACAAATTACCCCAGCATAAAGTAATACTACTTATTTATCAGTACAGATTTGAACAACAGACCCACTTCTTTAACGAAGTTTACAATATAAAAAAATGATACCTGTTACCTACTATATATTTTCATCTTTTAGTTTCTTGTGGAGTAGTCACTGATAAAAGCATTGCTTGTTTTGTGTAAAACACATTATTTTATAATACCAGTATACTGTCCTTCCAGTTACAAAAATATAGTTATGTCTCTCCTACAGATTTTTTATTGAATTAAAAAGTGTATAAAAATATGGATCATCATTTGAGACCATATGTAAAATTACAAATAAAGTAGAACTAAATTTATAAGTAATTAAGAATACTATCTTCTGGTTTGATAAGACACTTTTGATTTTTCATAAAAATAGATCAAAATTTAGTTAGAAATTTAATGGCCAGGGACAAGTTCTGGCTACTGAGTAATAGTACTACATTTATTAGTGGCTGAAGAAGAGCCACTGGAAAATGTTTACATCCATTCAGTTTGGAGGATAAAGAGTACCATGGTCACAGCAGAAACAGTTGAAAAATACCAAAAAGGGACGGTGATTTAGCAAAAGGCAAAAAGCATTTCTTACTGGTTTCGTTTACTTTGTAGGTAAAAGGCTGCCAGTCTTTTTATATTTTGCATGGTTTAAAGTGTTGGACTATTAATCCAAATTAAGCTAAGTCAAAGGCAGAAATCTGGCCAGTCATGTCAACTGTAACCAAAGCTGTGCCAGTTACGAATCTCCTGCGTCTGGAAAGCAGATTTTCTTGCTCATTTCTGTTTCTTAACATCCTCAGGATATTCAGTGAGTTTTTCAGTGCTGTGCCCTGTGCTGAGCTGTTTCTCCTGCACTGGCAGCACTTCTGCAACTCTAATTGCTCACTGCTCATGTAATGCTGAAAAGTCCCGGCATGGAATCCACCTCGACCACACAGCAGAACAAATGCCACTGGGGACACTGCTGCTATGCTTCCCAGGATACAATGTAAAAATTTAACACCTTTCATTTTGTGAGAGTGTTTGTTCAGTGGGATGGATTAGCATTATCGTGCTTGATCTGATAAATGAGGAAAATCGGAGAAACTGCAATTTATCAGCAAAGTAACTTCTTGGCTTTCTGTTAGTTTTGTAAGAAAAAGTAGCTCAAACTAGAATTTATCCATTCCAGCACTGTGTAGCTGGCAGGAGCCTAACCACTGCTCTGCTTGCTGACTCAGAGGAAAGCCATCCCTGGACTTATACTGCCCAAAGCTCCACAGCTGTTTACCTTCTCTTATTTTGGGACGGGATTTTTTAACATTCCTTTTCCCTGCTAGGAGAAACAACAACAGTGAAGCCACATGTTTAATACAAAAGTCAAATGCTCAGGAAATGTAACATACTGACTCCTTTGAAACTAATGAAGTTGTACCAATTTAGAGCAGCACAAGAATAGGCTCAAACTATTTGATGTGTTTTTGCCTGCCCAGAACCTAGTGCGCTATCGTGCCATCTTAGTACCATGATCCCTTCACAGCTCTGATTCTTTATCTACCTCATCTAGGTAGTATTCATCATCGGTGGTGGTATCACTGTCTGAGTCCGAATAAGCGGCTAGGTCTTCCCCATAGGTATCAGTCAGCTCTGGGGAGATGAAGCAGCCGATGACATTTTGCTCCCAGCAGAACTTGAGCTCAGAAGCTCAGCCCTGTTTGTAGAAGAGGTCTCTCTGTCTCTGAAAGCACCAGGGTTATTAAGAAGACAAGGTCTCCATAATCGCCCTTCTGTGAGTGACTTCTTGATGTTTTCCAGGAAAGCCAATTGTTGTTCTTTGCCAAATATACCAAATTCAACAGATGGATACATCAAATTTCTAGTGCTGTAATATTTTTCATCATCTGATGCCCAGTTTTCATTTTCATCACACGACAACAGCTCTGAGTAAGATTTAAATCTCTTCCCATGTATGCCGTCTCTTGGTAGAATATTGCTTCCTGAGGCAGAGGTCTCAAGGGAATCTCGAGCACAAATACTCTCAGAAAGGTGACGCTCACGCTGACTTTTCACATGACTTCGCTGCAACTGATAGCTATTGAGGTTAGCATTTTCTAAGCTAGCAGACTGAGAGGTATTTTGAAACTGACCAAGCGCTGTCTTGGAAGTCAAGTTTTGCTCTAGACATGTGTCTGCCTGCAAGCAGCTATTTACAGAGGTGTTTGAGTTTGTGTCAGTTAAAAGTGGCAAGGGAGGAGTGCAGGCACGACTGCTAGCTCTTCCTTTCGCATCATCCTGTGGGTCTGATGTAGTAGCACTGGGAGAGATGGGCTGGCTTTTGCTTTCTAACCTGAGATCGGGTGTTTGGGAGTTCTTATTTCTTGTGGTGACTGCTTTATCTGGAAATAGGCTTGTGAGTCTTGGCCTATTTTCCACTTTCCCAGTGGTTTTTTTGGGACTGATGGCTTCCTTCTGGGTGTATGAACTTGTAACAGACCTCTGGCTGGTGTTATTAACAACCAAAGAAGGATCATTATGATTTTCAGTCTTCTTATGCTCAGCTGTTCTTGGTCTTGGCATATTCTTATCAGGGTCCAGACTGTGATTCTGATTTTCATTGTCCAGCTGCAGGAATGGCTGATGGGAATCCGTTGAAATCAGAGAGTTAAGGGACACGTTGACCTCCAAAGAAGTGGCATTTCCGTTGTTCTGTGAAAAAATGTTACTTATATGCGGTTTGGGTGGTAAATTTTTACTTGAAAATTTTCGACTTGTTTTGTAAACAGCTGCCAGTTTATTTTTAATTGAAGGTCTGTTTTTCCTTTTTTCTATATCTTTGACTTTGTCTCTTGTGAAATCAGAGAGAAGCTTGTTCTCATCTTCTGTATTCTGTGTTGTCTTCTGATCTTGTGTAACCCTGAAGACTTTATCTTTAATGTTCAGGCGACCTTCACAGTGCCTCTCTGATTCCTGCAAACCACTATAAACTTTATCCATCTGAATACTCTGTGAGTTTTGCCCTTTTTTAATTTTTGAATTCTTTACCTCATCTGTATCTGTGGTAACTACTTTGTCTAGCTGAAGTAATGGATCAGCACTGGAAGCTGTGCTTACCTCAGATGCTTTGCTCTGAGACTCTGAAAGCACTTTGCTACAAGAGTTTAAATAATTTGCATTTTTTCTTGAACTGTCAGCCCTTAACTGCAGTCCACTGCACTTATTATTATACAGAGGAGGGGTTTGGTGTAGGAAATTTACTCTCTGTTTGACTTGGGTACTATCCCTGTATATGTCTTCCACAGGAGCATGGTCTGTCTTACTACTCCTTCCAAGGGAACTCTTCTCTCCTGAGCGGAGGAGTAAACTGTTCAGATTTTTCTTAGTGTTCACTTTAGGAGGCTGACAGCAGCTTTCAGAGTTTCCCTTCTCTATAATACTTTTATTTGTTGCAGTAGAATACAAAGGATTCTCTAAACGTCTGCCTGGCTTGGGAGGGGTTGATAAAGTGGACAGGAGTGATGTGGCTCTTTGCAAAATTTCCTTCTTTTCTGTTAGACATATTTCTGCATTTTGGCTGCCTGAAGCATCAGAAATGGCCTTACTGGACTTAGTCACTATTGCAGTGGATTGTGGACCACCAAAAGAAATTTCTTTTGTTACCATGTCAGAAAGCACATTTTCTGCTAATGACAGATCTGCTGAATTATCTTTCCTGCTGACTGACTTCTCAAAGCTAGGACATAAATGGGAATTCTCTTCTTCGCCATCAACAGCAGTTCTTATGTTCTGAGGTGTGACCAGAGCTGAAGATACTTGGTCTGAAGAATATGAAGGCTCTTCTTTTTCTGAAGTAGTGGGGAAAAAAACATTTGGTAAACTCACATGATCTTCATTTTTCTTGTTTTGTATTCTTGGTGACTGAGCATTTTCTTTGGGACAAGGTAAATCTGCATCCTCTGTATCATCTCTGAAGAGGCTACAAAATGTTCTTGAATGCCTCCGCGGTAATGTGTAATAAATTGAAACTAGTTCATGATACTTGACATGATCTTCATCAACACAAACTGTAAATGTGCTTGTGGTTTTATATTTCTGCAAAAAATTTCCCCCCTCCTTATAATCTGAAAACACAGAGGATTCTCTTCTGCTTAGATGTTTACATCTGTCTGTCAGGTCAACTGATGTACTACTACTTACTGAATCAATACTTTTGGTTAAAGGACTGGGGTAATTTTTGTTACTTCTACCAGCATTTAATGATGCTGATGTCGAAAAAGAACGTTTTGAGTCTAAAGAAGACACATCTCTTTGATTAGAGTAAAAGGCATCAGCTCTATGGAGAGTTTCAGACCTTAAACAATCGTATGTTGTTCTACTTTCCCTAGGTAAAGAGATGGGCATATCTGACATAATACTACCAGCAATGCTAGCTGATTTTCTTGGCAAGGTATAATAAATAACAAGAGGGTCAGGAGATTTGGAGCTGTTTCTACCAGGGGAGCCAGTAATACTGCAGCTACTGCTATGTCTCAGCAAGCTGCCTTGCTTGTGAAGCCTTTCAATACAAGGTGAATTACTCCTTATTTTTCCACTTCCTTCTTCAAGGCAAAAATAACTTAAATTTTTTTCAGAGGCACTGGGGTCTCCATCAAAGCTATGCATATAAATATTTTCAGAATTTCCATTTAGTGGCGAACTAGTAGTGAATTGTCCATTACAGTCTTTAGTGTCTAAAGTGCTTGCATTTTGCAGTATTTTCTGTGAAATCTGTTTGGTAACACCTATTCTACTCATTTGAGCTGTATTTTCCCCTTCTGCTTGAGAATCAGTAACTGTGCAATTTACTGAAGAGCTACTTGGTGTTCCTAAGCATTTCGAATTGTCTTTATGAAAAGGTGTTTGTGGAGAGCTTTGTGAGCAGCTAGATGAGCATCCAGAAGGACAGGACAACCTGCCTCGACAGCTGGCTAACTTTTCAATGGATGATGCAGAAGCAACATTCAGTAGTGAGGACTGTCTCTTTGGAGTAGCTTGGTTAATGGCTTCTGCACTCCAACTATCCTGCTTGATGCTCTCTCTTTGTGCTGCATAATGCAGATTATGTTCCCACTCTTTCTGACTTGGAAGAAAGGGTTCCTTCCTGCTCTCATCAGCTAGCAAAGTACAGGGAGGCTGACTGAACACACTGTTGGGTGGGTAATCGTTTTCCTTCATTTGTACATTTCTTTTATCACCATTTGATGTATAAATTTTTGCACTATCTCCTCTAGCAGTGACTTGGGTTTGTCTTTTTGATGTCATCGTGTTAAAGAGAGATATATTTCTTTGCCACGTGGCAGAAGCAGGGCTGCTAGAGGAAAAACTCTGGGCGCTGATATAGCTTGTATCTGCTTGTTGAGGAATTGACTGTAACGGCATGTCTTCATCTGGCCCTTTCATACCTTCAGCCTTTTCTAGTTGTGTAAAGTCTGCCTTAGTACTGCTTTGGGTAACGACAGCTGAATTCCTGTTCAGTCCTGTAGGTTTTGTTTGGTCCTCTGAATTAGGAAAAACTGACTCATCACTTCTGATACTAGATGAAGAAACGGAAGAGTTACAACTTAGCCAAGGCCGACAGCCCTCTGTGAATTCTGAGAAAGTTCTGTTTGCATTTCTTGTTCTCCGTTTGACACTTGTATTTTCTGGAGAGTACACGTGAAAATCGTTCTCCAGGTGCTGTGAACCAAACTTAGCATTCTTTGTACATGCCCACTGCTGGTCATTTAAATTAGCCATAAACACTTCAAAGTTGTCTTCAGGGGAAAGAAATGCTTCATCACTGTAACACTGAGGAATATCAGCCCAAGAAGGATAGCTGTCTTTTTTTCCATAAGAATAATTTTTTTGGTTTGCATACAACTTGCCATGAGAAGAGATATCTCTATAGTAGGATCTAGAAAGATTATTTTCTGATTTATATAAAGGATAATTTTCCCAGTTATCAAAGGGCAATGGAGAAGTAGCTTCGTCAGGACAACTGACTCTACTAAAGTAATTACTGCTTGAAATAGATCTTCTGTAGTGGTGCTTTGAATGGTAACATGTGTATTTCTTTGTTTCTTGCAAAGAGCTGGGATATCTACCATGGTCAGCAGCATGAAACTCCATCAGTGACTGGGTTCTAAACATTTTTTCTGGAACTGATGTTTGTCCAGGTGAGTCTGGTGTGTTGTTCCATACAATAGAAGACAGAGGAATTCTCTTTGGGTTCTGCCGACCAAACCTGGGTACAAAACCATTCTTGCTCTCCCTTGCCAGTGGATGCTGTGAACTAGATGCTGATAGCTGGTCAGAAGATACTGAGGATGGACATCTCCGAAGGGAACATACGGAGTAACTTCTGCCAGCTGTATCCCTGTTCATACAACCCTTGTGCCTAAATCCGCTGTTCTGTGTTACTGAAGGGGGATACAAGCTACCTTCTGAAGACCGTCCAAAAGAAACGGCAGACAGCCTTCTGCGGTGCAGGCGAGGATTTGCATCGACTGGATCACCACATCTGCAATCTTCTTGAAAGGCTGCCTGGTGCCAATTTATATATGCACTGTGTAATTTCCTTGGTCTGATGAAAATCTTGTGTTCATCTTTGGCCCTTAGTGTTCTCAGTCCATCTGGGAAAAATGTGCTAGGCATGTCACTCCAGTCATTTCTGTGTTGCCCCCTACTAGCAATCTGCGTCTTTGAAGTAGAGAATGCACTGGATTGGACATTTGATGCACTGCTAGTAGAAACTGTCCTGTCCAGTGGGTCCTGGACTTGTTCCTGGGCCAGCTGGTCATCCAGATCATTTAGAACTGCACAGGGGAAAAAAAAGATACTTGGTTCTGTTTTCTTTAATAATCTTCTGACCATTTATGTTAAAAAGTTTCATGTACTACATTAATAATCAGAACTGGTTTTAAAAGGAGTTAGCTTCTCAGCATTCAAAACCCTTCCCAAACCACACATTCTTCTTCCATAGGACCTTTCAGCAGTCACCCATTATGACTACAAGGAAAAAAATGCTCTCCTCTATGACTGATCTTAAAACTGCTCTTTATGTAATTGTTAGTCTTTATGCTATTTAGAAGAAAAACAAAACAATTTGAAGTCTGAATTCTTACTCATGTGCTATATATATGTGTATGAGTGTGCATGTAAACTTTCCAAATGTAGTTTGTAGGCAAAAAAATCCCTGAAAAGAATTCACTAGGAAAACATGGACCTTTCTGTGTGCTCACAAACCACAGTTGTGATGTTACTGTAAGAAAACAAAGAACACTGCAAAGCATCAAACAAGCATATTCAGTAGTCTGGCATGTCCACTGTTTCTTTAATTCATAAAAGTTCTCTACTGTTTATTACTTTAAAATGAGCAGTGAAAATAGCATTTTTTGGATAAAAAGGGTAATTTAATAGTTAGGAACCTGTGATTCAATCTAGCAACAAATTTATATACATATACAGACAACCTCATGACCTAAAATTACACATTATACAGCTCAATTAACCAAGATATTCAGTCAGAAGACTGACAGCAATGTATTAAAAGTATTGTCAAAACCAATTATGCCTTTGCTAATTGTATTCATTTTGTATTTTGAAAATAACACGCATATGACTGTTTTGTTACTGAATTTCCTAATCCACTTAAATAAGCAAGACTGACTGATCAGTCATTACAGATCTGTGCTAGTAGTACAGAACCATTAAGAAAGCATTGCTAGGTATATATAGCTGGAATAAAAGGTGATCCAAAGGTACTAAAATTTTCCATTTTTCTAAGTTTTTCTTCATCACACAAAACAAGACAAAAGGTGTGTTATTTCTGAGCCTTCCATTTGGAGGACATCTGCCAAGCTATGTACAGTTTTTCTGTGTCAGTGGGCAAGTGTACACAGTTATGACAGACACACAAAGAGGTGACAGGCTGAGTTTCAGAAGAACTACTGTCCCCCATGCAGTGCTCTCCTCTTCCAGCAGCACCGACTCACTCACTCACTCACTACTTCCCAATCACGCTTTCAGTCTGTGACCTCCTGTACTTTTGGGTGGTAGAAAGTAATATTCATGGACATTTCTTTGCACAGATCTAAGAAAATCTGGAAAGTTTACGGAAAAACACCTCTGTACTCCCATAGGCTGGGTCTGATCTTGCCTCCCTTCCCGGTGTGAGGGAAAAAAAAACCAAAAAAGGACTCTTGACTATAAGGGTCCCAGAAAACTAACTGAATGCCACAATGTCTCTTGCTTTTGTGGTTTGAGGCTTTACAATTTATAAAACCAGGCACAATAATTCACTATTATCAAAATTACGCATGCAGGAAATTGGGATGAAATTCTTCTCACATAATCATATATCTGCCTCTAAAGGATGCAATATGGGCTCCTGAGAAACAGCAGAGAGAACTGTACACTTTTACGTGTGTTTCTTCTGAATTGTATCACTACGAGATGAAATGCATTCTAAGAATGATCAGTGACACATCCTGAAGTCAGTGTCAGAGTAGCCATTCTGCTGTCAAACAAAGACAGCAAAAAGTAGCCACTCTGCTAGAAAGTAATAAGCCGTATCTTTACAGCCTATGCTTATGGAGAAAATTCTCTGAAATCAGTCACCACAGTCACTTCTGGTAACAATAGTATCAGAACAAAATAAGGACACACACTTACCACTGAAAAACTCCTTCTCTAGCTGGTCATTCCATTCCTGTGTACTTTTCTCCATCATTTCATTTTGGTTTGTATCAAAAGAATGACCACTCATTTCAGCTGACATTGGGGAATTACACATTTCAGCCTATTAAAAATTACAAGTTAACATGGTTTTAGTTGAACATGTGGGTTCAGATTACGTTTCACGTCACACTACAAATCGTGTCACAAGTCCCAGAGATCAGCAAACTCTTTGTGGATCTATTAAATACTGTATTATTAAAATACACAACTGAGGATTGTAAAGTTGCATGCATTTTAGAGACTTTTACACATGTAATAAGGAGAATTACTCAGCTTGTCCTCATATTGTAGCATATTTTGGATACGAGAGTTATAATGGCCTTATAATAAGGGCATAGTTTACTTATTTTATCCATATGCATCTTTACTGCATTGTATCTTTTTAATGCATTGCATCTCTTAATTTAGTTTTTCTTAATCTGTTTTTCCTTGACCAGCATATTTTGAAATTCACATACCAACCTCCCAATGGAGATTTAATAATTTAATACTACAGCCAATTTTCTTATTGCAAGACAGCACTTAGTATTAGAAGCGGGGAAAATGTCACCCTATTACCCATCTGTTTCTGGTTTACATGTTAAGCTGGAGAAGTTCTATCCCACTCACATTTCTCTCAGCTCAGGTCTCGGATGGTAGAAGTGCAGACAACTGCTGAACTGCTGATTTATTTCAGCTGAGACTCTTCCTACTTTTTTTAAAAGAAAAACCTTGCTATGTTTTTGTTCTCAATAGTCATAATATTTTACTTGTCTAGCTGTACTATAGCTTTATATAATATGTTTATATAATAGGCAGGATTATCTGATAAGATCTTTGTTCAGTCATATATCATTATAGATTATCCCTTTGTTTTTGAAATATGAGAGAAGGGAGGTGGCCAATTTAGGTCCTCTGTGCCTCTGATTATATACTATATACCTTCTTAGTCCCCTCTGTTGTTATACCACTCAAGTGAAAAGGAAAAAAGACATGTTAGTAATATAGGGTAATAAAGTAATTCAAATAGAAAACATCATCTTTGGAAGAAAATCTGTTATTTCAACAGTGTGCACTTATATTACATCAGAAATAAATGTGTTGTTTAATCCTTAAAATGAGCTTGTGCTTACAAAATGGAACATTTATCAAAAAAATAATTTCCTATTGTCAAAATTTACATTTACATAGCAACTCTGTGCATGGAAATGTTGCAGGAGAGGCTCTATCTTACTGCCTGCCCAAGTCAGCTACTCTGTTTTAACCTTGTACAGTGACGTGAAGTAAGCACACTGGATTATTTATTCAGTGTGAGTTTTGATCTATTTGTAGTTTGCTTACAGTTGCCAAGATATGTGAGGGTCTTGGCCTAGGAAATGATCCATGTAATTATTCTGTCATTATGAGAGAACTGAAATCTGGCAGAGCTAGACTTACAGCTTACCTCTGAAAGCTTCAGACTTGTAGAGTTAATGGGCAAACTCATTCTATTATATTCAACAACTTCACAATTCAGACATTTTCCTCAGTATTTAAAACAAGAACTGCAAGAATACTCTTTAAACATGTAATATCAAGAGCATAAACCAAAGGGACTAATTTTTTCAAAATCTGTAGTTAAAACTTTGCTGAGTAAATTGATAAGCTACTTACCGTTGCCATTTCTTCCACTTTCGAGGATGGGCTAGCAGGACTGTCATATCTGTAGGCAGGAGGATGTAAGTGTTGGCTTTGAAAACGAGTGTGACGTAATTTTATCGGGTAGTAAATATCCAACAGTTTCGCATTTTAACAACTACTGAGAAGCATCTGAAGAAAACCTCCTCTATGAAGAATTCATCCTTCCCTCCCCTGCCTCCCCCCAAAAAAAATACTGCTAAAAAATGCTAGGAAAATATATTGTTCATTTTGGCTTTACCAGATTGCAAAAGTCAAATCTGTGCAGCCAAAAACTAACTCAACCTACTGACATCTGAATGGCTGCAACAGCCATAAAGTAGTTACTTCAGTTCAGCATTATGATAAGATAGTATTATTTCTTTTTCCAAACAACAGTAGTAGGTACTACTCTTAGCTGTAGTTATATACTTGTAAACCTGTAAGTGGTTTGCATCGGCAATTCTATTATTTTTCTCTTCCATTTCACCCTGCTCAGATGCAGAGCTGTGCACTGCCCCTGCAAAGGAGGAGAGATAGACAGCAGATTGTTTTCAGTGTGAACTTTGGAATTTGTTGCTACTCACCCAAAACAGCCTTTATTTACCACTTTTCAACACATGGTAGAAGGCTCGTCTGCTTTCCTAAGGTATATCAGACTGCAAGGGCTTGGCAGACAACTGGCTAGAGTGTCTGTGAGTAATGTAGTGGTTAGAACAAGACGAGAAGTCCTGAACATAAAAAGTACTCTGCTCTACGGGGTGACTTGCAGACATACAAATACAAAATAAACTAAAGAAACAAGAACAGGACTTGACTTCACTGAGTCTATTTGAGTCTGCAGAACTTTATTTTACAACTAAGCAAACCCACTCCCTTCAAAAGCCCTGAAGGAAATGTTGCTCAGCCTGTGCTTATTGCCAGTTCTTCCGTGTCTCAGAACTCTTTTTTCCCAGGAAGGTAATTCTTGAGAGAAAGTGAAATAGGGAAAGATGGTTCTGCTCAGTCCTGTTTGTCTCAAACTTTTTTTGAATGACCTTGTTCTTAGGCTCTTAAAACCTTCTTGTGCTCAGGTAGACTACTTTATTGTGCTTCTATAGCAAGTATAAACCGGCTTGTTGGCAAGTTCTTTGTGGCCCAGCCTTTCCTCCCGAAGTGCTTTGTCATTTGTTTGCAATGTGCTTGCAGGCAGGGAAGAACAGTTGAAAGGTGCAATTTGTTTTTGCTTCTGTAATTGTGAACTGTAAAACCAGGATTCCTCTCTGACATAGGGTCCAACTGAAACCAAACAAGCCTGTTGACTTCAGTGGGCTTAGGATCTGGCCAGGCAGTCTGAATCTGAAGTTCCTAATTTTTCCTTGTATCACAGAATAAAAATAGCCATTAATTCAGTGGGTAAACTCTCCCTGTGAATGAAGTTTACAGAACCAGAACTCAGAAATGTATGTAGCTCTTCCTTTAATCTTAAATAAAGTTGAATATGTTTTAATGCTTCTACAACAAATTAAGAATTGAAACTTATGTTTCAGAGTTTTTACAACGATTTCCTGCAAACTCAGTTCAACAAAATCCCGTGGCTTAGCGAGTTACCTTAACTTTACTCATATGCATAACAAAAATGTAAAAGCTTTGTTAGAAGCTTTCTTCTTCAGCTTTATTGTGTAAAGCCGCTCTACAGCTCTCCCCACTCCCGACAACCCGGTGTTGCCTTAATTGCTCCTTTCAATGAAGCTACATGAAGTAGACATGTTAGTTAGAAATGTCAGTTAGAAATGTCTTCTGATAGTCTAGGCAAAAATTAAATTTTCATTTGCACCTCTGGCACTATTCTAAATTCATGCCTGTCTTTGTTGCCACTGTTCTTTCAGAAATAACTGGTCACTGCATCCTGCTTTATTTTCTCCCTGCTAACTTATACAGACAAGGTTATTTTAATCTTTTCCCTGTGCCGATCCCTCCACTTCCCAAACTGCCTCATTATTTTTTCTTAAACGCTTTAAGTTTTTCAGCATTTCAAAATATAAACTTTTCTTACTCTCAGAGAAATGTTGCTTAATTTTAGGAAAAAGTCTTTTTTTTAGATAGGGATATTGGGCAATGTTTACATTATTAGGTACACACATGCATGCACACATACACACATACTTGCAAATATTGTCTATTACTCATAAACAGAAGAAGTTAAATTAGTGTTCAAGTTCAGAAATATTTACAATCAGAAAAATACTACTCACTATGGAAAACAAGAAATTGTAATTTATACTTTTCCACTTCTATACATATGTATCTTTTTAATGACAACCAAATGTAAGATTATAAGTAAAAGATAACTATCACTACTGGCAACAATAATAAAAATCCATGAATTCAAATCTGCTGTGAATTAGTATTCTCACTGAGGCACCTGTCTTCCCCAGGCTACCTCCAAGTTGTCTAATGTCAGTGTAATCCGTTTTCTCCTATACTATTCTTATCAGTCCTATATAAGAAGACAACTAAACAAGAAACACATAATTCACATACGCTGAAAACATAATTAAACAGCATTTCTTTTCCCGGATGAATCACACTTACATATTAGAAAATAATAAGGATGAATTCAAGAACACCGAACACCTTTGAACCAAAAGTGATCAAACATTTCGCTGTCTTCAGACTACAGTTACAAACCTTTTATTAGCATCTTCTGTGTCTCCATGTAAGCACACTCTTTCTTGCAGCATCCATAATTTATTCCCACCGTAAAACACCACCGCAGCAGATGAAACTGTCTCTCCAGAAAAGACCCTCTAACCAGCCATTAATACTTAGCCATTTAAAAGCTTCTGCCAGTTAGGCTTACTTACAGGATTTACAGTGCTGCGTCCTTTTGTATTTCACTAGCACTCCAAAATAACTCTACCTGGTGAGAGGCAGATTATTTCAGTGCTTTGCCTATGCATAAAGCAAACCACATGCCACGGCAACACCTAGAAGAGGGTGGGGGAAGTTTTCGACAGAGAGGCGTGACTAGAAAATGTAGCAATCAAGCGCAGTTACACGTCAGGATTGACTTGTTTATTTTTCAAGTTGTGCTCGGTCAGAAATCAAAGGCATCTGAGCCTGAGATACGACTGATTTTCTGCGGAAATGCCAGATAAAGGCTGATGTAATGAGTTGGCACGCTTTGGGGTTTTTTGCCTTCTTAAGAAAGGCTTAGATTCTACAGCACAGCCTAGACCTTCTTGTGTTCATTGGCTACCTTACTGTGCACCAGGATTAAAGCACCCTTGAAATCTGATTCTCACTTACACAAATGCCCCTTTATTCTGCAGGCAGGGCTGTGGCCCAGTGTTGGTGTGTCCCAGCATGAGGGGCATTACCGTGTCACGGGGAAGAGGAAGGCGCAAATGATGTGTATGGAGCAGTGTTAAAACTGCAATTTTTTTTGCTGTGCCGTGTTGTTATGTAAAAGGATTGTTACCAGTGAACATCCACAAAGCTAACCTCACAGCCTCTATGCAAACCTCTCCTTAAGTCTCCTGCTTTGATACAAACACTCCACAATGGCAAGCTGCTGCGTTACAAAACCTACATATCAGACTAATCATAATTTCTTTAGAGGCTTGCATTCCCTGTCATTGTTTATTACAGCCATTCATGCCACCTGGGAGCCCCAGGCATGGACCAGAATATCAGCCTGAGACTCACAATCAGCTCTTTAGAACAAAGATCTTGCATCTTCATGCTTAAGATTTCAAAGAACTGCACAGTGCACCTCTACCTGTAATTGCCAGTTCCAAGCATTACCTTAAGAGGCACACAAAAATAGTAAGGCTTCATTCAGATGTTGCAGACATACAGGATTACACAGAACAAAAGTTAGGAGAGAACAGTTAGCCTAACTAGCCTGACTGTGGCTTACCCCAGACTATGTTCCATCTGAACAGCAGCTTTAACCCTGTGGATGGCAAAGGATAAGGATGCTCTTCAAACAGCAGCTCCAGAGCTGCATATGAGACCATCTTTGGTCCAGATCCAGCTGACACCAAAGCACTGATGTCAGTGCTTTGAGACTGAAGACTAAAGTGCTGAGAGCTGCCCTGTTAGCCTGGCTGGAGCTAAAGCTGCAGGCCTGCCTTTAGCTGCCTCTGGGCTAGAAACGGTGGGAACTGATGCAGCACAGCTGCCTGGGGCTGGTACTGTCTGCCATGGCTTGGGAAAGCTATACTTTTGTATCACAGCCATAGGGCACCAGATCCCCATGCGCCTTACACCTTGTCCTCTTGAGGGGGAATTAAATAGGATGCAGCCACTGCTAAGTCTAGGGCCTTTCATATACTTTAAGTTGTTATGCAAAACCTGAGCAAAATAGATTTAGACAAGAGACTTTACCTAATACTTGCCAATTAGTCCTCATTGTTCTGAAACAAAACAGATAATCTCTCATTACATGACCAAGTAAAATCCCAGTCATCCCAGTGAGGTAAAAGGCAAGAGACTGGAAAAATAATTTATCAAAGATTTCTAACCAAAACACAGAACAATTCATAGACTTTTTTAAAGCTGGAAATAATGTATGTTCTGATTAAAGCTCACCGTGGTTGCTTCTGAGTCTGGGTTTTCCTCGATTTTCTGAAGGAGGAAAGCCAAGCAAAAGGTGATCTGAATCCCAGAAAAGAAGATGAAGTGTTCTTTTGTGCTTGAGGATTTGTGCGGGATGACATTTTTAATTCTTTATGATCTAAAACCATGATAAAAAGTAGATTGTTTCTTAGTAAATACAGTATTAATATATATTTAAATGTTATATCTTCATAAACAATTTTCTTTTGCTTACCTTTTATGCCAGAGAGATCTAGTTTTACTGACATTTTTGGAGAGACTATGTGACCTGCTGGTTTGTAATGACTAACTAGAAGATAGAGAAAGATAAACAGATCTAAAGTTTCAAAAAGTATTAGGGTTTTGGGTGATGCACGTGAGATAAATGAGGCTGATTTTCAGAAAGTAATCAGCACTCAACCATTTAAAAACTGTAGCTGTTTCAAAATATAGGTAAGTTAGACATTTGAAAATTGAGGTACCCACAATCATTATCACTTTCTTTTCACATTTGTAAGAAATATAAATGTGACCACCCAGAATACACAATGGCGTAATAGACTATAATGTAACTACATAACAGTAATTCACACTCTTCTGTACCATACCAGAAACAAGACTTCACTCAGGAATAAGGCACTACATTTTTTTTCCATTTAAAGCAACACATGCCTGAAACAATACAACAGCTTGAAGATAGCTTATCTGATGATTGTAGGAGAAAGCAAATCCAGAAATTAGAGCAAAGTGCCACTGATAACAACAGGAAGGGGCAGCATTTTGGACCTCATCCAAAATGAAGCGAATAATCCATGTCATGTGATTTAAATCCTGTGTGTAATGTATCTCTTTCACTTCAGTGACAATCACTGTGTATTTCAAAATGCCACATTCTTTACCCCTTTCAGAGTGTAACCTCTTGGTGGCATTGACTCAACAATGCAGGTGACATCAGGAGATGCACTCTGCCGTAGCCAGTATGGTCTAGGGGTGTAGACATAGCAAGACTTGCAGGTAGAAGCAGTACCTTTTATTTAGCCAATTTATACAGTTGGAAATATCAGACAAGCCTCTGAGGCACAAAACCCCTTCTTCAGATCTGAAATAGAAACAGGAGCTTTCAAAGTTAAATACCAGAGAACAATTACACAGAGTTTAGCTAGCTAATGCATCAGTTAGACCATCTCTGAAAGAGAAAACTAGTAGATAGCTGTGGACTAGAGGGGATGTTGGGGAAAAAATGGTCAGGAAAGACAGATCTGTTCTGTGTAGGTTTCACTTTTCTTTTGAAATATATAACTCTGATTCCAGTTGCTATGAAGCTCAAATAGGAAGAGCTCTATGAAAAACATGCAGAAATGTGAACAGACAAAAGCATATATTATGCATGAAAACTATCTGGATGGAAGATGAAAGACAGTACAGAATACCATGCTTGCTATAGAGACATCATGTTTCTTGTGCATGTTCACTTTGGATGACATCAGAATCTGTGAAAGAGATCTCCAGTTGGCCTGCTTCCTGGTCAGGCCAACTTCCCAGGCTTTGACACTTGCCCTGATAATCAGCACTGGCATGCCTAGTGTTACTAGGAAAAGTTTTCCACTGGTGCATTTAAACGTCTCTCACCCAAACCCATCTACTTATTCCAAATATCATTTAGATGCTTTTAGATTTTTAAGAAAACTAGGTTAAAACTGAAATGTCTTTTTGTGCTGGTTTTGGCTGGGATAGTTAAATTTTTCCATACTAGCTTGAATGGGGCTATGTTTTGGACTTGTGCTGAGGACAGTGTTGATAATTCAGGGATGTTTTCATTATTGCTGAGCAGGGCTTACACAGAATCAAGGCCTTTTCTACTTCTTGCACCACCCCACCAGTGTGTGGGCAGGGGATGCACAAGGTGTTGGGAGGGGACATAGCTAGGACAGGTGACCTCAACTGACCCAAGGGACATTCCAGATGATTCTGGCATCATGCTCAGAATATAAAACTGAGGGGAGAAGGAAGGAAGGACATTCAGAGTGAAGGTATTTGTCTCCTCAAATCACTGTTATGTGTGATGGAGCCCTGCTTTCCTGGAGGTGGCTGAACAACTGCCTGGCCATGGAGAGTAGTGAATGAATTCCTTGTTTTGCTTTGCTTACATGCACAGCTTTTGCTTTATCTATTCAACTACCTTTATCTTAATTCACAAGTTCTCTCACTTTTAGCCTCCGGCCCATCCTGACAGGGGGTGGGTGAGCGAGCAGCTAGGTGGTGCTTAGTTGCTGGCTGGGGTTAAACCACAACAGTCCTGTATGATGCCTGATGTGGGGCTCAAAGGATTTGAGATAATGACAGATTTCAGTGGAATGTGCTAAACTGAAGTTATAGCTGTTCTTGCTGTTTAGCTATTAATTGACAGGCTCCTGTGCTTGCCATGGGGCTCACCTGCCTGACTGTACATTAGAGCCTAGTGCTCGTTAGTGGAATGCTAATGTGCCATGGTTATGGTGTACCTCTGAAGGGATTGTGGCCCAAGAATAAGTCCATACTGGAAAAGGTACACCTCGAAGCATCTGTGGCCTGTGCATGAGGTCATGCTGGAGAATCTCAGAGTGTGCGGCCATGGGTAAGACCACGACAGAGCAGGTACTCCCCTGCAGGGACGGCAGCTGTGGGCAAGATCATGTTGAAGGAGGTGTATCCCTGAAGGCATTGTGGCCTATGGAGGAAGCCTTGCTGGAAAACACGCACTTCAAATGGACTGTGGCTGTGGATACATCCATGACACAGCTAGTATAGCCGAGAAGAGACTGGCTCCATATGGAGCAGGTACACCCCTGCAGTATGTGGGTAAGTCCAAGACAGAGCAGGGGCAATGGGAAGAGTTCAGTGTAATGCTAAATCAGATGATCTGGTTCAAAGGGACCAGGGGTGAGGTTGCTGGAAGTCAAGATTTGAGTTGCATGTTATGGGAATGTGACCATGAAATAATAGAGGTCTCAATACTCAGGGACTCAAAGAGGGTCATCAATAAAACTTCTGTCTTGGACTTCCACACGGCAGATTTCGGCCTACTCAGAAGACTTGTTTAGAGGAAAACAGCCCTTGAAAACAAAGGGGTCCAGGAGGGATGGACATGCTTCAAGAAGCAAGTCTTGAATGCATAGGAGCAAGCTGTCCCAGTGTGCTGAAAGGCGAGCCAGTGGGGAAGACGGCCAGCCTGGCTAAACAGGGAGATTTTAAAGGAAATTAGGGGAAAAAAGAGAGCTTACTGACTATGGAGAAAAAGGGCTGGCTACTCATGAAGAGTTTAGGAATATAGTTAGGTAACGTAGAAAGAAAATTAGAGAGACACAGGCACAATTTGAACTCAATCCAGCCACTTCTGTTAGGGACAACAAGAAATGCTTCTACAAATACATCAGTAGCAAAAGGAGGGGCAAGAAAAATATCCATTCTTTGTTGGACATGGCAGAGAACAAAGTCACCAAAGATAAAAAAAGGCTAAGGCACTTAACACCTTCTTTGCCTCAGTTTTCAAGACAGGTTGTCCTCAGGACAAGTGGCCTCTGGAGGTGGTAGACAGAGATAAGAAGTGGAATAGCCCCCTGTAATCCAGGAGGAAACAGTTAGCAACACACTGAGCCACTTGGATCCTCACAAGACTATGGGACCGGATGGGATCCATCGTAGGGTGATGAGGGAGCTGGCAGAAGAGCTTGCCAAGCCGCTCTCCATCATTTACCAACAGTCCTGGCTCACTGAGGAGGTCACAGATGATTGGAAGTTGATGAATGTCACGCTGATCCACAAAAAAGGGCTGCAAGAAGGACACGAGAAACTACAGGCCTGTCAGCCTGACCTCAGTGCCTGGCAACGTTATGGAGCAGATCATCCTGAGTGCAATCACACAACAGCTACAGGATGGACAAGAGATCAGACCCAGACATCACGGATTTAGGAAGGGCAGGTCCTGTCAGACCAACCTGATCTCCTTTTATGATCAGGTGACCTGCCTGGTGGATGAGAGGAAGGCTGTGGATGTGGTCTGTCTGGACTTCAGCAAAGCTTTTGACACCATCTCCCATAATATACTCCTGGAAAAGCTGGCAGCCCATGGCTTGGACAGGGTACTCTGTGCTGGGTTAAGAACTGGGCTGGAGGGCCGGGCCCAGAGAGTGCTGGTGAACGGGGCTGCATCCAGCTGGCGGCCGGTCACCAGTGGTGTCCCCAGGGATCAGTGCTGGGCCCAGTCCTGTTTAGCATCTTTATTGATATTAAATCCCCTCTGGATAAGGGGATTGAGTCCACTGTTAGCAAATTTGCAGATGACACCAAGTGTTGATCTGCTGGAAGGCAGGAGAGCTCTGCAGAGGGACCTGGATAGGCTGGAGAGTTGGGCTGATTCCAACAGGATGAGGTTCAACAAGGCCAAGTGCCGGGTCCTGCACTTTGGCCACAACAACCCCCTGCAGCGCTGGGCACAGAGTGGCTGGAGAGCAGCCAGGTGGAAAGGGACCTGGGAGTTTGGATTGACAGGAAGCTGAACGTGAGCCAGCAGTGTGCCCAGGTGGCCAAGAAGGCCAATGGCATCCTGGCCTCTCTACAGCTACTTGAAAGGAGGTTGTAGCCAGGTGGGCATCAGTCTCTTCTCCTAAGCAAACAGCAGTAGGACAAGAGGGCACAGGCTTAAGCTGTGCCAGGGGAAGTTTAGGTTGGATATTAGGAAGAAATTTTTTATGGAGAGAGTAATCAGACATTGGAATGGTGGAGTCACCATCCCTGGAGGTTTTTAATATGAGACTGGATGTGGCACTTAATGCCATGATCTGGTAACCGCCATGGTACTGGATCAAGGGTTGGACTTGATGATCTTGGAGATCTTTTCCAACCCAGTTGATTCTATGATTCTATGATACAATAGCAGGAACCCCTTGTTGCTAGCCAGTCTGGGAGCAAGGGTGGGAGTTCATTGCAATGTTAAACCCTTATAACCTGGCCCAAAGGGACCATGGGTGGGGACTGTAATGAAAATACCTTTGAATTCCTGTAGCCCATGATTTGAGTTGTATGTTATAGAAATTACTATAGGAGGAACCACCCAAACCAGTGCAGGACAAGCTTTGCAAGGAGCAGTGCCAAGTGCAGCAGTGGACAGCCTGAGCTGGCTTTGGAGCTCGGTAAGTCCATGCAACACACCACCTCTCCTGTCCTGAGCTACCACCATAACAGATGGAGCCCAAAGTCATGAACTAAATGAACTCAGTGGACGTTTTGTGGACATTAGTGGACATTTTATGGACATTTTACAAATGTTTTACAGGGGTGATCCATAGACTAAGGGAATGTCATCTGTATCAAATGATGGGAAGGCAGCGGGGTAGTTAATGAGGATGTACTGAATAGTGTGGGACCTGAGCATGATGTAAATAGTATGGAATGTGCTTGTTTTGGCTGGGATAATTAATTTTTTCCATAGTAGTTTGCATGGGGCTATGTTCTAGATTTGTGTTGAGAACAGTGTTGATAATTCAGGGATGTTTTCATTACTGCTGAGCAGGGCTTACACAGAGTCAAGCCCTTTTCTGCCTCTCACCCCACCCCACCAGCAGGTGGGCAGGGGGTGCACAAGGAGTTGCGAGGGGATACAGCCAGGACAGCTCAGCCCAGCTGACTCAAGGGACATTCCATACCATATGGCATCATGCTCAGCAGTAAAATCTAGAGGAAAAAGAATGAAGTGGGGGACATTCAGAGTGAAGGCATTTATCTCCTCAAGTCACTGTTATGTGTGATGGAGATGGCTGAACACCTGCCTGACCATGGACAGTATTGAATGAATTCCTTGTTTTGCTTTGCTCACATGCACAGCTTTTGCTTTACCTATTCAACTGTCTTTATCTCAATCCACTTTTAGCCTTCCAGTTCTCTCCACCATCCCACTGTCGGGGAGAGAGCAAGCAGCTGTGTAATGCCTAGCTGCTGGGGTTAAACCACAACATTTCTGTACAAAGCAAACATCACTGCTTTGATTGGGAAACCACCATTGTATTTACTATAACTACAGCAACTTCATCTTGATTAAGAAAGAAATTTTTAATTGTGAGGACAATTAATCACTGGAGCAGCCTTGCCATGGATGTGGTGGAGTCCCCATCAGTGGAGGTTTACAAGATGTGACTGTAGAGAGTTCTAACTAATCTCATCCAGGCTCCCTTTCCAACAAAAGGTTGGACCTAATGATCTTCTGATGTCCTTCCAACCTGGGCTGTATGGGTTGGCAGAACAGTATCAGGCATTTTCTGTTGTGGCTCCCAGCTGTGATTTTAACAGAATCTGCTTGAAGAAACATAGTAATTTTGAAAATATATCTTTGATAAAACTATGATATTAGAAGAAAGTCTACAGTTTCAGAAACTCGTTAGCTATTACACTCCAAAATGCTATAAGACATTGCTTTGGTGACTGTTATTACATACGTAAGGAAATGGAAAAACGCAACTCACTGGTGTTTTTGCTCTTCTTCAGCTGATGCTCTAATGGTGGTTTTAACATTCTATTGACATCAAGGTAATTCTGAAATTTTTTTCTTTTTATTTCTTCAAACCATTCTCCAGTCACTCCCTGCAGCCCTTTTTCAGACTTCCTTCTCTTCAGAAGTTTGCTAGAAAGGGAAAAAAATACTTTAAGCCATTTTAGATATTACAGGCACATCATTAGGAACTCTCCCTGTTGTTGATCTAAATATTTACAGTATATCTCTACGTATAATGACTTTTACAAAGATACAGTGGGGCATGATATGTTCACAGCAAGCACATAAAAGTTTTAATGAAGGAAAATTCTCCAGCTTAACAAATGACACTATGTGACCAGGTTAAGTGGATGACTCATATGGTTGAATTATTCTCTGCCTTGAAGAAGTGCATCCTTTTTCCTTGCAAAAATAAGGTAATAATTCATAAGCACTCTAAAACTAATTGAAAGTAACATTAAGTTCAGCCAATAATCAAATTAAAATAAATAACACCCTAACAAAGCAATTTCTGAAATATTTATTCACTCATTTAAGTAGAAGCAATAACAAGAATATTTTTATTTTCAAGAGGAAGATCACCAATGCCCTAACAGTGAGGTGTCCACTACACATTTTCTATGCAAAGGAGAATAATAAATTGTGAATTCAGCTAATAGATATTCATGCAACATGTTCAACAAGTTTAACACATTTTCCTCTTTCCTTGCTGCATAGTGATTCTGCCTGTGTTTAATATGTATGGAGGCATCTAATAATGAATATATGAATGTTCTGCCACACTGAGGTGAAGCCTGCACAAGCTACACACATGTGGCTGCCACTGAAGAAGTTATTTAGTAGTAAGTTCAGGTTTAGACCAAGAAGTCAGAGGAATTAATTGTTTAGCTGGATGTAAAAGAACAAGGTACAGTTGCAAAGAAGTGGGAATAGTGCAATGGGCATGCAAAGTTACTTGTTTTCAAATGACGTTAGACAAGTGCCTAAAGTACAGATGTAAATGCAGCAAATCCACACCCCAACTGATTCTGATGGTAACAAAACAAGACTTTGTGCACAGCCTGCAGATGTAATACCAATGTTTGAGCAAGGCTTTCATGTAATTCTGCCTCCTTAATCCGTGGTAAAACCCATACCTAGGAGGAATACAGATGTTCTCAGAGAACATAAGTTACTTCACTAATTGATAAAAACTCATATTATCTGAGACAACAATACCTCTCAAAATACACTGAAGATAAAATATCTAGTCTGGAAATGGATATATTTTGATCTGGAATTTATACAGAGTACATTGTCCATACTATCACCTACTGTTCATTCGGTGGCATCTGATGAACAGGAAGGCTGGAGGGAGACATTTTTGGAAAATGAGTACTTCCTTTGAAGATTACACAGCCACATGCACAAGCACTAGCCATTCCAAATAAACTTATTAGAAAGGCAAAAATGTTAATCATCACAGATATTACCACAGCACGGGAGTGACTAAACACTGTAAATGCATTCTGCAGCTTGGAACGCAGCCTAGCAGGGATGTGGAACAAGAGGGGATGAACAATGTGCTCTCAAGAGCCAACTTCATGACCTCACTCCTGTGGCCTTACCAGTAAGGAGCAGTAAAAGTACACAGACTCGGGGAGTGGCTGCAGCCACAACGCCTGCCCAGTAAACAAGGCCACAGCAGTTCTGCCGAAGTCCCTAAAGTGGAGACCATCTGTTATAATTCATTCCCTTCGGGAGGAGACACGCTGGGATCGCCGTTCCCAGTGGGAAGCCGGCGGGGTGGGGCCCTGGCGCCACCCAGCGGCGGCATCCAGGATCACAGCTTGTCCCTGTGCGTGTCCCCGGGCAGGGCTGCGGTGACCCCGCACCCTCGGCCGGGAAGCGGGCAGGATGGATACACAACCGTCTATTCGCTTCACGTTTACGCATTCCAGAGGCAAAGGAAAATACGAAACCCCCACACTTGCTCTAACGTCGACCATATGAGGCATTGCACGAACATGCCTTGCACTGAGAAACGAACTGGAAGTCTTGCGCAAACGCTGACTTTAAACACGGTAAAGTCTTTACGAGTACATGCTTGGCATTATCTACAGTCATTATCTGTGAATGTACTGCTTTTGAGTTGTGCTGTCATCCCGAACTCAATATCCCAAATAAATCCTTTAAACTGCTTGTGCATATTTATATTTATGCACACGCACAGGCCCATATATGGAACTCTATATACATAGTTATTTGAGCGACGAATAATATTAATATGATACACAATCTCTAATTGCAATATTGCATGACTATTAAGCATTTCTCCTTCGTGATGACTCCCCAGCCAAACCACATCATTTCCCTATATACCTGCTCTGTCAAGTTTATGTGCCCCCTCATGACACTAATGAACGACAGTTGTGAGCCAGAAGGAAAGCTCGTCTCAAGAAACAATTATAGCAGGAGATGGTATCTGCAGTGAGTATTGCAACGAACTTGCCTCTGAGGCAGCGCTATTGTTACTCGGATTACCAATTATATATTGAGATACTGCTCCGTAGGAGTGTCAAAACACCTAGTGCCCTCTAAGCCAAATGTACTAATCCTGCTTCCCTGTCTACTCCATTTGTCCTTACTTCTTGCTTTTCCACAGACACGTTTGGACACTTGAAGTCACTTCTTCTTGAAAGGAGACAACATCACTGTGATGGAAAAAGCTGTTGAGGGATTAAAGGCAAGTCCATTCCCAGGATAACTTACAGGAGACTGCTGCACAAACCAGAGCAGGCAGCAATCCTAAATGACCTCACAGGCTACACCTCATTACCTTTTCCCATCTATTATCCTACAGAGCATGATAAACTAATGAATCACTCAGGAGCAATTTCTTTACACTGTTTTTAAAAACATTGCTTCCTTATTGGTACAAGGATGTCCCAGAATTTCTTACAGACGTCTCCAGGGAAAACTTAACCTGAATGTTTCTATGTGCTAGACTTTCATGTGGGTTATCATAAATACTGTCTATAGATGGGTAGCCTCCCCTACCACTTCCTATTAGGATAATAAGGAGCTTTAATTGCTATGGTAAGAGGAAAGGTATTTTCTTTACTATCTTCATCCTGCATATAAAGCAGAAGACAGATGTGCAAGGTAGTAGAAACCGGGTTGCCAAATAGGACATCTGGGGACACCTCTGCTGTTTGTAGGGGACAGAGGACTCAATCCCACTTTTGCCAAAGCAGAAATTATGATTCCTACTGATTTCAGGAAAGCAAGATTAAGCCCTAAAGGACTCTAACCACACACCTCTCAAGAGAACAGATACACAGCACAAGGAATTGCACCAGGTGAAGGATAAGCAGATGCAATTTGCTCACTGGATCAAAGCTTGCAGTGTTTGAGAAGACAAGGCTGAAAGGATTGCAGATAAAAAGAGTGTTGAAAACTTAGATTAAAAATACAGCAGGGCAGATAACTTGCAAAAAATTACCTAAACCAAGCTTTTATCTTCATTTTGTTTATATTCCTTACTTTATTAGCAAGGAACGGCTAGAGATGTTAAAAAACAGTGCCTGAAGAAGCTATTCTTTCTTAATTTTTTTACCTCAACTTATGCCCTTCCCACTACTTTATACATTATGCCACACTGGTGAACTGTGCAACTCCATCACTTCTGTGACTAGTTATTTTTCTAGAAAACTCTGGCTGTTGTCACAGCCATGGGTAGCTCTAAAATGCAATGTAGGAATGTTTTTTACTTACAGTTCCTTTTAATGTTATGAAAAGAGTTTACAGACATACTTTCAAGTTGTCATATTTGGGAAAGAAAAAGGGAAAAGAATTATTACTGGCAATGGGAAAGACTACCATAGCTGAAGTAATTTGAAAAAAAATTGTATCTGCCATTTCCTAGAGACAGCAATAACAACAACATTCTGGTTGCCAAGGTGCCAGAGTTAGTCCTACCAGGAAGAAAAATAACAATACACAGAGTCAACATACTCTTTCCGAGCACCTCAGACACACAATAGGTCTGTTTTCTAAGGCAGTCTTTATTCTTAGTAGCTGGTATACTTTTACTCATATTAAAGCATCTTCTGTTTATTTTTCTTTCATATTGCTGTCTGTTTGGCTAATGAACCAAGTCAGCCTCATTATTATATGTAAAACATTATGCACAAGAGGTGAATCACAGAGGAAAAATTACTCCCATGTTTTGGTTGCATATACTACAAGGCAATGTAAAAAGATCTAACTGAAAATGCACTTTCTTTGATATTTCTGAAATTAAGCATTTCTGCAGATATTCTCTGAAAAATCAAGGTGTCCTCTATGAGGAACAAATATGTTGGAAAGAACAAAATGTGTTGGAATAATGCTCCAATCTAACCTGCTAGGTCGTTGCCAATCAACCATTCCAATTTAATTTTTCCTTCCCCTGAAATACTAGTTTTTTAATCTAAGTCTTCATCTTTTTCATCCTTCTGTTGTTTTTGTTATTATGAATTCATTTTATAATGCCCATTAACCCACTAAGTTGCCTTCAGATGTATTTATCTGAGCAACTAAAGATGTGTGTGGCCAAAGAGGACGGGCCACAACAATGAAGAACAAAGAATGTATTGGTTCAGTGTTTGTTACTGATCATGACCCAAAGACCAATTAATGTAATGGAAGGACTTTCACTATCCTGAACAGGAATCGGGTCAGGGTGTGGGAGGGAGAGTCACCTACTGGTGATACCCCAAGACGGAAAGGAGTAACTGGAAGTGCCAAGTAGGATTCACCTGACAGACAGGGTAAACATTTCACAGCTCAGCACTGAACTGTATGGCATATGTTTTCAATCCCACTTTGATGGCTGCATCAAGTTGCCAGCTCACAATTATCCCAAAATATTTAGATTCTGCAAATGTGCAAAACCAGCGATGGAAGTCAGAAGAAAGTGAAAAGGGAATTAATCTTCTCTAGGTTTTCCTCCCAGACCGTACATTTAACAGGCAGAAGAACTTAAAACACAAATATACCACTTCTGCACGATATCCTTTCAAGTAGCAAGTATGGCTACATAAACAGATAGCTGTAAACAGTAAATATAAATTTTTCCTCAGAACACTCTTCTGACAATAGATATT